TCAAACGTTGTTATCTGATGGGTATGTGCGAACTCTTTACAATTCATGTAAATAAATGAATTAAATAGATGCTGTAAACCCCAGGTGTCGTATGGGGAAGTGAATTAAGAGGCACTGTGTGGAATCCCAGGACTCCTGCCTATAGTGGATTCGTCCAGCTGTCTGTACCAGACTCCTCTTCATGACCGCAACATTCCCAGTGTTACAAAACTTGATTAGTCCCTCACTAACATCCTTATATCGACACCTATAAAGGCTCACAGGGACTGTGCACAGTGCAGATGTGACAGAAGGAATAATGTGCCAGGAATGTGCCTCAGCTAAATTAGAGTAACGTTTGATAGTAACATTTAATAGTAACGTTATGTAAATACAGCGTGGTGGTCATTTGCAGTTGGACTTTCCCTTTGTATGCCTCCCTTTAAATAACCCTTCATTAAAAAATAAGGTAGGCAGAATAAGAAAATGACAAGCTGAGGCTGCTTAGTCTGGGTGTAACTACTACCTCTTCCAACAAGTGATTGCCACCATACTTATGCAGGTATGATCATTCAGACTCTTTTATATTCACTCCTGTAATAGCCTTGAGTATCCATTCAGTTCTGTTTAACTTCTCACCACATGCAGTTGAACTAAGAGGTCGAGGCCACGTGTGGACGGACCACACTCGAATGAAAAAAAAAAAAAACAGGCTGATATTTCAAGGATTCTCCTATACAACTTCAGATAATCCATTTCCACGTTTACACATGGTAAATGCTCATTTCTGTGTTTGCAAATCAGTTTTCTTATCAACGGTGCCATGTGTCTAACTAACCATGTTTAGCACCAATTAACTGTTCATGAAATGGCTTGAATTCTGCTGTGAATAAGCCTTTAGATAGATTTCCAGTCAGTGCTTCTGATCCCTACCTCGATTGAAGATCAGAAGAAAACACATACCACTTTACACACTCACAAATTAGACAGATAAATCATATTTGAATCAGAGGTCCTAAGTCCAGGTAAAATCACCTTAAGAAGAGAGGAGGGAAGTGGAAAGGGACCAGTAATGGGATCGTGGAAAGTGGACAAAAAAACTTCTTTTTGTCACTCAGTTGAGATGCTCTGATCACATGATTTGCATAATTTGTGTGACTGCATTAACAGATGATCGTACCATCTGTATCATTGTAGGTTGATCAGTCAGGAAGGAGACCCACAGATCACCCATGGTCACACTTGTTATTAAGCCCTTAACTGCCTGAAAGAATTATTTTTCACAATTATAGCCGCAGTCTGGTGGAGGACTGGTTACTTATTTCCTTGACACATCCAACCACTGTTCTTTGGCAGTGCCACCACTTCCTCTCAGGTGCCAAAGATTGTGCAGGGCTCTGCAGATCTGTTTCTGTTCCATCTTCTATTTAAACACAGCCAAGATCAGATAGAAGTAAGAGAAAACTCGGTTTGAAGGCCAAAGTGAAATTCTTTTGATAAATGATGCCAGCCATGTTAGACTTCTCTGAAAAGGGCATCGTTGTGCTTGTTACCAATGGCGACCACAATAGAAAAACAGCTTCAGGCTGTGAAAATGCTTCAGAGGGGACTCATTCATGGTGATCAGAGATGATTTTTCATGACATAATCATAACTTTCAACTTATATGACACCACAACAAAACAGCGTGAAAGGGTGATCTACAATTTGACATGTCAATTATAATCTTCATTTGCATCAGCACACAAGAAAGAGGGTTCAGACAGACGGTCTGTGCAAAAGAAATATTGATTTAATCACACACCCTTCTTCACCTGAGTTAATGAATCATTATTTTCACGTCTGTACCCCGAGGATAGATAAAGTATTGTCTGACTGGTCCAGTGCATTGGATGATTAGCACTCTCATTAAGAGTGGAGCTGGAGTGTGTAAATCTCAAGAGAGATGTAACATCGAGAGAGGTTGTACACACACACACACACACACACACACACACACACACACAGACTCTTTTTACTGTCCCTCTGTGGTGTTTATTATCCGGAGCCTGGCATTACTGTGAGACAATTTAATTCCTTTTGTCAACAGGCAGCATTTTTATTTTTGTCTTATTTCCTGAGTCTATAAAAACAAGATCAACTTTGCCAGCACTTTCTTAACTTATGTAGTTATGCTGACTGTATTCTGACCGCAGTTCATTCAAACCAAACTCAAATTCTTTGTTTACATCTGAGTCGTTTTGATGGTTGGTCATATTTGTCCAAGAACACAACTCATACACCGATCTGACCTGACAGCTGTGCCACAAAGACATGACTGCACAGTGCAGGAATGACACGGGATGTCACATCCATCCTACAGTCTTCATTGCTCGCTGACATATCAGTGCTGATATGAATTAGGATTTGAGCGTCATGATACAGTCACATGGGGGGTCACAGGCTCCAGGATCTGGTTTCAAGACAAAATATACAAATACCCTTCACGCTGAACGAGTTCTGTCAAACAAAGATGTCATATCGATTCTGAAAATTCAGAATACTTATGGGGATAATAGTGTTCTTGTGTTTTTGCTTGCTCCCGTAAGTGACATACAATAGTAGATATCACAATAAATCTGCTCTCCCCCCAACAAAAGAAGTTTAAGGCTGAAAAAGCCCACTGTTGTACCAGTGAATCAGCTCTGCTGATGAGAGGACAAACTAAACTCCTCTTTCTTAACGATTGCACAGTATTGATCGCTGATGTTTTACAGCCAGAAAGACATATGTGAAGCTTACTCACTGTGTGGTGTTCATTAACATTCACTCAACAATCCTGAGCTGAGTTCAGAGTCAGTAAAAGTGAATGTGTGTGTGGATTAAGGATGATAGAATGGAAAACCACTACTTGCTGAAAACATTAGGTCCTGCTGTGTGTAAGCTGGAGGAAGTGGTCGTAGACTGTCACATGAGCTTCAACAGGTGATAAGCTGTGCCTTTACCAGTGTCTTAGTTCAGTCATCGAGTCCCAAGTCTCTGTGTGCTGAACATACAAGGTATATAATATGGAAAACTTGGTTCTGCCTCCTGTCGTTATACAAATTTGAAGCCGAATCGCTCTCGGTATTTCTGGGACACTTCTTGGAACCACCACTTGCGCAGTAGCGTTGTACGCATCTGGCAGGAGAGTCGCTAAGAGTCGCTGTGATCACGCTCAGCTCAAACTGCGTATCCCCTGGGTGAGCTACGCAGTCTTCGTACGCCCACATGCTGTATCAAGTGTCAATCATAGAAAACATGAACCCCCTAATAACTTTTAAAAATGGATCTGCACAGAAAAAAAGGACTTGAGCACAAACCAGTCTGACAGTAACTACATGTCAACAAAAGGTTTACGTTCTGCGTAATTATTTTCTTAAGTCTGTCCACAGCTCCCTAAGGATTGCTGGAGGGTCTAGGATTTATGACCTCTGCAGCCCGTCACCAGAGGATGCTGTTCTCGTGGTGGCTTCAGCTAGCGAGGAGGCAGACGGCGTCCGTTCTATATACAGTCTATCGTGCTGAATGCAACTGTATATTGCACTTCTCTAAATGAAGGGATACACTTGTTGACTCTGCAGCAGTGGTATTGCTCAAAAACACCTTCAGCCCAGCTGTCAGAGGTAGGTCTGTTTTTGATGCATGTTGCTCTAAATATCCTTAAACTTTGCTGTCTTTTTGCTGCTTTGCTGTGGGCTGGAGGTGGAATATCTACATGCATAATTAAATGACAAATAAAAATGAATCGAATATTTTGTATTAACTAGAACATTATTTCACCTAACATCTTGAATCTGGTGGCAAAGTCCCTTTAGGCTAATGTAATGCTGCTGAAACTTCTCAACAGTCCAGATAACTTTCACTTCCATCTCTGGGTGCTCCTGCACAGATCTCTGTTGAAGGTTGAGCCTGTCTGCTGCTTTCCTCCTAATTCATTATTATTATTTTTTTAATATCCAGCATGTTGTTCTGCTCTAGCCTGCATTTACTGTGAAAGTAAAACACGTGATTCGTGACATTTGTATATCTTGGCAGGAGCTGAACAAGATGGCACATAAACATGCATGCAAGCCAACACATGCCAGCCCTGCTCTGAGTTGCATAAATGGTTAGAATTTTATATTCAAAAAGGATAATATAAAATGGTATCTATCAATAAATACAGAAGAGTCCTCTTCTTCATCTTCTGAGTCTTATGAAGTAAAGAATCCAGGTATGAGTCATTTTTATTTTGGGCCAATTCAAGTCACCAGCCCAGAAAATCTGGATTAATCAGTAAACTGTGAAAACTTCTGTCACAGGACAGATTGGTCACTCTGTATTTCCTCTAGCTTTACAGCAAATCTGTACAGAAATCTAATCTAACTCTCAAGTATTTACAAATGGGATACACCATTATATCGGATACACCATTTTTTGACTTGTTGGACACTGTCATATTAACCAAACATTGGTGCCCTTATGCAGTCATCCTCTATGACCATTGTACTGTATGTGCATCTTCACCACATCAAATTCTTGGTTCATCACAGTGAGAAATCTGATTCTAAAGCAGATAGTGAATAACATAAGGACTTCACTGTGAGTCCAGAAAAAGACTTCTTACTTCCAATTAGCATGTCTTCAAGTTTGCACAGATTAACCTATGACACATCTGCACCTTGATGGTGTTCTTTCTGTTATCTTGTCAGGTCTGTCATCAGCAAGAGAAGGACTCAGCTAATAGGAAGCTTGTTGGCTGAGTAGAGGATGGACCGATCATTTCTGAGAAATTGCAGGTAGGTGGAAAGTCTAAATTGGACATTTTGGACTGAAAAGAATTGCAAGCTGTGGTGGTGTGCAGAAATCTGTTTCTAGATATAAAAAGAAAAAAAATACATGAATAAATAAAAATACTGCTGCTATGTAATTTTGGTTGATTGCATCCCACCTGCTTTTGCTGTACACAAGGTTTTTATTTTGTGTACACCAAATTCTGCCAACATAAAATTGGTCAATTCTGCTCAGATTGCAAATGTACTACAGATTGAAGAAGGACGCTTCCCACACTTCAAACCTAGACCTCCAATGACAATTTTTACCATATTTTTTTTAGAATCTTGTCCCCTTTTGGAGAACTAATTTTCCTCCTTAAAACGACCTCGTTCTTCTTTCCATTTTCATGATAAAAAGGTTTAAAAGACATCCAGGATATTTTAGACTGCTGGATATGAGGCTAAAAAAATTGGCATCTGCTTTCACCATGTTGGTGATAACTGACCAAAATAGAAATCACGATCCTCAAAATTTTATTATTTATCTTGTTTTATCCCTTATTCAGAATGCTGCACCTGCCAAATCCATTTCTAAACATAAGACATCTCGCTGAGCAGTTCTCACTAAACAAACACTTTCTTTGAAAGCAACCAAATGAATCTTCAACACACTAGTTCTGCTTTTCATCACAAAAATAGATCAGGTTCTTGCAACATCACATGTGACACCTTGACAGAATCATTTGGTGTTACGCCAGACTCAATAATCATGTACATCACGCAAAGCTTCATATGAGTATTATATAGGAGTCACTTAAGTCATGATGGAAGTAACTCATGTATATCTTTAACACTTACTCTGGATAGAGAGCTATATTTCACTTGCTCGACAAACTTTTATCAGTCCAGCCTAGCTTCCAGAATTTGTGCTTGGGTGTGATAGAGAGCGAGTGTGAGTGAGTAAGAGAGAGGGAGATGGAAATAAAGTGGGTGTAAGCGAAAGATAGAATGTCCTCATATTTCACTTGGAGCAAGTGAGTTGAAGTGAGTAAAATGATGAAGAGCAAACCCGTGTAGTTAACTAGAACTACTTTGATCTCCTTCCAAGCGACCTGCTTTTGCACTGACCATTGCCATCTCTGTTAAAACATCCATCATTCACAGCATGGGGTCGAGGACAGGGCAGCCCCATTTTCCTCACTTGCACATATCAGGAACACCTGCTAAGTAACCTGAGTGCAGGGCAGGTGGAGCGAGACTTTGTGGCTGGATTTATTGTTTTATGCAGTCAGCCCCTTTTTGCAGAAGCAACTTTTTTTATCATACAAACTTTGTAAACCTTGATGTAAGACAGAACGCTCCTTCACGGAAAAGCTTAATATGTTCTGAGAAGATACTAATCCAGTAGACAGATTTATTCCACTTTCTCAATGACAACATCCACCCATGAATCAATTCAGAAGTTGTAGTTTTACAACATGTTTTACAGAGTAAGATATCAGCAAGGATATAAACAGTCAAGCTCTTAGGCCTTGGGCAGTTCAATCTGACTGCAGCTCAGCGTTAGAAACATATATTTGCTGTTCGAAAGCACATTTTTTTGCATCCATGATGTGAAGCCTTGTAATGTAGATTAAAGAGTCGAGTCAATTTTAATGTTCAACAGTCGTGGTTGAATCCAGTGAGAGCTACATTTGTTCTGAATTGGCCTCATTTTTGATGCTTGATGAGTTTTAAAACCAAAACATCCCGGGACATTGTTCTTTTTGCATTTTATAAATGTATAATTTCAATTTAATTCAGTGTGAACTAAAGACGTGAGTTCCACTTTGGAAAGACATCGATTCTAATAAGTCTAAAGTCAGAAAGGTTGACTTGAGGATTTGAACAAGGTAAAAAGTAGGCGTTTTAAACCACTCAACAACCTGTAAAACACCATGCACCGCAATAAAGAATAAAGTAAAAGCATTACTGTAACACCTGAGAAGTCTCTTCTGACAGTTTCATATAATTTCACAGTTTGGGAATCTTTCCACAGGTGACAGGGACAGATTGGTAAGTGGCGAGCAGAATCGTTGGCATGTTAGCCTGTCTGTGCTGCCTCACTTTTTAACTAGAAGACTGATTTCAAAGGTTTGAAAGGGTTTTGAGTGTCCTCTTGATCTCTGCAGAGTTTGATCTTCTTTCCTCTGAAGCTCTAACAGGATGACCAATTGCTTTATCTTACATAAGGCATGTGATGAGTCAGAAGAAGAAGAAAGAAAAAAAAACAGCTCTAAGGTCGTATGAGGTGGTGTAAGTCCAAATCTTGATGGGCTGCAATGGCAAACGTGTGTGTGTGTGTGTGTGTGTGTGTATAAAAAGACCACCCTTGTTTTCTTGAATGTCTTGTTAATTTTAATGTCTTGTAGGTTCATCGCATTCGTCAGGTAATATACCTAACTAAAAATGCAGCTGATTCCATGATATCGTATGTCCTGTTTGACACACACAAGTTTTATCGTAATCCCAGGGTATATAAGAGGCCAATTCCTGTTAGCAGCACTGCACATGCAAAGGCGTAGAGTTATTCAAGCCATAGCACAACTCAGAAGTTGTCAACTCTAACAGAATGCCTAAAGCAAAAGAACTGGGTGAAGCCACAAAGGCCGCCATCTTGGCAATGCTGGAAATTGGCACAAACGCCAACACTGTGTAAAAAGTAGCACCCAAAAGCTGTCCCATTTTAAACAACTGAACGAACAGCCAGAATGAAATGATTGAGCAGCAAATCATTTAGAGCTTCTTCAGACATGTCTCAGTCTGACCAAACGACAATAACAGATCTCCTTTACACTTTTACTTCTGACATTATTCCAGCAGATACGTGAGGAGAAGCAGGCTCATTTACATCTAACAATAAGTTTTACTAACCTCCTGGCAAATATGAGTCCAAATTTTACACTGTTTACAACTACACCTCTATGGGAAATAACTGACCACCTGTTCTTTTCCAAATGCTTTGGTTTGTTTTTGTTCGCCAGTTAGTTTGCACACAAGGAGCTTTATTGAATAATCTCCTATGAAAGTGGCGAGGCTGGATCAGAACCATTCAAATTAATTACTTACTCCATAAGGTTTAAGAGAGAGTTTAACGCTCCTGTAGCTCAGAGTGAGAAGTTGATCCCTTTAACTATAAACCATCTTTTGATCTATTGTGTTTTCTCACTGAGGGAAAAAACTAAATGAACCCTGTGGGCTACTTTAAACAACATCTTATCCTCAAAATGCCTGAAGTGTGAAAACCGTGCATATATTTATCCTTGTCACTGTCATTTGCTGTATTGTGTAGTCATTATTTATCACTGGTTTCAGATACGAGGTTCAGGTAAGCACAGCCGTGTTCTTCCTCCCACACAGAGACAAGTTAAAAAGGATGGCAGAAGCAAATTGCTGGCCAGCATCAGATCGTCTGTGTTCTCTGATCAAAGTAGCCTCATCGTCACTGGCTTCTCTGGTCTTTTATTCTCAGATCTTTCATAAAGAGAACTGGGGCACAGTGGCACCTGTCCTCATGAAACCCAATTATGTCATTTTTTTCCGGCTCTGTGTCTAAAGGTTACAGCTTCTCATTGATTTTTAATGTCACTCTTGACTTGTACAAGAAAAACCTTGTGAAAAAGAGAAAGGTAATGACTCTGATCAACAGTTGCTCCTCACTTTCTCAGACATATTTGCCGAGCTTACAACACTGTCACTAGGCTGACATTTCACAGAGCATAATGAGTGCTAAAATTAAGTCTGTGCTGCTGTGATTACAAAGAGTGAACTAGATAAGACAGCTAGATAGTAAAAGGTGGGTATGATTTATGTTTGCTCTGCTTGTAAAAGGTACAAACATGGAGGGGAGAAAATAAAATTAAATAAAACGTGCAAACTGTCCTTTTATCCTATCAGTATTTGACATTGATATCTTCAACTTGTAAATACTGAATATACTGATAGATATTTACATTTATGTAAAAAAGGATTGTTACAGCTCCTCCTGTTTGTTTCTTTGGATTCCTGCACAAAGAACTGGCAGACCATTGGACTCTGATGTTCCCTGTAGTCAGCTGCACCGCACATCAATCACACTCCCAGTGGAGGCAGGGCGCGCATCTTGGGATAGAAAAAAAACCACAACGCCAAAGGAACGAGGTGTACGTACTTCCTGTTGATTTCAGAAGTAACATGAAGCATGGATCCAGGGTTTTAAGAAGCCCTGAAGTTACAGCATAGTCAACTAACTGTACACATATCCTGACATATAAGAGATGTGACAGCCTCAGTTATTTATTGTTATTATTTTTGTGTGTGGGTGTGTGTTTTTGTCACATTGAGAAGTGGCTAATGACTCAAATGTAAATGCTTTCTCCATAAGAGTTTGTCTAAGAGTTTACATTTGATCTATTTCCACAATATTTCACCTCCATATTGCACATCTTAAATATGGCGATGCATTTGTTCAGTACTGTCTTTGTATTTGAGCTCAAAGGTTTGGTCAGTGCCATCATTCGAGCAGCCACGCTTGCTTAGTGCACCAACGTTTGGACTGAGCTTCTTGTGTAAAGGCTGATGTTATGAGACATAGAGTGACCCACAATGAAAGAAATCTACTGAAAGATCAATCACAAGGTCTTATAAGTTGTTATATTACAATTGCAACAAAAATCTACTTGATCTGGGAAATATTTTTGTTTTCTTCCAAGCTCTATGAAATTAGGTTCTCTGCCCCAATCCAGCTCAGTTAGAAGCCCCACAAACGATATTATCCAAGTGAGTTATTCTTTCCTAATTCTTGCAGCTCTATCAACCTCACCCACACTCCAGATGGATCTCTGTTAGTCTGTCTTTAAACAGCGGACTAATGCTTCAGTCTCCCCTTGCGCATCATTAACCTGTCTGTGCAGAGAGGACCCTGGAAGCAGACCTCTGATTGTCCTTTCTCTTTTCAACCTGTTTTCTGGCAGCAGGACGAGTTTGAAGCTCCTTTTGGTTTAAATAATTTCCCACTTATTAAGAGACATGCAGCTATGACCACATTACTCACCCTCAAATTATGTGTATCAGTGCCGCTAGGGAGGTCAGGCAATAAGTGCTTGACTGTCAGGTGTAATAATTACAGAGTAGATACACACGTGTAATTTTAGCCAAAATAACAGCAGATGTAGACGGGCAAATCACCACAGCAAGACTTTCCTTTAATCCTGATACTGTGTTTGTGTCACTCTGCTATCAAATGAAATATTTTAGCTTTTTTTTGCCCTGTGTCAAACTTCTGCAAACTTTACATGAAGTGAGAATGAGCGAGTCGGCAGGACTTGTAAAGATGTGAGTTAGTATTAGGTCGGTCATCTTGCCATGCAACATGAAGATTTCATAGATAAGTGCAAAGTTCTATTAAAATCAAATTGAGCTCACTAACCTACATATAGGGAAATAAAATGATGAAATGGACGGAGAAAGTGATAGAGTGATTTGGTTGACCTCAGAGATGATCAGGGACAGATCTTATTTTGAGGGTTTGAATACTCGGCCAAAGCGGGCCATAATCCACCAACAGCAGGATAATTACTCTCTTTAGCACCAGCTATTTCTATAATGCTGGGCCATGGGATCCTGCAGCTTCCAGCTCTTCTGGTATTTCAGATATTATTTATGAAACATGATATGTTCGTTCTGGTGTATTTGAAAAGTGTTTGTAGCACTCTGGAGGAGATTTGGGGGGTTGAAAGCAGGGTAGTCCTGGCTTTTAGTCCTTACACTCTGTACATACAAATAGATACGAATCTTTTTTTTCTTCATCTCACTCCATGACATGACAGGCAGACTTTGTCCTTAGGGTCTGGGGGGTTGCTCTGAATAATGATGGGATGCCAGATGGTCTTTGTCAGGCAGGCTCTGTCCTGTGGGTCTGGACTCTGCCCTGTACAACATCATCAGCCTGTCACAACAAACTGATAGACAGGGAAATAAGATGGAGGGGAAATAAATAATAAACCATATGGTATGTAGCTTTATTGCTCCCGACTGGGCCTGTGCTCTCTGAATGGACCTCTCTGGTTCTGCATCATAGCGGGGCAGGTGAGCCTCTCCATACTTCATCCTCCAAAAGCCCTACAGACTCCACCATCTGTCACACTCATACCTGTAGAATCGTCTGTGTGGTTATGCAGACGCTAAATTTAAAATGAAGATATTTCTGTCTATGAGGACTGGGTTACATAATGAGGCCAATGCAAAGGGCAGAAATCTGCAGAGAAACCTGTCAGGACCTTAATTAAAATGCCAACTTTAATAACAGAGTCAAAGACTGCCCGAGACCACAGTGAAAAGTTTTGGTTTCTGTGATCCTAACCGTGAAAAATTAATATCAATTTTGGTTTAAAGTCAGTTTAGATTTTAGAAAGACTTAGATGTGAGCAGAGGGTTAGCTAATATGAATGGCAACTGGACTGTGGAGTCTCAACTCTACACAGTCCAGCTGCCTGATTTTGGAGTCTTCAAGGTGGTCAAAGAGCCGACATGCATCTGCTCAATTGGGTCTACAGACCTCCCCTGTCAGTCCATTTGCTTACATGCATTTTGAAGCTGAATGATGGTTATTAATTGACCAGGCACCGTCATTACAGTGCTGTCCTTGTCCTAGTTTACAATTATTAGGCAAGACTTGTTTTTTTGTTAAAAGTATGTCTGCTTCCACGAGGCTTAGGGGTGCTGTGCCCCTTTTGGCTCATTAGTAGTGTGCATCACCTGGTTGAACCGTTAAACAATGTACACAGTAGGTGTACAAGAGGCTAACTGGTTGTATCCCAAATAGTAATAATCTGTACTTTTTGTACAATACCATACCATAGTTTTGTCTGTTTTGTTTCCCTTTTTCTGGAAATGATGTCCCATCTGTGGATCATGCTTTAAGAGCTTAGCCAAGTATGGGCCCGGTTGTGGTGTATACAAGCAAGAGAAAATCAGTCCCCAGCTGCTTTATGTGGGTATGTAAATCTGACTACTAGAAATATGATTTGATACAATTTCAGTTAAACTAACACTTTTTCATGCTTTTTAGAGGTCCAGTTTCAGTCGGACGAATGCAGTAAATGAAGGGTTTTTTGTGTGTGTGTTTTTGTTTTCTTACATGAAAAAAAAAAAGACTGGTGTTGTTTACAGGGCATTCATTACACAAACTCTTCAGGTCACATCCGCTTACAATCCACTTATAGCTTCGTACTGGTGGCAGGCAATGGATATATACATATATATTTTTATTCTGTTTTTTTTTTATTTGTGAACATCCATAGGGGATCTTCTGGGAACCAGTAGGTAATTCTCAGGGGGTTCATACCATCCAGTCATGTAAAATCCCCTGGGTTTTCCACAGTTAACAATAGTGAATTTCGTCTCTCTTTAGTGATCCAGATCATTTGGCTCAGCTCAGCAGTGAGCGCCAGTATGTTTGGTGCCCAAACACCTCCTCATAGCATCATTTTAGCTATTATTACATCAGCTATTTAAATCTGAATCAGAATACTTTATTAATCTCCTGGAGGGTAAATTTGGTCATTACAGTATTATACTTGTTCTTAAAAATACAAATGTTTGGAGGAGAATAGAAATAGGGATTAATGAGAACAAATAGGAAATTACTCTTATCAATTCCTATATGTAAGAGGGTGATTTATAGTGATTTTATGACTTATTTTTGCAGTCTGTGCCAGTGTTTCACTTCAAATATGAATAATATTCCACATCATTCTCAGAATAATTAATAATATTCCACAGTGGCAGTAGGTGTTCTGATGCACAGCTCCCACATGTCCGTGAAGGTTGTTTGTTGAACATTCTTGATATAACTTTGTATTCTATTTTGATGTCATTAAAATTATTGAAATGAATCCAAATATTACTCCCTCTGAGATTCTTACTCATCTCCTCTCCAGCTTTGAATTCTGCAGTCCTGTAAATCTGTGCCTGTGCTCTGAACACTGTCATTGCTCCCCCCACTGCGTCTGAGTGGTCACTCATGACTCGGCACTCATGTTGACGTGGGAGTCTGTCAGGGCACAAAGTACCTGTGGGTGAGTGGTGTGGAGAGAAGACTGTCTCTTCATTCTTTTATGTATTAAGAAACAACATAAAGGGGGAAAAAAATCAGCTCTCAAATTTGATGATAGATGCAGCACCTTTGAGCTGCAGAGACGAAGGGGAAATTGCACAATCAACCCCGTTCCTGTAATGCCCAGTCATTTTCTGTTTTATTCATGTTGCAGCTAATGTGACCACAAAAGTTAACAGCTTCAGGGCTGCGAATTACAATGTCGTGTAATTTAAAGGCTGCAAGGAAAGTTTACGCCTAATCACAATAATCATGCATATGTGCTGATTGAAGACTTTTCCCCTCCCACACTTGATCCTTTGTTATGTAACTCATCTTGGAATTAAGAGTGACAGCAGGAAGATTAATCCCCCTGTTTTTCTCGCCCAGTAAGTTCAGATCACTTAATTCATGTTCCAACTAGCTGAGAGTGACAACAATCAAAGATCTATTTTAATCACTGTATGGGTCAGGTATGGCTGGTCATTCAGAGAGAAAAGGTTATTGGCATCAATAAAGCATGTAGCACTTGGATATGCTTTAGTGGGGAGATAGACGGAGTCGTTTGATCAAAAACGTGTGATAAGGTATCTCCTCAGTCCAAACTTATCTGGGTAAACAGATGATAAACACTTGAAGTAAATGACTTCTCCTGCTCAAATAGGTAATCATGAGGAGGATCGGACAGGAGGAATAATCAATAGTAGATTAAATTTAAAGTATTCTTTGCACAGGTTAACTCTATGCTGGGCTACAGACATACTTCCACACAACTACTTCATAGTGGAGTAACAGAAGTCTCATGGGTATAAAATAAGCCAAGTCTCTCCCTGAGGTGCTTCGTCACACGATTTTAACATCATGAACCTGACATTTACAATTAAGTCTCAAATCAAGAGAGTCGTATCTAGCTGACAGCAGCTGGAGCTGACATCTCCTTAAATCCACTGTGACAGCGACGCCCTCACAACTTCACCCTCACAGCTCCAGAAACATCATGTTCAACTTTCATTTCTCCTCACAAATTACTCTGAATAAAGATAAGTTTATTTTACTTGTTGAATGATGATAATTTCTGACACGGTTCAAACTATAAACATCTGAGCATGAAATAACGTACATCCACTTCCTGGGTCTCCTCCTCTATGGCTCCAGCATTCCCAGACTGGATATAATATCCACTCAGCTCACTTTGAGTCTGACCTGGGTTTTTTGCTGTAGGGTATGCCTGAAATAACCCTACAGGGAGACCTCCAGGAAGACTTTTGAACTACCTCATTTCAAGCCGGGATTCAATTAGGAGCTCCCCCCCTGAGGGTGAGCCTCAGACACGCTGCGAGGGAAACTATTTGGAGCTATTTTGAGTTGGAAAGTAGAAGAAGCAGCAAAGTGAGATTCTAACTTTCACCTTATGGGACTCCTTCACGATATCAGGCTATAGATGGAGCAGATTACAGTTCTTTATACACTTGATGTCATGCTTTCATTTTGTCTGTCATTTCCTGGGGTTTGTAAAATTTTACCTGAATGATTAGAGTAATCACTGTGAGAATGTTTATTTTCATTTTCTTGTAAACCAGTCCTTTTTTATTTCTAATTTTTTATCAAATGCAATTGGCAAAATTATTTTGTTCACATTTATTGAGGTTCAGCTCCAACTTTTAACAACTTATACCTTATAAATCTGAGGGTCAGAAGATATTTCACATTAGCTGCTAATACGGACATGAATAAATAAACAGCAGGGTTTGTCTTTGCGACAGGGAGACTTTGGTCTGCTTAACAGATTCTTTGGTACTCAGTGATGTAAAAGTAACTCTATTTTCATCTCATTAAATCCATGATTAGTAAACCCACTCAGGCTGTTCTGGGTTAAATGACTCGGTAAAAGTCTGGAAAATTTTGTTCAAATCTCTTAGACAGTTTGTCAGAACAGAGGAATTTCTTATTCCAGTTTAAAACTACCCTCTGACGACTTCCATCATTGTAATGTGAGAACTATAATTCTGTCATGTCATGTACTCACTGTTCATTGGAAGTGCCTCATTTTCTTATGTAGCAGAGTAAAAGCCTCTGCAGCCGTCTCATGAAACATAACTGGATGGTAATGCATTGAAAAAAAACTTAATACAGTAAAGAACGCACTATGTTAGTTGATATTTTTATGTGTGCTGTTGCTTCATCTACACTATACAACAAAACAAGTTCAGTTCACTTAGAAAAATATGGAAACTCATTGCCTTAAAAAAAAATCAAGTAAATAAACTTAACCTCTGCAAGTTCACAGAAATTCTTTTCAGTGCATGGTACTAAACCAAACTTAATTAATTTGAGTAATCAATATCTTTGCTAACTTATTTATTTTGACATGGGTGTGGTAGATATAAGGATAAAACAGTGGAAGTATTTCTGTGGTCAACAAGGTTTATATGAAATGAATAAATGTTGATGCATTTACTGAGATGTTGATGCAGCTGATCTTCAGGACTGCTGCAGCTTTAATTACCTCTGCTTGTTGGAGTTTGAGAGTCTAAAGTTTACATCGCCACTCCTCTTCCTGGATTATACAAGAGCTGGCTTTCCCCTCCCTCCTCTTTCACAGCACACTCCCCTCTGCACACTCACTTCCTTGTTCCTTCCCCTTTAGATCTACAGTCTAAAGGATGGGTGTCACCAGTGTGTGCTGAGCTGATCCTGCTGACACACTCATGTTGTTAAGATCAGAGCTCAGACTAGTTTCACTTCTGAAGAAACGAAACTCAGTCAGTCGTCGTCGACAGCGAATGTTGAAATGGCGCAGAAAGGAGTTCAGCTGGACCGTGAGTCTTTCTCTTGTTCCATCTGTTTGGATCCACTGAAGGATCCGGTGACTCTCACCTGTGGACACAGCTTTTGCATGAGCTGTATTCAATCCCACTGGAATACTGAGGATGAGAAGAAGATCTACAGCTGTCCTCAGTGCAGACAGACCTTCATACCGAGGCCTGTCCTGCAGAAAAACACCATATTAGCAGCTTTAGTGGAGGAACTGAAGAAGATCAGACTTCAAGCTGCTCCCGATCAACCCTCTGAGGCTGGACCTGAAGATGTGGCCTGTGATTTCTGCAGTGGGAGAAAACTGAAAGCTGTCAAGTCCTGTCTGCAGTGTCTGGTTTCTTACTGCCAGATTCACCTCCAGCCTCATTTTGAATCACCTTCATTTAAGAAACACAAGCTGGTGGAGCCCTCCAAGAAGCTCCAGGAGAACATCTGCTCTCGTCATGATGAGGTGATGAAGATGTTCTGCCGCACTGATCAACAGTCTATCTGTTATCTCTGCTCTGTGGACCAACACAAAGGTCACGACACAGTCTCAGCTGCAGCAGAAAGGACTGAGAGGCAGAAAGATCTGGAGGAGAGTCGAGAAAACATCCAGCAGAGAATCCAGGACAGAGAAGAAGATGTGAAGCTGCTCCAACAGGAGGTGGAGGCTATCAACGGCTCTGCTGATAAAGCAGTGAAGCACAGCCAGGAGATCTTCAGCCAGCTGATCCGTCTGATGGAGAAACGCCGCTCTGAGGTGGAGCAGCAGGTCAGATCCCAGCAGGAACGTGAAGTGAGTCGAGTCAAAGAGCTTCAGGAGAAACTGGAGCAGGAGATCACTGAGCTGAAGAGGAAAGACGCTGATCTGCAGAAGCTCTCACTCACAGAGGACCACAACCAGTTTCTGCACAGCTACCCCTCACTGTCAGAACCGGGTCAACCTGCAGACTCATCCAGAATCAACATCCGTCCTCTGAGATACTTTGAGGAGGTGACAGCAGCTGTGTCAGAGGTCAGAGAGAAACTCCAGGATCTTCTGAGAGAGACGTGGACAAACGTCTCACAGGCAGTGACTGATGTGGATGTTTTACTGTCAGAACCAGAACCCAAGACCAGAGCTGGTTTCTTAATATATTCACAAAGAATCACACTGGATCCAAACACAGCAAACAGACGACTGTTATTATCTGATGGAAACAGAAGAGCAACATTGACAGAAGAACGACAGTCTTATCCTGATCATCCAGACAGATTCACTGGTTGTTCTCAGGTCCTGAGTAGAGAGAGTCTGACTGGACGTTGTTACTGGGAGGTGGACTGGAGAGGGGATGGGGTTTATGTAGCAGTCACATACAAGACTGTCAGGAGAGCAGGAACCTCATTGGATTGTTCATTTGGATTCAATGACAAATCTTGGACTTTAGACTGTTATACAGACAGGTATGACTTTAGGCACAACAAAGTCATCACTGATGTCTCAGGTCCTCCGTCCTCCAGAGTGGGAGTGTACCTGGATCACAGAGCAGGTATTCTGTCCTTCTACAGCGTCTCTGAAACCATGACTCTCCTCCACAGAGTCCAGACCACATTCACTCAGCCACTACATGCTGGACTGTGGTTACCCCTGTCTATTGGAGTCTCTGCTGAGTTTATTGAACTGAAATAAACAGATAATTGAGTGCATCAGACCAAAAACATGTCATGAGATCACTGACTCTTGAAATGTTCTGGTTTGTAAATGTTTGTGGATCAGTCTCACCAAAAACTCTGGGTTTAGTTCTTCATTTAAGCTTTTTTATTCTTTTCTAAAGAGGCTGATTTGGTCGCAGCTTTAAGGACAGTGAGTGTGGATAACTTTCATTGTTTGTATTTCTCATTTTGAAAAATCTTCACAAAGGTTTGATGGTAACAACATCAAGATGATCGCTTGTTCAAATCACCTTCAGTTGGTGCAGATTTTGAAGGTCTAAGACTTCAGAAAAAAGTGCCGTCAAAATAAGGAAAGAATGATGAAAAAGTACAAGTTTATTTCCTGTCCCAAATACAACCGTCTAAAGTATTTTCAGTCTGCCCCAAAAACACTTCAAATAATCTGTGCTTTCTCTGTTTGCTGAATATTTGTATTTACGTAATGTATTGATATTTCTGTCTGCTTCTGTGAGATCAGTGTGTTTGTAAAGACATCTATAATGACACTTTTGGCAGATCAACATGCTGTTATGAGCTTTAGGATTGTGGGTTTCTGATTGTGGATTAAAAAAAAAAAAAATCAAACAGTGTCACTGAAAGCACCTCGGCCTGTTTTTCTTTATGGTTTAGTCCAGCCGACAGCAACCGACGACAAGTATAACATCAAGTGAACCCAGTTTGAATGACCTGGGGGTTAGACATCATGCTTCCCAAAAAGCCTAAATCGGGGTATCTAAAGAAGAAAAAGAGGGAAAAAAGAGGAAGAAGGCAGAGTGAGGGGAGGCAGCTGTTGACTGCTTTCTTCCCCAAAAGTGAATAAAGTTTGCTTGTTCTGTGTAGCACTTGTGCTGACACAATTTAGTGGATGTAAATATGGTTTGATGTATAATATTGGGCTTTTGACCAGAAGAAGTAGAGAACGCTGAGGAAAGGAGTGGACACGAGACTGAGTGTTATTTTTGAAATGGTACCATATATTAAAGCAAGCAGATGACTAATAACCACAGTGCAATTATTTACAGTGACATACAAGGACATACATAACATGGAAATGATAATAGAAGTACAGTGCAATAAATCAGTGAAGTCAGACAATGTAAATCAGTTCAATCAGTTAGTCAAACAACACGATGACCAAATAAGTAATGGGCACTTGGCCACCAACAGTTCCTCGCAACACAAAAACCCACGTCTGGGTGGAAAGGTGTGAGTCCAGAGGATTGGAGGAAAAGGGAAAATGTTGGGTGGAGTGTGTGTGTGTGTGTGTGTGTGTGTGTGTCCGGATTGATGGGCTGTACAGTGGGGTGAGCGTGTTGCGGCTACAAGGAGCCCCTACCAGCCTGGCAGGAGAGATGTGGGCTTCCTGGGTCTGTAGGTCACTTCCTTTTAGCTCGCCATCTAAAATCTGAGAACCTGGCCTGTAAAGCCAGGGTTCAAGTAAATCACAATGTCACAATCAATATACATTGCTCGAATTTCAGTGTATACATGTGTCTTTTCAATCAAAGTACTGCAGTTCAATTCAATCTCAACATATCTCTGGTGTTCCCTCAGTCTGATGGGTTTTTGATGTTGCTATGGTGGGTCTCACCAATTGGAGCATCAGGGGGGTAAAATTTTATACTATATAATAACCTGTAAAAGTTGTCTTGAGCAGTTCTCTCTGGGGAAGACTCCAGTTTTATTCGTATGTGATTGCCGTCTTCGTCTGCTGCAAAAATAAACCTTCACTGTATCTGATTTTGATCTTTTTCCACAGATCTGTTTTTGCCAACTTCAGTAGGGTTTTTGCTAAGTTTTGGAGATGTAACTCATACACAACACTTTAACAGAATATCTGTGTCCTCTTCTTTTACTTAATATTTCTGTTAAGTATGAAATACCTACAAGAAACACATAAGGGTGATAAACAACATACCTTTTGCATTTGTAATCTGATTTTTCTGAAGGGAACTCTTCCTCTATATTCTTATGTGTCATTTAGCGTTTAATGCATTCGATTTCATATAGTGCTTTATCAGCGACCCTCAAAGCGCTTTATATTGGATACATTATTCGTTCACTCACACAGTCACACCCTGGTGGTGGTAAAATCTCTTAGTAGTCACAGCTGCCCTGCCCTGCTGCCCTGTTTGTGTTTGGGGTTGATTTCATCTAATCATTAAAATGAAAGCGTAAAAATGTTTTATTTGGATTATAACATTATGAAATGTGTTAAATGCCTGTCAAATTAAAAACAAACAAAAAAAAAACCTAAGGGTTCTAGAAAAGGTCTCAAAGAGTGCTTTAAGCTCCTCTGAGAAACTTTTAGTTTGTCAATTCTGGCGCCCCCTGTAGACAAAGCAGCTTATTATTCTCCATCTTTTAATACTCCTAATTTCTTTTCAAGTGGTGTCTTTAAGTGAAGAAATCTCATCCTTCTGCCTAATTGTGAATATTTTACCTGGAAATTGTTAAAACAGGACCGTTTCTTCAGTTGACTGGCTGACTTTGTATAAAGCTTGTGCTTTTAAATATATGTCACAAAAATCCTCAGTCTTGTCACTTATGGTTTTTACAGCCTAAAAATGCATTAATATGATATTTTGTCTTTTTCAGTAACATTACAAAAATCTTTACAGGAGCTTTAAGTACTCCTAAATGGGTGTGAAATTTAATATACTTCACACCCTGTTCAGAAAACTAATTAAATATCTTCTCTGGAACTTAATTCAGTGTAAAGTATATAAACAACCGAGCAAGTGTTGGCATACCAGCGTGCTCAAATACATGCACTCAAAATTCTCCATAGTTTGTCACAGTAAATTTGTTGACATGTTACCATTTCCACGTGAGTCTAACTTTCTCTAAATGATAGATTAATTAAATTTGAAACAGGATTACATTCATCTGTAGTGGTAATCCACTCTCGCCTCTCACAACAGTCTTGACTCAGTGACATTTCCACCCACAACAATGACCTCCACAGATCTGCTGATATGAGGCACACCACGCTGCCTGCTGCACAGGCTTTTAGTTCAACCACTTAGTATTCTCTGAACCTGGAGGACCAAAAGCAGCCAGTCCAGTAAGATCACAGTTTGGGATACCAGCCCAGTTTCTTGGCCTTTTTTATAATAGCTGACTGAGGTGTGTTTTATTTCAGAATTATTTTCTCATATGTTGTAACTTTTGATATTTTATGCTCCATCACCTCAGAATCTGTGGCCTGACAGAGGTAAAGTTTCATATAAATTGCTACCTCACTTTCTCACTCACTCACACATACATGCCTGGACTTTGTAAATGGATTTATGCACAGTATTAAAAAGCTAATAAGTCAGACAGAGCTGTACACCGGTGCACACGGCTGAACAAAGAGACTCACTTGAACGGGCTAATATTCAATCATTTCCTGTCATTTTGATAAGTTTGGAAAACACTGCTGTAATAGCCTTTTCAACATATTTCTTCACACTGTTTGCACAAGCAATCTCTGGAATTAATAGAGTAACAGGCACAGCTGTTCCTTCCTGCTTCTGTGTTTGGGTAACATATATTAAACCTGCAAACATTCACAGTGACTTGTATTTCCACCCAGGAAAGGTGCTGTTAGTTTGAAAACAAAGTTACAATAAAGTTATCAGAACAAATCTGAATACTGATGTTTTTGTGTCACACAAACAGAATATTGAACTCTGGTGACCTCTCTTCAAGTGACAAAACAAGAAAACAAAGGAGAGACAAGAAGGACAAATAAACAGATAACTGTGACAACCTTTTTTTTTTTTTTTTTCTTTCTCATGTTTCGCTCATTTAAAAATCTCTACACACCCCTTTTTTGCTAATAAAAAAAAAAGGATCACGTATAGGTTTATTGACAGAGGCAAATTTGTGCGTTAAATTCAGTTTCTCCCCCTGCTGGCTCTCGCATGGTCAGGAAATATTCTACCTGGATCCGTTTTACCTTGTGATCAAATACGACAAAAACTGCCTCAGTGATTGTCTTTAAATTACAGTGAATGATCCAGAGGGGACTGATGGGGAAAAAAACAGACTGTGAATGCTGGCAAGAATCACTCCTCAATATCAGGCCCATCAATGTCTTTGTTATCTTCATAGGCCTATGATGTAATCACTTTCTGCTTTGTGCTCTCAGCCTGATAAATTGGGCTGTCACTGTAAGGAGAGTGCTGAAGCTCTCAAAGAAGGAAGCCAAACTAATTGAAATTTGAACAGCCCATATTCTTAATAGGGCTTTCCTCCCCCAAGGTCACTGATATTTTCTAAAGAGGTACAATGCAGATGGTAGCTTCCAATCTGATGTCTATGAATTGTTACATATTAATTCGTCCTTCAAACTGCGTATGCGGCACATCATCTGCGATGTAAAAATCAGAAAGCGTTTTACATAGAATTACATTCTAAAGAATGAATAGAAACATGAAGCCCCATGTGATCGGTGCAGTAGACGACATGTCAGTTTGCCTTCACAAATGTGCAAGTCAGCCATGCTCCTCATGTGTTCTCATCACAGATCCCAGCGTCCAAACTGTGCACCAATAACAAGCCAGACAAACATGGAAGGTGAGGCATTAGAAATCACAATTGCAAATTTTTATTTATCACCGCTTCCCCACAGTCCATATAAAATGATGTCTGACCCAGACAAGACAGCAGCATTTGAAGACTTGGTTTAAATACATGTAGCACTTGTGCTGACACAATTTAGTGGATTTAAATATGGTTTGATGTATAATATTGGGCTTTTGACCAGAAAAAATAGAGAACGCTCAGGGAAGGAGTGGACACGAGACTGAGTGTTGCTTTTGAAATGGTACCATATATTAAAGCAAGCAGATGACTAATAACCACAGTGCAATTATTTACAGTGACATACAAGGACATACATAACATGGAAATGATAACAGAAGTACAGTGCAATAAATCAGTGAAGTCAGACAATGTAAATCAGTTCAATCAGTTAGTCAAACAACACGATGACCAAATAAGTAATGGGCACTTGGCCACCAACAGTTCCTCGCAACACAAAAACCCACGTCTGGGTGGAAAGGTGTGAGTCCAGAGGATTGGAGGAAAAGGGAAAATGTTGGGTGGAGTGTGTGTGTGTGTGTGTGTGTCTGGATTGATGGGCTGTACAGTGGAGTGAGAGTGTTGCGGCTACAAGAAGCCCCTACCAGCCTGGCAGGAGAGATGTGGGCTTCCTGGGTCTGTAGGTCACTTCCTTTTAGCTCGACATCTAAAATCTGAGAACCTGGCCTGTAAAGCCAGGGTTCAAGTAAATCACAATGTCACAATCAATATACATTGCTCGAATTTCAGTGTATACATTTGTCTTTTCAATCAAAGTACTGCAGTTCAATTCAATCTCAACATAATCATCATAATCCACAGTAAGTACATAGCACTTGCCGTTAGTCCAAATAAATAAAATTTACAGCATTTATATTAAATACTCATTTCATTCAATACATTCGATTCAGGAATCAATGTTAAATATTAGCAATCACCGTTACATTTTAGAGTTAGGCATTGGCATCATCCAGCTAACACCATCCATTCATCTGAATGGAGGTGGCTAAGCTATCAAGACAAACAATTCTGCTCACCAGTTTACAGTTCAATCTTCACATTTGAGGGGGCTCCTCAAATCACCACAGACTAGTAACGGGCTCCTATGAGTTCAATAAAGTTTGTTACATAAGGTTGTCCGTTTGTATTAGTGAAGAACCAGCGAAAATGGATAAAAACCGACCTGTTGCTCATCTGTCTCCTGATTCCCCACTGCTTCCTCACACTGAATTGCCGCGGTATGATAAACGAACGTGATTGGCGCCGCTGCGTCAAATGCCGACATGACGTCATCGCGTACTTCGTTCTGATTGGCCGAGTGGGCCAGGTATCCATCTCACGAGAACAGGATCAAAATCTCGCGAGAACGGGATCCAAGAATACCGCGAAAAGAGAAGCAGGAACTGAATATGATAAACAATGAGAAGCAGGAGCTGAATTATCATCTGGCTTATATACAGTTTTCTCTTTGTTTGGTACTAGTGATGGGAAGAACAGCTCTTATGACTGTACTGAATCTTTAGAATCTGTTCATTAAAATGATTTGTTCAAAAAATTCATTCACCAAATCAGTCAGCACCTCAGAGCCCCATCCCGCCAGTGCGGTACACGAGTGAGTGGCACAGCGGCGCTTACAGGGGTTTCGCCAATAGAACGAGCCCCTCCCCTCTTCTGCTGCTGAAGTCACAGCATGGTTCACTGGGTGACACATGTCATTCATTCGCCAAGTCCTGAAGGAAGAGTCACTCACCCGGCCCTGAAAAACTCACCTCTCTGTGTGTTGCTGATGTTCGCATCAACACACGAGTGCGAGTCGTTGTTCTTTTAGATCATGGAAAAGTGGAGAGATTAAAAATAGATACACATTGCAGCTGTAGCGGGGATTCTGATACTTTTAAAGATATCAAATAGCGTATTGCTTGAAATTGGCTGAAATTAAATCCTTCTAGCAGGTAAGTTTATAGACGTGTATTACTGTAAAGGCGCTATAATGCTCTGTTTTATCTTAGCCTCAGTGAACTAGCAGGTGTGTGAACGACGCTACTTCCCTCCCTCCTCTGCCTGTCTCAAGTTGTTCAGAAGTCATTCATTTCATTCACAGTCTGACTGATCAGTTCCACTCCTGACACTCGCGGCAGAGCTCAATTGAACTAAGAAAGGAACAAATCAGGTCTCGGAGTGATTCTTTTCACGTCGTCCACTCAGCAGTTCTGTTCTTTTGAACGAAACATTCATGAACGACACAACACCATATGGTACAGTTTACACACATTTTTGTGGATGTGACTGTGAACTGTGTTTACAGGCGCTTGTTTTTTAGACAATGATTGCCCCGACAGTCATTTCTATTGTTGATGGGACAACAACAACAACAACAAAAACCTTTCTGGATGTTTATTTTAAATAAAAAATGTTTACATTTCAAGTTTTAGGGAAATTGAGTTTTTAAAATAGTGCTGGTGTTTAGAATTGAATCTTTTTCCAATGATTGCTGAGGCCAAAATGTCACAATTCAAGCTACCCCTCCACCCCCTCCACTCGCATTTAACCATATTAAAGATACAAACCAAAAACCTACTTTTAGTAAATGCATAGCATAATACAGTGCATACTTAGTCCACATAGCGGAGTAATAATACTGTATATTAAAGTAAAGATTTGCACAAACCAGATCCGCACACAGGAGATTGAGAGGCTCAGCCAATATAAGGCTTGACCTACCAGTTGAAAAAAAGGAAAGAAAAGTTTGTACAAGAGTGAAGGACACCTTAGAAACAAAGAGCATCAGGAGTCCTGGATAGGATAGACAGAGCTGAGGGGGAGACACTAGGGGAGAGGAACCAGACAGCTCTGCCTCGCCAAAAACCAAGCAGCCTGGGAGCGCTAGAATAAAGCAATCTGGACATGTAGGGAGAGACGGTACACAGGAGAGACAAAAACAATCACAGGAAAGTCACAGAGGAACAGGTTTAGGCAGAGCCTGAAGGTTGGAATGACAAAGATTTTTTTTTTTTTTTTCAGGATTTTCAAACCAAAAAGAGACCTCGACACCACTTCCAGTTGTAAAAACTACTTTTAATCGAATTAGTAATAGACTGTACATACAGGGGGCTTTTTAGTCTGCCTGACTACTTAAAGTACTTGGACACTTCTCATTAACCCTGCATTCATCCACTGATGGCAGAGGGTGCTATTGTGGGGACCATTAGCTGAAATAATATGCACTTACACACTTCTAACTGTGTCACTGGGAGCAATTTGGAGTTCATTGTCTTGCCTAAAAACACTACGGCTGATGAGATGTATGTGTTACATGTATGACATAATTAACTTTTTTTTTTTTAATTATCAATGTTGGTCTTTTAGGATGTTGGTGTGTCTTATTAACTGACATTAGCTGGCTCCCTGTGTAGCAAACATAGTCTGGTTTGAAACCACAGTCTTATCCCTCCATTATGACTGTGTTTCAGTTCAGTCAAAGCTTGGAATATGTGACTGTAAAGACCACATAGAGGTCTTAACAGTTTTTCAGTTTCATCATCTGGAGTGTTTGGATGGGGTTGAAAGGGACACCTCATGAGCATACAGTTTCAGTTATGGGTAACAGATGACTAATATTAAAGAAAACATTCATCTTTAAGCTTTGTGATCTGTCGTCTGTTTAGCTAGGTCACAGGTCCACTCTTTAAGTCCCCACTCTGCTGGGATCTAACAATCCTGTTTCAGCTTTCCAAATGACACAAAAGCAAAGATACTAGCCTACAAATGGAGCAGCCCACTGTAACCCAGGTGATAATTCAGCTCCTGCTTCTCTTTTCGCGGTATTCTTGGATCCCGTTCTCGCGAGGTTTTGATCCTTTTCTCGTGAGATCGATACCTGGCCCAATCGGCCAATCAGAACGAAATACGTGATGACGTCATGCCGGCATCTGACGCCGCGGCGCCAATCACGTTCGTTTATCATACCGCGGCAATTCAGTGTGAGAGGAAGCAGGAGGAGACAGATGAGCAACAGGTCGGTTTTTATCTATTTTCGCTGGTTCTTCACTAATACAAACGGACAACTTTATGTAACAAACTTTATTGAACTCATAGGAGCCCGTTACTAGTCTGTGGTGATTTGAGGAGGGCTGTAGATGTGAAGATTGAACTGTGGACTGGTGAGCAGAATTGTTTGTCTTGATAGCTTAGCCACCTCCATTCAGATGAATGGATGGTGTTAGCTGGATGATGCCAATGCTTAACTCTAAAATGTGATTGCTAATATGTAACATTGATTCCTGAATCAAATGTATGGAATGAAATGAGTATATAATATAAATGCTGTAAATTTTATTTATTTGGACTAATGGCAAGTGCTATACTGTGGATTATGATGATTATGTTGCGATTGAAATGAACTGCAGTACTTTGATTGAAAAGACACATGTATACACTGCAATTCAAGCAATGTATATTGATTGTGACATTGTGATTTACTTGAACCCTGGCTTTACAGGCCAAAGGAAGTGACCTACAGACCCAGGAAGCCCACATCTCTCTGCCAGGCTGGTAGGGGCTCCTTGTAGCCGCAACACTCTCACCCCACTGTACAGCCCATCAATCCAGACACACACACACACACTCCACCCAACATTTTCCCTTTTCCTCCCAATCCTCTGGACTCACACCTTTGCACCCAGACGTGGGTTGTTGTGTTGTGAGGAACTATTGGTGGCCAAGTGCCCATTACTTATTTGGTCATCGTGTTGTTTGACTAACTGATTGAACTGATTTACATTGTCTGACTTCACTGATTTATTGCACTGTACTTCTGTTATCATTTCCATGTTATGTATGTCCTTGTATGTCACTGTAAATAATTGCACTGTGGTTATTAGTCATCTGCTTGCTTAAATATATGGTACCATTTCAAAAGCAACACTCAGTCTCGTGTCCACTTCTTCCCTGAGCGTTCTCTAATTCTTCTGGTCAAAAGCCCAATATTATACATCAAACTATATTTACATCCATTAAATTGTGTCAGCACAAGTGCTATACTACCATGGTACAACAAAGAGGGATCAACCAGGAACAGGCCCAATTCAAGCAGATCCCAGACTTATAAAGTGAAGCTAAACGTATGCCCCTATCTTGGTTGACATAGGAAGTGTTGGGGTAGTTAGTCATAAAAAGTAATTTGTTACTAGTAAGTAGTTACTTCACTGCTTGTTACTTTACTTTCCCATTTCTTAATTTATCATGTAGGGATGCATGGACAAACATCATATCCCAATCATCACTGATCATAGTCCGCATCGTTTTATTGTATAATTGTCACCTGAGCATAGAGTGCATTTTACACAAATATTTTTGGCCTTTCGACTAATAAAACAAAAGTAATGTGAGTATCACCACTTCCTAAAAGCCCCTGTGTCATCAGCCTCTGTCTCCGTCTCCATTTCCATCTCTAAGTCAGTCAACTCGATCTCTGCATAGGACTTTCAAAGACCACATGATTGTGCAATGCATGGGGTGTCGGACAGCGCCATCTTTAAAGGCAATTTTTTGTTTACATTCGACAGGGAAGCTGCGAGATAGCAACACGGTGAGAGCAAAACACCCAAGAAAGTGAATCCTGCGAAAGAAAAGACTGTCAGAGCATACAGAGACAAGCTGGACGTTACTGTTATCCATAACTTTGTAGTGCGTTACCCTCAAAACTTGAAATAGGACACGGCACACACCTTTATAAACTTTCTTTTATAACTTTGCCATCCCCCAAAGACTTCTTGTGTTTGTCCAAATATGGTTAAGGCAAAGATGTCATCACTACATCTATGGTGTTATGGTGTTTGGCCACAGAGAAACTGGCTGCTGTGCTGCTGACTGGTCCTCTTACACTGTCTGAGTTCATAGAACTTTTCTGGCAGGAAAACCGGCCTCAGAGTGTCCTTGTACCACCTGAAATACAGCTCTTAACTGCCCTGCTTTGGCACAGCCACACTTGTAATGTGTCTACGTGGATTAAATGTCCATTCACCTAAAGTTTAATGAGACTCGGCTGTGCCTCCACAAAACAAAAAACCAACCCAAAACTGTAAATAAAACCCAATTAAAACAAATAAGTACATAAAGGCAGGAGGACGCATTCTTCAAAACTTGGGTCACAACAATAATAAGACATTAGCCAAAAAAGGCACTGAAAAAGGTAACTTTGAAGTATGCACCTTCAAGGGCAAATCAAATATGAGGAATAGAGGCAGTGTGAGTGAGCCCTGTTACAACACTGCCAGTTACCATTAGCAGTAATTGGCATTTCTCTGTTTAAAAAGAGAAGTATGCAGATTGAGTTCATGAAACAATAGATAGTTATACTCTCTACATATCTGAATATGAAGTAAGTGTATGTAATTGTTCTGTCTCTATGGGGAATGTGCAGCCTTCAGTGTAATCTACTCACTGCAGTTCTGAGGCCTCTGGGTATTTCCAGCCTGCAGCATCGGTTTCAGGCACCAGGCATTTTGTAGAAATAAAGCTCTCTTTGAAGTGTGGGTCATCTTTTTTGATAAACAATGTTTTCTTACGCTTCGGCAAAAACAAAGTGTTGATATTGTGTAATCCAAATTACGTAAATAACAGTTCAAGCAAGGGACATTATTTATTCTTAATGATGTGCCAAGATTTTCCTTTTCTTTTCATTGCTGTAATGATGTGCCCCATCGAGTGCTGAGGGTATGTTCTGCCAAAAGACAACAAAATGACTCAATTATTGCACGTTAATTTTTCCCTCAGTTAATCTGGCATGTTCAGTTGTCGGCCAGTGGCCAAATAGATGCTTTGAATTATCAAATAATCACCACAAAGTAACGCTTCCAGTACCGATCTTTTATTTTTATTTCACCCAAGTGTCTTTGAGAGGCTCACTAATGCGTGCTGATTATCCTCCTACTGTATATTTTTCACCTTGGGTTTTTGGAAAGATGTGCTTTTATTTTCTTATTTCCTAGTCTAACTTGTTAGCTGTGATATTTTCCTATGCCCACGCGCATCTTTGTCATGTTAATTTTAATTTTTTTCATTCTTTTTTTTTTTTTTCCAGGTATGTATCAGAGAGAAGACTTAAACAGACTGACTGCCAGCTGAGCAAGAAAGAAAGTTTTGGTCCTTGACCCAGAGGTACATTGGTGAAGTAATCTGAGTTTAATTACCCTACCTAGGTAAGGAATTCAGAGATTACACAGGTGAAAGTATTAAGGATGTAAAATATTGCAGATTAAAGCATGCTTGTTTTTGTATGGCTGAAGAAATGGTGACTAAACTATGATAATTGGCTCAAAATCGGCACGATTAAGTTGTCCAGAGTTTTTATTGATTACAACGACACCAAAGGGCAAAACGGACCAAAATGCAACTGAAAGAACATTTTCTGAAAAGCATTTTTATCTTAGATCTAAGAACGAATCTAAAATAGCTGCAGAAATTAACCCTGTTATTCTGTTCAAAGTTAAACTCCAGCTTTGCGTTTAAGTCCTTCTCTGTCTGTATGAACATTAATCTGTATAACAATGGGCCCACATTACAAACATCACCTTCATTATTACACAGCTATCAACCAAATATTGATTAAGGATGATGTTATTGATCCTAAAGTGATGCTCTTAAATATGTTCTTATCAGTCTACTTGTGGTAGAAATGCAAGTTGGGTGACTGCCTTTCACTCAACTACTCCATGGAAACTGCTGAAAAGTACTTTTTTTTTTCCTCCTTTTGGTTGTATACTTAAACATCAATCTTCAGTTTTGTGCTGTCTATAATTTAAACTCCTCTCAGAAACTAAGGACTTCGTCACAGTGACACAGGGAGTGAAATGTGCCAGAACTCCTTTCCTCAGAGTGATTTTACACTGGGGAAACACTGAAGGCCTTGGCTTAATATCACATATTAATATTTTGCATTGAGTATAAATATGTCCCTTTTTAGGTGACAACCATTTTTAATTTACTCTGTACCAATGGACTTAGTTGCCTTTGTTTAACTTTAAGGATGCAGGAACCAAACCTTAATTTAGAGTCACATAAACTCAGACTCCCTCCTGAAAAGAGAAACATCACAGACAAAACAATAATTCAATAGATACTCCTTTGTCACACCAACATAAAACAGTTTTCCTGCTTAAATTTTGGAGGGGATTGACTCAAGTAAAAGGATTTACTGCCTTATATCTACTGTAGAGATGAAAACCCTTCTCTGGCTATCACTTGTAGCAGCCGCTTACAGTGAATCTCTGCCTCCAGCCATTATAAGTACTTTTTTATTATACGTTGCCCTTTCACATACATTCCAACCAGTTGCCATGACAGCTGGGGTCAAAACACATACAAGTCCGTTGTCTATGTGCCAGTTATATAACATGCATTAGCCCAAAGGGTGCATGACCCTGGTATTCTACTTCACTTTGATGTTCCTAAGTGTGACTGGGTGGTCTTGTGAAGGTGGTTATTCTGCTATAAAGCTAATGCCAGTGCTACTTATACCTGAACATATGTCCCTTTATCCTGATGTACTGCATATGCTATAAGAAAAAAAAACATGCCATTCAAGGTTCTTCTGCAACCACTTCTCTATATTATATTGGCATATACACAAGTCTGTTGTCAGAAACACTTTCCCTCAGTCGTCTTAACGAGAGACATGAAGTAAATAACAGGTGACTTGGTAGAGCAACGCTGCAATACTTACAGTAGGGAAAAGAGACATTAGACTGTTGAAAAGATAAATGTGTGTTTATTGTGGCTATTTCTCTTATCTTTATGATACACATAGGAAGCTGGAATAGAAACATAACACTTTCTACCAAATTAAGGGTGGTAAGCAAGGATGGAGCGACACGATACCTCATAAACCTTAGTCATAAGAATTCAACAGACCTACTAACAGGTCATTTACTCTTTCCCCACCTGCACCTGGCTCCTTTCCGTTAAGGTTGAGCTTCTTTGCTTGTTCATAAAAGTGGGAGTGCTGTACTTCTCCACGTGATCCGTCACAGCGCCACCCATCGTATTATAGTGAAAACACAGATTGACAGAACATCTGCTCACTGGCTGAAAAGTGTTTTATCTTAAATAATTAAAAATCCCATCAACCGTGGAAAAGAGTTAACCATTTCTTATGATGTTCCTGTTAATGTAAATTTTGTTTTTTTTCTCTACGTCTTTTTTCAGTTATAGGGCCGTTGGCAATAGTGAAGAAGCCACTACTGCCCCCTGCAGTCCACTGTGCCTGTTTTCTAGAATATCAATATTTCTTTCTCTCAAAAAGGTACAGTATAATGCAGCTGCCCTACTGTTTCATAATACTCTATGGACTATGGAACTATGTATTCATGAGGTCAGTCCTGAGTTTGGATTATGTTAAATAGATGATAAATGTCTGAAAAACCTGGGAACCATAAAAAAAAAAAAAACAATGGTAATATAACTTTGGAAAGAACTACGTCCACACCGAATTACATAAATCTGCAAAGACACAAAAAACACTCCAGTAAAAAGCTCTGTGGGAAATTTGAAAGGATACAGAAGAAGTACAATAAGATTCATGCTAAACAACCACAAACTGAGAGAACAACCAGAGACACACATAAGTTACAGAGAAGCACAACTGCAGAATGACCTCAAAACAATAGAAACAAAACTGTATTTCACTTTATTAGATAACTTGAAGTATACCTAGATTGAAGGGGAAAAAAGTAATGATAAGCAGACAATCCTCCAGGACTCTATGTTGGCCTATGTTGTCCATGGTTTTTAGGATCTATGCCTCTGAGCACGTGGATTTCTTGAATTCTTTGGTCGATCTAATCCTCATACTTGCATCTTTATCATCCGTCTGCTGAGATATGTCATAGCCAAATGGAGAAATTTGTTAGATTACTCACTCTCCGGTGTCATCAACTCAGTCAAAGCTGCTACTCCATCACTGTCATTTTTGTTTATCATGCTGCTGCATTGCGTCTCACTTATATGCAGCGCTCTCAACTCTTTCACCTCGTGAATAAAACTTAAAAAGTTTTCACTTCCTGAAGTCTACTGTGTTCAGAAGCCTTGAGATCTTTTTATGTGGTTTTAAGTGTCAAACATGGAGGTCGTCAGTGTGAGGAATTCTTTTCAAATGACCAAGAAAATTCATACATAATAAACCTTTTAGCAAAACAGAATTCAGGGCAGCAGGACGGATTATACAGCGGAGAAGAGTTTCTTTCCTGAAAATGCCCTTTTGCTCTTTGACGATCTTCTACCACACATCTTCAAAAGGGTCAGATCAATCTCTGCTGTGTGTCAAATCTGTATTGTGGGCCTACCAACTTGTGGCCAACAATCAAGCCTTCGCAGTGGTAGTCACATATCTTTCATGTACTATTCCAATTCAATATCCAGAATATATTCTGACCTTTTCTCAAATCTTTCATCGCCTTTGAATTAATGGACCGTGTGTCCTGATTTAAAACACCTCCTAAATCAAAGACTGAGTCGGTTTAAAGAGTTGTATTTAACACCTCAAAGTCTCAGTATGTTTTTATTATTATTATTATTATCAGAGGTGGATTTAACTTGGCTGAATGTATTTGAAGACTTGACCCATTTGCTTATAAAGTTTTCTTCATGTTTATGCACAAGAGGCTTGTGTAATCTTCAGCTGTTTGTCCTCAAAGGACACCACAGACTCAGTGAAGTGAGATGTGAATAGGAGGGATCATAGACTATATATAGAATGGACACCGTCTGCCTCCTCGCTGGGTGAAACCACCGCGAGAACAGCACCCTCTGGTGACGGGCTGCAGTATAGGTCATAAATCTCGCCTCCTCCAGCAATCCTTATGGAGCTGAGGACAAAATTTAGAAATTTATCACACAGAATATAAATGTTCCTCCCCCCTACTTGTGATGTTGACATGCAGTTACAGTAAGACAGGTTTGTGCTCAAGTCCTCTTTTTCTTTGCAGTTTCATTTTTGAAGTTATAAGCGGGTTCATGTTTTCTATGATTGACACTTGATACAGCCTATAGGTGTACAAAGATTGCGTAGCTCACCCGGGGGATACGCTGTTTGAGCCAAGCGCATCACAGCGACTCAACAGCGGGTTGTACTTTTGTTGTTGGGTGGATTCTGGACTTTCATTATTAAGTAGTTATACAGAGCAGAGTAAAACAAAATATATGACTTCTTGAAAAAAGTTTTTTCTTGATGTCAAGATAGATCAGCAAGAAGTATAATTTTTTTTCAGGAGACTACTTGATAAAACTTTATATTACATGGAAAAGTATTTACAAATAGACAATGACAAAGTCACAATCATTACTTAAATAAGCACAACTGTGTCCAGTGTCTGACATTTAATATTCCATGTTGAGGTTTCAAACTTTTATTTCTAATGCATCACCATTTTTTATTTCAGATATCAAGATAATTTGACTGTTGCTGAAATGCAAAACTGAGCGTCTGCACCTCTTAAACACAACATCAATATCAATTAAAGTTATTAAGATGGAAACACATCATCCTGCTGAAAATCAGCTTCTATATGATTTTTATTATGAATCACTCACTAACTCTCTGGAACATTGCCATTACACCGGCCACTCTAATCGAAAAGGTAATAATGCAATCCTCTTTTAGTCAGTGAATAAGTTGATTAAGTAGCAGGCCATGGTCTGATCATTTGTCTTTCATCATCATACTTTGTTTTAATCTTAATTTATTTCATATTCCTCCAGTTATAGGCTATGAAGCATCATTTAACTGGTAGGTGCTCTCAACAGCTGAATCTCCTGTGTCAGGAAATCTGATGCAAGTGCAAAGACAGTCAGGCATTTGAGTTTTCTTTCTAATAAGAGCCGCATAATCCTGAAGGAGAGAGCTCCTCGGCTGCTTTGCTTTTGACACCACGTCTGATTTTCACTCTCCCAGTAGACTCCTTTAAAACCAGCTTCTGAGCTGGCCTGAGCTCTTTGTTTGAGCAGAGGAAAATCAATGAAGAACACACTTACAGTAAACTGTCTTCTGTTATCAGTGATGCTTAATATCATGAAAAGTACTGATAATTTGTCCTCATTATCAGCCATATAACCTACAATAACCAATGTATTAGGTTTCAAAATCTTACTGTTGCCATATGAGGTCCGTAAATATCCAGTTCCTTCAGGATTACAGACGAGAACACGTTTTCACGTTTCACTGAGAGCTTCCTCGTGTCTCCAGTCAAAGCTTTCTGGAGTGGGCTTTTTCCAGGCGGGGGCTTTTACCTCCTAATTTCAGGCTTTGCTTCACAGTTCATTGTGCTCTCTGTCTCCATGCTGTCTGTGAAGTGGCAAGTTCATCTAGTATTTTCCTCTTTAGAAAACTACATGGAATGGATTCTGTCACAACGAGTGCTGACTTCATTTTTCACACTGAGAACAGGCTAACAGCTCAAGGAAGACGGTGTTAACAAGTGCTTGGCTCTTGTCACTTCTATCCATGGAGGTCTACATAATCACAGTGTTATTTTATTGCTGCAACAAAAGCACTACAAGCTGATACTTTCCGCAGTGCTTTTTAGATTTGTGGTGTTCAGTCTTTGGGGGACAACTCTGAGGAATGTTTCTGTCCTGCAGCTGTTGTACCATCTCCGAGACACTAATTGCACCCATTTTTCGCTGGACGTGTTCCCGATGCTGTCTCGTCAGATAGAGCACTGTTGTGTTTCCCTTTGGTCCAAGACAGATTCTCTGTGAAGGCATGGTTAGGGTGAAAGATGAGAGAGAGGAACACAGAGAGAAAAAGACAAAAAGGAGAAAGAAAAAAGGAAGCGAGAAACAGACTTTTTGACATTTTTACAATCATATTGGTATAATGAAGGCGAGTCTTGTGACTTTTTATTTCCAGCAATTTGCAGAGGAAGTTTTTCTTCCACTGTAGTGACAGAAAATCTTTTGTTTTTGTAATATAAGTACTTCACTTTGTCGTCCTCTGAATGATTTCTTCATCATTTTATGTTAACCGAAGAGAAGAGTAAAGACAGGCTCGACATCAGCCAGATGGCAAGACTGTAAAACAGTCTATCCTTGAGTGATTGACTTGTCCGGTGTAGTTTGTCACAAAATACTAGTGTGAAGTTTCACATTAAGCATAAGACATAATTACACACATATCCAGCTAATGGGTGAAGAATCTGTGAGTTAGGGTTCCTTCTTGATGATATGTTAAAGGAGTTCTGATTGAATGAAGTCAGTTTAAGTTCACCCTAAATTAAGGTCGTTACACACCAGTGAATTAGCGAAGCAAAGTTAAATTTTCTTGAAGACTCCAAAAACAGGCAACTGGACTGTGTAGAGTTGAGAAGACGTTTCGCCTCTTATCCGAGAAGCTTCTTCAGTTCTAGGAAGTGGCTCTCCTGTGTTGAGCCATGCGCTTGTGCAACAGGAGACAACACAGGAGAGCCCCTTCCTCAGGTCAGGACTCAGCTGTCCACCTTCACTTAAAGGACACGGGTCACTCTTTCGAGGACATCAATGTACAGGTGTTGGCTAGAGAAGACAGATGGTTCTAAAGAGGAGTTAAAGAAGCCATCTTGACCCGGCTGGAGAAACCTTCTCTGAACAGAGGGGGGGGACTCAGGCACAATCTCTCTGGCACACCCGGAGATGGCTTTCTACGACCCATTCTTTCCAACTCCTCCCAGTCGTTGTCTGTCCCCTTCTCCAGTTAGATAAATATCTGCTCCTCACATTAGCAATATTTAGACCTGAAGAAGCTTCTTGGATAAGAGGCGAAACGTCTTCTCGACTCTACACAGTCCAGTTGCCTGTTTTTGGAGTCTTCAAGAAATCCATGACCTGGATCAATAAGAATCTACATGGACGAAAATGCGAAATATTCAGCTTATGCCTTTTGCCTGTTCGAAAGGTGGCAGTTCATCTGTGAATGGTCACAAAATTTGGTACAGGGGCGAAAAAATTTAAGTTCGTTTTTCACTCTGCAGAAGTCCGTAGCTGGTGTGGAAGCTTGCATTGACTTTTTGAGTTTTTTTTTAAAAGAGGTTAATTATTCGCTTTGCAAATTCGCCCTGGTAATGACCTTTAGTGTTGAGCAACAGGGACTGATTATACTGTACCCTTATATGAAATATGTATGAGTCTTGCATTAAATATATTTGTGGAGCACTACCATTACATCTGTGCTCATGGCAGCTATTTGAAGTACCTTCATGTAAATGGTTTTTAGGGAAGCTGAGGTTCGATGTGACTACATGAGACCTGCACAGGTCCATGTTTTAATTAGAGACCATGTAATTCTGTGTATTGATTCAGCTCCTGGAGTATATGACATTTTCTACCTCCTCTCCGGCTAATCTAGTCTTTCAGAATGCAGTGCAGTAAATTATTCAGTGTGGTTAATTGAGGGCAGAAAATCCTTCAAATCTGTAGATGGTCTGAGGCTGTGTGAGGGGTGGCAACGACTAGACGCACAGACATCAAAGCCAGAAAAAAGAGAGAGAAGAAATATTTGTTTTCATTGTGTTTGCATATTTGGTGTCTTTTCTTTCCAAAACAGAGTTTGCATCCTGTGGGCAATTTCATGTGGCTGTAGATCCTCTGGAATACACAGAACTGCACATTAGTCATGCAGTCGAAATCCCTCTCTATAGACCACATAATGAGGCACCCTGAGTTCAACTGAGACAAACTTCCTTTTTGTCTTTTCTTGACACTGGATCATAACCTGCCATACTGATGATTTCATGCAGATTTTTTGTTCTCCCCCTGTGCTCACTGAGGTGTTAGACGATGTGATGAGCACCACAAGAAATGTGGGAAGGCTGCCAGTCTTTTTGATGTCAGGAGATGCTAGCGTGTGGAGGTGCATAGCAGAGCAGCATCTAAATTCACAAAGGCAGCTCACTGTTTAAGGGCAAAAGGATCTCTCACCCGTCTTTCAGTCTGTTGTTTCTGGCCACAGGGCCGCATGGCATCACTCCCCCACTGTTCATTACTAAACATTAGGATGATGGAGCTATTCGATGCATAAAACATCTCTCACATGGTTTGTTAACTTGTTTATTTCTTCTTGATTAAAAGTCAAACGGAGCTGATTAAAAGGGAGAATTTAGAGACTTTCTTTTTAATTTCAAAAGCATTTATCAGATGGGAAAAATCTGCTCAGAAAACCTGAACATATGATTCCCTTCGTGCTTTGATTTAGCAGCATCTGTCTGAAATAAATAGTCAGTTTGGTTAACTGAATAATACTTTAAACAAATGAGTTGACTCTTATTTGCTACAAGCCTGCAGGAAGTGTATATTTGATGCACACTAGACTCCTAGAAATGACCCAGAAAATCATGGTGTCCTGGAATTGTGACAAAAATACATGATTTTCAAAATTGGTCACACTGCAGGACAGTGCTCAGTCCACCTTGTCCAAGTCCGAAAACTGTCCTGATGTTTATCGGTCATGATTTTAAGCCATGCAGTGATTTCCACTACAGACAGAGTAATGATTGTTTTAAATGTAGTTCTGCCTGAGGGGTTGAAATCGACTAACATCCACTATTGGTTTTGGGCCTTGTAGCATTTTTCAGTCTGAAAATGTCATGTGTTAATTTTGCACTGTTTTTAATTAAATTGGATTTCCTTTCAAGGATCAATAAAGTTCTTCATCATCCTCTTCTTCGAAAATAAAGTGTTTAAAAATTTACTAATCATTTAAATCGGTACAATTAACATTTTACTCAATGCCGTAACGTTTTTGGAACAGGGGTTGTAATCTAAGATGTCAACATATGTGTGTACCATAAGAAATTTAGCATTTTGGAAATTGAAATCGAGACAAAAACTTGCACCTTCACACATTTTATTAATGCCTATTTCATTTAATGTCTTTTAAATTTTGACGCTGGGAGAAAAATAACCTCTGACTTTTTTGAAGGTCCTTATTATTTCCACATCTTTTCCTCTCATCAGTGAATAAATAAGAGAAACAAAAAGAAAAAAAAAACTGCTAATAATTAAACAGTCTTAGGTCAAATTAATTAGGGAAGTACGATACAACCAGTTTTACAACAGTTTTAAAATAGATAAATCTTATTTAAAACACATCAGAACAATCTGTCATTTAACGTATCTTGACTTTGTGTGTCGATCTGAAGCCATTTCATTTGTTTCCTCTGAACTCGCAGCCACTGAGAGGAAGAAAAAAAAGTTTTTTATTCACATGACAACAAATTCAAAGCAGTTTCTTGCTCTCCTGGTGTCACTTGCACGCCTTAAAACAAAATGACTTTCTCTCCAGCCTTATCTCTGGGCTTTTGAGGAAACACGGGAAGGCATATTTGACAGAAAAATTCACCACGAGGTGTCTCATTTGGTTTTGCTACAGGCTGTGTCACTCCTTTGTGTATTCATTATATTTTGGGATACAGAAACCTCCACACATCCCTGCTAGTATTTAGACTCAGCTGAAATACCGCCTCAGATGAAATGTTTAAAAATGAACCCCATGGGGAGAAGATATAAGGTTTGTCTACATAATGGCCTGTCCATACACTTATCTGTGAATGGTGTTGTGTTGTGTTACTCGTAAGTATAACTAAGACTGAACACTTTCAGCCTTAATCATATGTAATTGTTCTGCTCTGCTGTCAAAATTCTGAGTTTGTCCTACTAGGGTTACCATAGTTACACAGTTCATGAGTAAAATCATCTACTCACCTCATTCACGTGAATCTAGATGCCTGGATGAGTCGGTCTTACTCGCTTTATTTGCGTGTCAACATAATTTCAACGGTAATTTGCCAATTCAACCAGCGGGATCAAGTGATAGACAAAGGTTTTTTACAACTTACCAGGTAATCTGACCTCCTCACTCACTTGCCTCCAGGTATCATATAATTTGGGGCACCCACACACTGACACGGTGACACCAGTGAACAACTGTCAAATGTGACTTAAACCGAGCTAAAGCAGTCCCTGTGATACCTATTTGACATTCAAGCCTCTGTAACACGATCTACTTGTATTGAAAGCAGCACTAAGATCTCACAAAACAAGTATCATGAGAAACCACAGTCCACGGTCATTGGTAGGACATCAGTCACATTTAATCTAAGAAGCAAAGAACTCCTCTCCTTGTCTTTTGGAGAAGTTAAACAGCTTTTATTATGGCAAATACTTTCACACTTCCAGGTTGTTTCACTCAATTGGGAACCTTCCTCGACAAAAAAGACTTTTCTGCGCCCTCCTCTACTATGAATTCTTTTCAGGTTCAAGAGAAATCTCTTACCACAAAATCAATGCAAGTCAGAATAAAAGAAATGGTTTTATAAAGAGAAATTATTGACGGCCGCTCCAAGAACACCAAACTAAAAATGAAAGTCAAACTGGATTTTTTTTTTCTAAAGGTTCAATTCGGTTGATGTCCTTCAGCTCAAGTGCTGCTCTCGTTCCAAATCAGTCAAAACAGAGCCTGCAGAAGTAAAAGAAAAAACGGCTTTTGCAATATATCCTCAAAGAGATATTGTCTTTAGGTAGGAAAGGACAGTCTGGGAATTCTGGGAAACAAACTGTGTTGTTCATCGTTTCCTTTTGGAGTATGACAAATCAATGAATTGGTGAGAAATAATTGGGATCAGTCTTGACAGAAAAACATTGTTGGCCGGTGAATGGAGCCTGGAAGTGTGATAGGAGTCTGTGTTTCTGTATGTTGTTTTTGCCATTTGTTATTTTTCTCAGAAGGACAGTCTCAAAACTTACACCCAGAAGACTGCAAGATGTTTTAGCCTGAAGCATAACAATATTGTTTCTTGTACAGAATAAAGAATTTTTAAAGCCCCAAAGAATTGCAAATCCAGACATAAAAGACAAGAGAAAACAGCCCCCTGTGGTTGGGCTGAGATAGATTTCCCGGCATAGAAAAGAAAAATGTTAGAGCAGAAAGTTTTTAAAGCAGCTCCCTGGTGGTGTTAGTGGGACGGTGGTCGTGGTGAGCTCTTTAAGAGAGCATGAAAAGAAAAAGGTACACAATGGATCTGAAATTCGTGAAATGATGAGCTGCAGTCTGATGGTAACTGAAAAGTGATGTGGAAGACTACCTGATCGGACTCAAGTACCTCGTCACACTGATATATACAGTATTTATTGGATCTGCAGTTATTAAATAGTATCTCATTCAGGTGTGAAAGTTTGCTTTTTTCATTAGTTTTCACAGCTGAAGCTTGGAGTGAAATAAGTTCTCAAGCACAGATGCTCGCGTATAAAATCGACTCTGCAGGTGGGCTGGGCCCTCGGCTGTCTATAGCAGATTAATAGTTCTCTGCTCCACCCAGACGTCAACATGAGATCCTCCCGCTGAGTTTCATTTACAGCTCCTCTGATATGCTGCAGATTAGATTTTTTCTCTGTATCTGAATTGCTTGAATGGCTTTAAAATCTACTGATCAGAGTGGGTCTTTTTAATGATCTCAACATGTTACACTGTCAGTGACTGTGCAGTGCCTCTCGACAGAGGATTTCGGAGATGCTGGTGATGTGCCCTTTCAATCCCTGATTTCTTCCTGCCTCATCTCTGCCCTGTTATCTGTCTCTGACTCACCACCCTTCATTGCTTTCTAGCTTTGCAGATTATTTCTTTGGTATTCTATAAACTTCTAGTTCACTCATGCAAACGGAGCATGATACCTCAGCCATAAGCTTTATTTTACCTTTTGCATTTCCACAACAGCTGTAATTTAAATTTGGTTTTTAAGATAGGATTCCCGTCATTTTTCTTAACTCCTTAAAAGAAAACAAAAGAATTCAGATACGTCAATATATGTTGTCATATTTACTGTATTTGACTGTAATTCTGCTGAAAAGAAGCCATCAGTCTAACATCCTCGTGCCGAGGTTTGGAAGTTAGCAACAAGACTCATTAAATATAACACAAACTATCAACGCATGAGTACATTTCACTCAACTGTGTTTTTGCATCTCTGAGAGTTTGAGACTTTTTTGTCTGCAACACCAGCAGAGTAAAGCGTATTTAATGATTAACTATCTTACTTTCATACCTCTTTTTTGTGTTCAGTTACTGCATTGATGCCGCCACAAATCTGTGCCTCTTTTTTGGACATATTAATCCTGGTAAAGACCAATTCACTCACAGCTAGCTCTAAAAAAAAGCACAGCATTAGAAGCACCAAGAGACCTCTGATAATTTGTTATAATTGCAGTGGGAGCAGGAAACAGAGTTTTAATCCCATGTGAACCAACAATGTCTGTAATTTGTGAAGAAAAAGAAAATCCAGGACAAATCAGTGAAACATATTTGAGAACACACAGAGGTCCTCTGATAATGTTAATCCAGTCTGTGTCTGCTCAAGTTAGAGTTAAACATGACAGAGGTTTGACAGCATTTAGTCTTCAGTCTTTAACTAATTATGAGATTTTTGTTCAGGTAAAAAGTAATCCCCATATAATCTCATTGTTTTCCTGTGTAGAGTCACACTGTCAAAGCTTACAGGAGCTTTAAATAAACACACATCAGTGTCTTCTAACTAGAGTATTTCTGCAGTCATACCGCTGTGAATCTCTGGCAGACCCAAACCGCCGGCTCAGATACAGTGAGATTTCCTTCAAAGAAAATCCAAGCTCCGCCCACGGAGCCCAGCGATGCAGGCCACACTCAGAAAAGCAGAAAGGACGATTGCGGAACAAGCGTGTGCGTTAGTGAATTGAAATGCTCATAAGAAAGCTAATTATGACATTAACTTTCATCATGTCCCTGAAGATATTCGTGTTTGAGGGCTGACTAGCTCCTATGTTACCTGCTACTTCTACATGTTTGGCTGCAAGCTAGCATGAAGAGGAGTGTGCAGAGCAGCGCTGTCTCCGCCCACAACTCAGGTGAATTGCTGATGAGCTACTGGAGCTCTGCAGAAGAAAAGCCGTTGAAAATGACACAGGTAACGTGATTTTGGCTAAAAACTTTATAACCACAATTTAAAGACCACTGAGAAAAACTTTAAGAAGTAAAGAAAAAAACGATCTGAGATGGACTTTAAGTTGTTTTGGAACAATAAATAAAGAATCAAAGATTGCTAATAAAACCTCATATTCTCAGATTACCAATCTCAACCTATCGTTGGGTTCTTCATGTTCATGCAGCTGTTGACGACCATTTGTTAATGAAATTTAAGTTTGAAAGTTGAAACAAAAAACCAGGTGGAGAAATGTTAAAAAGTGCTCTGTGCTCCAGTTTTTGTTTGTTAAAATGACTAATGATATGTTGAAGTATTTTGTGGTAGAATATCAGACTTTGATTTATTTTTCCAAATAATTCATTTTAAAAACTCACTGGGGTGAACCAGACTATTTGGAGCTTTTTTTTTTTTACTTACTGGAATCAGTGAGGGTTCATGCACTCCACTCAGAGGATTTATTACAGAGATCAAAAAACAAACAGCATCTGCCTCATCTTAAGCCAGAGCTCCCCAATATCTCTGCGCATGAACATCAAAGAAGCTATCATTCTTTTATTAGGTTAATCATAGTTTCAGTTTCTCCTCCAAAATGCTTAGATCAAAAAGCTTAGCCCCGTCATTATCTGGATTTCTGGATGAAGTGCACATTCAACCATTGCAGAAGGATTACAATGTTTGATTATGAGCCTCTATATGATGAGATAATACAGACCTTATCAATATTCTGCACTTGTTCTTTTCATTTCAGGGAGAGAAGTTCATTGCACTTTGCGTCATGAAGTTCCCCGGAGTTAGCCCCGAGCAATATTAACGCCATGAATTAGAAATGAAAGGATAGCAGCAGGTACCGTCAAGCCGTAACATTTCATATGAGTGGAGGAACACTTAGTGACAGAAGTTTGCGATGGCTCCCCTGGTTATGGCAATTATGCTGTTGAAGGGACACACATTATGTAATGAGGGGAAAACTTCAGCACATCTTTGTATGTGTCATCCTGATCTCCTCGCTGCTGAACAGTGATGTAACACTTCAGAGGGTTAACATGACATCCATATTAATGTAAAGCTCTCACATAAAGCGGCGAGTCCATACTGAGACTTTAAATGAGGGATGTCTTGCAATCGCATTGTCTGAAGATAATTTGAGTCAGCGCTTTCATTTACAACGCAGACAAGGCAGCTGGAAAATCTCTCAGAATCACATCTCATGAGGGTTTCTTCAAATGTGGTCATTTTTAAAGAAGTGCAAGTGTATAGAAGCACCACTTTATCACAGCTTTGGGTCAAATGTACCAGTAATGTGGAATACAATTGAGATTTCTCACATATCCATGTATATATGTTAACTTTAACAGCTTAAACTGTCTGAAAACAGTCCAAGCAGGGCTGTCACAATATCCAATTTTCTCCTCACAGTTACGGTAAATGGACTCTGTTTATAAGCACTTTCTGGAGTCTACACTGTTCAAAGTGCTTTTACTTTACATGTCACATTCACACACTGATGGCAGAGGCTGCTGAGAACAGAGCCAATCAGCTTCTGACTAAGGTGGTCTTTACACGAGTACGAAGACACCGGTAAAATAAACGATCCATCTGGTGATATTGACACACGTAGACGTGGGTTTGTCCATGACTCCGCATCTTTTTTGAAAACGGGTCTGCAGCTGGATATCTGGGTATTCGTCTTCATGCTGTAGTTGGTATAAACAGATAAGTCCGGAAAAGACGGTGACCTCATTGCACCCGTCCTCCTCCCTCACGCACACAGCAGCAACAACAATGGCGGTAGCTGGGGTGATTTTGTTCTTGTTCCAGCAACTACAAATATTGCTACGACTTTTATACCAACATTTAGAACAGCAACAACACCAACTACAACAGCAACAAGTACTCATGCAGAGACGCAGCATGTTACACTTATGTGCTACAGGATTTTGCGTTGTCATGTAAATGCACTAAGCTATGTACAATAGGATGTGTAAACAGCGATACATGTTTTGGTGCAGACACCAAGACAATATGGGTCCTAATTCCACCTACACACCACTGGGTCTAGCCAGCGGGGGAGAGTGGGGTCAAGTGTCTTGCCGAAGGATTCTGAGAACCTTAAATCCAATAAAATAAAAATAAAAATCGAAAAAAATGAGAATGAGAAACTAAAAAAATAAATACAAATTTAAAAAATATACACTCGACAACAATTAATGACAGATTTGAAAGTTTTGTTCTCACAGTGTGTGGTGTGCAACATTGTGAGAAAAACCTCACACCACACACATCCACCATTTCCAGACTCTCATAACAGGAAATCCTGTATGATTTGAACGTCCATCTCAGTTTGTCACTATCATTGCCATGGCTGCGTTTGTTGTTCTTCCTACCTTGGTCGGCTCGCTCTGATTGTCTATCGAGTCGTTACCTGTAACAATAGTCAGTGTGCATGGTAAGCCGTCCTCAGGATCCCTACACACAAGGATTTTAGGTTGTAAATGCTGAACATGTTTAATATTAATGATTCCAAGAAGATGTGGCTCCACTTGTCTTTCCCACAGATCAAAGAGAAGAATAATCAGTCTGTTAGTCAATCTGACGATATGGGCCTTTGTTGACTTTTGTTTGAAGGGATGAGTCAGGCCTAAAACCGGCTTTGTGCATCTGTGTCTGAGTTGGCATAAGAAATGTTGCTGCTGGCCCGGAGGCTCAGTTCCATCTCTCTGCCTGTTTCTTGGTGAACCAAAAGTCAGGTTGAATCAGCGTTTTCTTCTATAAATGATGACCCAGCATTCCCTCTTTCCAACAGAAGGGCCACAGTCGGCATCTGGATTCATAGAGCCTTTGCAGAAACACCGTCATCACAGATGCCTTATCATGCTGCTGTAAACAAAGATGACCCTTTTACATATTATTTAAGTCACCTATTTTTTATGCATAGGGAACTGTTTGAAGATGTCGGACTTACATGTGGTGATACAGATGCAAACATGCATTTTAAGACTTTTAGAAGTGCAGATGGCTGCAAGGAAATGATGGAAACCTGCCAGCGCCCATAGCATTAAAAAGTAATTGATGTAGCGTGTCCTTGTCATTTGCATAGTTTATAGTACAGTAATGAATTAAATTAAAGGGGTAAACACATATTAAAGTGATCCCCCGGGCTTCAGACTGCTTTAATTACTTTGTTCCCAGGGTTTCTCTCGCTTTGTGACTCGCTGATGTCAGCAGAGAGAGGTCAAGGCGAGAATCCTAATGGATATCGACAGAAGACACAAATATTTTTGTCATATAAATTGGGGACAAATTGTTGTCAGCTTTTTCTCTCAACTAAGCTGTCCTCCACAAAATCACTCAGATATCAGCCGGACGATCAATACAGACATTATGAGAAAATTAACTCCTGTATTGGAGCAATCTCCTTTTACTTTCACAGATTCAGACGAGCTGCAACAGCTGTACAACTTTACAGAAGAGGAATTCACACTCAGGAGCTCATTCATGTTTTTCCTTTTTCTCCCTTCAATGCAGCTGTTTCCAAAGTTCTTTTTGAACGTCTTCCCGTGATTAAAAAAACATTTTATTCTTTCCAAAAAAATAAAAAAATTAATGAAATTATATATTTAGTTTTTCATATTTTTCCGTATACTTTGGCTACGATTTGTGCGCAGATGTTGGAAAAATTTGCAAAACTTCTGTTTTCTAGATTTTGCATGTGAGATGTGCACAAGGCGGGTTTGTCACACCTGGCATCTGAATGATTTGATCAGTTCATATGCACACCAAAATAAATAAATAAATAAACACACTGGTAAATTGAACTTCAGACTTCCTATATTCTGTCACATGGTCCAGTAAAATTCTCTTTTATTCTGGTCCTTTGAATTATAAAAAGACCTAACTTAGAGGAGCAGATTTGGGAGTTAAGACATCAGCTTTAGTGGAACATTGGTGTGATTCATAGTTCGCTTTAATTTCCATAATTAGGCACAACTGCTACAACTCGCTAAAAAGCCAGCAGTGATCTATGAATTACTTTGAAGTGACACCACATCTGTCAGAGTTGGTATATCATCATGATTCGTTGACATTTGCAAAGTGTACACAGTGATTATGATTTATTATGGAGGTAACAGTCAGTACGTCAGCTAAAGAGGTATTTCAGCCACAGCCTAAGCTGGGATACACTCAGGACTTACTCTATAGTTCCTTTAGCTAAGACCCACGAATGGCCACCATCTGGCCAATGCGGGTGTCCACCATCTGGGCCCCTGAACAGCCTGCGCCATCACCTGGGTGTCAGGTAAAGTCCTCGACATGGCCGTGTCTGTTTGGGAGCAGCCAGCCCTCCTGTGTGTTAATTACTCCTTGTTTACAGGCCGGGTGATGAAGGTCTCCTATCATCCAGGCTCTACGAGGGACATGAATGTGACGGTTTGGGCCATGTGCCAAGGTGCTTGTGGAAAGGGTGATTATGCTATTGTGTGTCATACATTAGCGACAAGGGGCGGCCAGAATGGGGATGATCATGTCAGCGCCTTTTGGTTTTAGTGACACAAATAAAGTGGATGTACCTTTAAATTGGACCAAAGATCATTTACTGCATGGGCTGTTGGCATAGACAGACGTCTGAGAAAGAAAAGCCCATGCAGTCTAGACACAGCATCGCTGGAAGCTGTCTCTTTTCCAGCCGTGCTCAGTATTTTTGTATCCTTTGAATCCATTAGGGACTTTGAAATGCAAAACATTGGACCCTTTTACACCATCCATCTAGAGTATGCTTTTAATATGTCTTTAAAATGTGGCCTTTCATACCATTCCTGCTTAAACAGCCGCTGTCAGTCTATCCTGGTGCAAATTGAATCTATCTCTAAGTAATGGGTCATTAACAGTGTCTCGGTCTGTCACACATATTCACTTTCTGTCATCGGACCACCATACATGACTGAGCCGAGGATCAAAGATGCATATGGATCTTCTCCTTACGTAACTGTACTGTGTTACTCCGTCTGGTTCGCCTCAGTGATTTACTTGTCATGCCCATCAGCCTTGTCATCCATGGTTGCTGGAGCGAAATCTTCACAAGGACCAAGGACCATTTGTTTCCATGGTCACCATCTATGCCTGCCTGGTCATTTTTTCATCTGCTTTTTTTTCTTTGCTTAGAGAAAAGCTTCCATGGTGTTTCATCTCAAAATGAATGTTTGACAAAGGTCGCCCAGGAGCCCAGAAAAACAACTTCCCAGACCTTGGACCCACTGGCGGTTCAATTGAGTTTGAGGGTTTTCAATCAGAATCGGGCACATGTCCATCAACCTGTCAATCCCTTCATTGTTAAATAGTGGCTTTACTGATAATCTGGATGTTAATGTTGTTAAGGCTGTTTACCTTAGAAAGAAGATGGATCTAAACTCTGCTGCTACATGGTAAGACGAATCCTAGGCAACAAAGCCTTTGCTGATTTGAAGTCATTTGTTCATTTTACAGATATAAGGTGTTCAGACTGATTTCTTTACTGGACTTGATTGTGGGATTTTTTTTTTCCCTGTTGCAGCAGAGGGAATGTGGATCTTCAGACTTAAACAGTTTTAACAACAACTTTCATGTTAACTTCTGTAAACTTTGAACTCAATTAACATATAAAAGTGTATCATAGTTAACGTCCTTGCTACAGGATCAGCATTTCAATCTCTGATTAGTTGTGCACAGGGTTAGAGTATCTGTAATCTAAGTAAGTGCATGAATGGGATCAAAGTTTACCCTGTTTTCCTCAAGTCTTTATCTCATATTGTTATGAATCTTACAAAGCTTCATACCTCAAGAGATGAACTTGACTTTTATGAATTGATGACATCCTGCATCGTTCTTTAAAGAAGAAAAATTAAAGTGGTGATAAGTGTGATCTTCCTCTCACTTTATTCGAGGCAAATGTAATATCTGGCTGGATCAAGGTCTTTGCAGCAGGAGGTGAGCTGCTTTTGTGCGAGTCATTAAAAAAAGAAAGCTTGTTTGAGCTGTTTTGAGCACAGTTCAAGGGTGATTCAGCACTTTAATCACAGTTTGAATGAATTAAACCAAAACTGTAGTGTTACATTTTATTTTTGAGTATCTGTACATAAAGAGATCTACCAGAGCCGGTTCTTGCATGTGTTGCACGTGTCATCAATTAAAACAAATAAGTGGCTCATTTTTTAAGTATAGAAACTGATTAATTTTAAGCATTTCTTATTAACAGCCACTCAGTATGTAGGGGAGAGGAGGTCAGTATAAGTCTTAAATGTCCAGTTCCAATCAGCTCCACTTTCAAGTAGAAATGATTATTCTATAAACTATAGATGAACTCCATGAATATAATTCCAATGTCTTCCCCGGAGATTAAATATATTCAATATGAAAACAGATGTAGACCCCATCCCAGTCACCTTCAGTCTGTTTTCTGACCTCCTCCCTCTCTGCTGTTAGAGGGACAGATTAATTAGAAATAGGCTGAAGCCTTGAGGAGATGAAGGCGCAGCAAGACAGATGCTGTTTGAACAGCAAACTGGTCTTGGGATATAAAAAGAGATGAGGAAAATTGGACTAATTGGAAATGAAGGACAAAGGGGTTGCAGCAGCACTCCTGTGGGCCTGGAATAATAAAAACTTCATTTTAAGTGCATGTTTTTTAATTACTCCAATCTTTTCTTCTCATGTAAATGAAAGAGGTTTTATCAGTTTATTTCCTGTTTTCCAGAACCATCTATTTTCTGCACGTGATGTTTCATTCCAATATTCATTAAAGAGTAATATTCTCTGCTGCTGAATGTACTTTTTTTTCAAGTTTGATGTATATTTACTTATGCACAATTATACTTTCTTTGAATGGTGTGTTTTAGAGTCAAGATATTGATATTTAACATCTCTCTAGGCTTTAATGCAACATCTTTTTTATGTTTCAAAAATACTGAGCTCTTAAAAGACAAGAGTGGATAAAGAAGCAGGGCTGCCAAAGGATGACGTTTTTGATTTTGATTATGATTTATCACAAAATTTCAGTCGTTAATTAACTACATTTTAATCATATTTCATCATAGTTATTAAGAGAAAGGATTCTTACAAGTGTCTTCATTCATTAATCAGATTAATTCAGTTGAATTTACCCTTTTATCTTTCCTTTTTGACTAATGAATCAAATAAATGCTGCACTGACACACCAGCATACATGGCCTGAAACTATGACTTAGAGGTGGGAGACAGATTATTCTGGGAAACACAGAGTTTACCATATTCTTTAACACATTGAGAAATTAACATGAGTGCAGGTACAACATATTGTGTAGTTTTTGAGATACACTTTAATCATGTTGGCTGCTCTCTTTGTTTCATACATGTTTTGTAAAAGGTGCGTGCTACTTTCGACGTGTCGGTTTGGCTGTTATTCGAAAACACGTGTTGTTGTTATCCTGACAGAGTGTGTTTATGTTGGCCTTATGTTGACATTGTTATAAAAACAAATATAACAGTATATGTGCAGGTTTAAAACAGGAGCTTTTAAGTTCTCATTGAACGAGGCTGAACAAAGGAGTGCACAGAAACCTAAACCCACTTTATCTGTTGAATGGTACCTTTCAAATCGAATGTCAGGTAATTAGGTAATTGATTGTTTTCATTTCTAAGCTATCAGATGATAGATACTGGGGTTTCTTAATTCTGCTTGTTTGGAGGACCAGCTCTGGAGTATTGTGGTTGCTCCCAACAGACTCATTACAATGTCTTGGCTAGTTCTCTCCTGCTGGGAATTGCATTAGTGCCCTCATTTTTAATTAAAACAATAGATAATCCCCAAGCACAAATGGCTCTTTGGTAGCACATTTGTTGGTAAAGAGATTAATTTATCGTGCTAATAGTATCTTCTCTGTGTTTCAAACAAGGGCCTTATTTATTGCACTTTCTTGTCCATGCTGTGAGGAGCACATTGGCGAACTGTTTTTGTTGTTCACTGGCTGTACAGTCATAAGTAGTCAGGGGTGCCAGCAGCCCATCTTAATTAGATGTTTTTTTGTCTTTTTCTTGGGAGCTTATCAAAGCCTGCTCGGTGCCTCAGCCTCTGCACTCAGGGAACCCAAGACATCAGGACATGAAAGAACTGTGTCTGATTGTACCGCTGGATCTCGCTCTGACTGTTTGTTTTTCCTTTCATAGAAAGGTATCCAGGGTGTGATAAGTCATATGAGGGTGGTCTGCCTCTGATAATCGTTTCGTTACGCGCACCGTGACCTCCTTTGCTTGTGTTTTATCCGGCGGTTTAATGAGTTGCTGCTATCTGGACTGAACACAAAGAAAGTGATTCAAAAAAGAGGGAAATGTAACAGGGTGAAACTGATCAGAGAATATGCATGATACCATCAGGACCAGTTTGTGTGGCTTTATTTTTATTTGTCACTGTCTTTTTTATTGCACTACCCGCCTGCGTCATACACACTTATCCACACAAACACTATGGCTCTTGTCAGCAGTGGTAATTGTGTGTAGTTTCATTTGATGGCTGCACAATGAAAAGCTACAAAGTTCAAACAGGACAACAGTAATACTAACATAAGCTTAGTGAGAGCATTATGCATGAAATCAAACCAATCTATTTCAAAGGGATAGTGCTTTCATCAAACAAGTAGCATAATATTTCCCCATGCCATCCACTGGACACTTCCTCTGCTTGGCTTGTTGAATTATTGTGAGCTGCTGGCTCCTCTTGAGTACACCATGAAATCAAGCTGAGAGATTGACCCATTTATCTCATATTTGCTGTCGTCATGGCAATCTTTTACTTTGAAATCAGAAAGATTAATCTGTCAGAGTATCTCTGACGAAATACGTTACTCCATCATTGTGCACACTGGCTGTATGAGACACTCTGTCCATGAAAATCAGAGCTTCCTCACTGCAGTGCTCGGCAGTTACAGGGCAATGTTTAGACTATAGTATGAGTCATGGGTGAATATTAAATGTTATTTACACAACATTAAAATAATTGATGTCATGAAGTGTGTTCTGTTGTTTTTTCCACCACAAAAAGTAAAAACAATCACACAGTGTTTATTTGTAGATAAAATGCAGCAGGGAGGCTTCATGAATTAGAGGTGGGCTGAGACTTCATCATTTGCATCTGTATCTAGGAAACTCAGATTTACAATGAGTGACTAACTTCAATAATGTGGACAAATACATGAAATCACTTTTGACTTGGGCTTTGTTAAATGAAGAAACTTAAAACATCCTGTTGAAACCACAGTTTCTGAGTGTTACTGTGAAGTACAACGGGAAGATTTGACTGAAGTGTAGACACAGTCTTAGTGGGAGGGGCAGAGGAAGACACTGGAGCTGCAGGGTTTTGACCATAGACTGTATATAGAATGGACACCGTCTGCCTCCTCCAAACTTTAGAAATTTATTACACAGGTTGACATTAAGTTACTGTAAGACTGGTTTGTGCTCAAGTCCTCTTTTCTCTGTGCAGCTCCATTTTTAAACGTTATTAGGGGGTTCATGTTTTCAATGATTGACACAGCCTATGGGCGTATGAAGATTGCGTAGCTCACCCGGGGGATACGCAGTTTGAGCCGAGCGTCATCACAGCGACTCTCAGCAACTCTCAGTGACTCAGTCTAGTTTCAAGCAGTGCATGCTGCACCGATGAAGTGCATACCAAAAAAAAAAATAAACAATGAAAGCATATCCAAAGGCACTGCTGGGTATGGACTCATTTCTATTCCCAGTCATATTACCTTGTATGTATTATCCTCACCTTGTAATTGGTCTGATCAGTGTGCGATTACTTTTCTCTGTTGTATTTGACTTACATCGCGAACAACTGAGGGGAAAAAAAAATGCACTGAAGTCAATGAGACAAGCCCCAAAAAAGAGAAATTATAGGAGTTTTTTAAATGTCACCTGCTCTGGCTTCAGGTTTTTTTTTTTTTTTGTATAAATAAATACTGTGTTTGTTCTAGACATGCTGCCTCTATATACTGTCACAGTGCTACTAATATTAATTATTTGAAACCTCTAAGGAATCTGGTTATAACGTGCACACCCTGGCAGTAGCCCCCATGGCCTTTTAAAAATGTTCTAGTTTTAGCTCCACTTCTCTAAAATAATGAGGGTTAGCCAACCTCGCCAAAGATTTTAAAGTTGTATGAATTCAAAGTTTGACTCAACCATTCTTACGGCAGAGATTCAGATAATAAGAGGAACGCGCTGGTTGTTATCTGTAATATCCTCATCAGTATGTCAGCAGAACATTTCTTAATAGACGTACCAACCATAAGGAGAATAATGACAGACTGACTGCGGAAGTATTTGTCTCTGTGTGATGTTCCCCCCTGAGCAAACTCAAGTAAAAATTACCTCAGTGTGGTGTGTCTGCCTGTGGCAAGACACCGTTACACTAACAGCAAGGTCAGCTCTGGACAGATACATTAAAGAACAACCTTCCTTCAGGCAGATCAATATGCTGTATCATTTAGGTGAGAGGCAGTGCTTAATTTTTAGACTCCTCGGTGGACATAAGTGGAGTCCAGAAAAGGAAAAGTGACCCCTCTCACTGGGTAAATCAATATTTGCACTTCAACTTTTCTACCCATCATCACCTCTTCAGGGAAAGCCAGAGTTTAATTCATCTCTATCTGATGTGCAGTGACCCACTCTGCATCATATTTTCTGCAGTGACCATATCAGCTTGTTTCTTTTGTACCATCACCCACATATACATGGAAATAAATAAATTAATTTCCCATCTATACATATATGTGTGCAAACTTAAAAGACAAAGCTAAGATATCATGGCACAAAGACACGTACATGTATGATATGATAACCACTAACAGAACTTGCTTATTTTTACTACACATCACATTCCCTGTTGTGACAATCAGTATTAACTAACCCCATTTGCATGCAATCACACACCAGGAGCGACTTGAGGCTCAGTTTCTTGCCTTCCAAGGACTCTTGGGCATGTGGACCAACTCTCTGATGAAGAGATGACTTACTCAACCCCAGAGTCACAGCTGCCTGAGAGGACTTATTAAGAGGAGCTTTGTATTTCAGCACAGATCAGGGGCATAAAGCCATATTCCTGTCTTGCAGGACTGGTTCCAGCCCATTCTAGTTGTTCTGCCTTGTGGTTGCCAACTGAAACTTCCTCATCTTTTTCCCTCAATGTCAGATTCTTCTCTGCTTTTCATTGGCTGGGTAAGCAGCATGTTTGGGTAGGTTGACCCCATTCCTGCCAGCTGGACTCCCTCAATATCTGGCTGGCTGGTTGGGTCTTCATCTGTACTTCCAGATCCCAAATATCTCCTGACCACGTTTTTACATTTATTCCCTAGACTGTGATTATTTCTGATTGATTAAACAACGATTAAGCAGTTTATATTCATCAAACAGACATGAAGAAATGTCAGACTGGAGTTGTAGACATGTTCAGGGTCACTTCAATATTTAATTCCATGATTTGACCTTGTGGGGTCGTTTATTTCTTCATCAATATTGTAAAAGATGAAACAACTGCACGGCTTTAGACTTCCTTAGAGGGACCGACTTTCATACTCGGCTATTTTAAGTTTTGGCAGTCACAGCAGGTTAACCAGAGTCTGAGTTCTGTGGTTGGTTAGAGAAACTAAGAGCTTGATCATGTAGTAGTTTGGTTTAGGATTGGTTGTGAGGTGAGGAATGGCCATTTTAGAGTCAGAAGAAAAAATGGAAAGCCGACCAGTATCGCTGAAAAATAAATCATATATGTTGTACAAACTCTCAAAACGAATGAAAATGAACTTTCTCAGTAACGTGAGTTTGGTTGAACTCTCACCACCCTGGCCTCAAACTGTGGGATTTGTCATTAATGAAACACGGCTCATTAGCAGTTTCTTTTCTTTTTTTTAACTATATGCTAATTTTATTCTATCCATGCATGTCTTGATGAAGTTCAGGCCATCAGTGCTAAAAATAACATGAAGCCCAATTCCAGGACTTTCATTTCAGGATCCTTATTATCCTCAAATGACAGACTGATTTGATATCACTGCACAGAGCTGGTCTTCTTGACGCTCTTTTCTCTCAAATGCATATCACAGTTGTAGAAATATCAGATTCACGTGGCCAATTAAAATGCTCTTGCCAATCTATTACATGACAAAATGACTTGGTGTAACACAGAGAAGAGACTTAGGGGGTTTAATTATATACTGGTGAGCTGTAGCCTAGATTCTAAACCGTCAGTAACCTGGTAAAACATCACAATCTTGGACCCAGATGTATTGTCAGCATTGTATTCATATGGCATTAAACTGTATAAAGACATTAAGACATTATTATTGCCTTATTTTAATGAGATACTCAAGTCTCTACCAGTGCCCTCTAGTTTTACATGTTAGCTTCTTAATATAAGTAAACTCATACACTGAGCTCAAGTGATGATCAGGGCAGAAACTACTATGTTTAACATCCTGACATTGGTATATTCATTATGCCACAAAACCCCAAGTCCTTAAGTCTCTGTTATCAGTGGGCAAGTCCAAGTCAAGTCTTATGGTGCGTTCCATTTACTGTATCTACATTGACACTCCTCTTCTACTGTATTACACTTTTTCTTTATGATATATATTTGTTTTGTAGTTTTTATATATTCTTTGTATTTTGGGCAGGAGAAAAACCTCCTTTTTGATTCCTGTGTACGTTCTTAGCACAGCCTGTCTAAATCTTCAATAAATGACTGTTAAAAAATAATAATAAGTAAATAAACAGCCAATGAATTGTTAACAAGTTGATTTATTCATAATAAAGATATCATTACTGAACCGTTATGTCAAGTATGAATATTTTGTATTATAGTGTTTTAAGACATTTGTGGTCTCTGCCGGAGGCAAATGCTCGGGGATCCTTGGCTTTTTAAAGTTTGAAAAACCTTGTTCTAGACTCAAAGACACTTTACACAGTTTTTTTTTTGGCTCTGATGGGACTAAGAAATAAAAGACAAGTCAAAGTTAGCGATGGGTGAAGAAAGGACTTTGAATTACAACAATTTTCTCTCATTGTAATTTCTTGAAGCCTGTTTCAAGCAATAACAGTTTATTTTTCTTTTTACATCTGATTCATCTTTTTCCTTTTGGTCTTGAGAAGAAAACTTAACTGAGACATATTCCTGCCCCGAGCAAACTTGCATATCAGATGAGGTTACACGACCTCACATCACACTCCCCACTTTATCACTTAAAAAACTCTGTAACACGTGTACAAACTAACCATCCTCAAAAATTCTAACAGCTTACTGAGTAAGCACATAAACAAATTGAGCCTAAGAAGATTATCTCTGTAAGCCTCATTGCACATAACCCAACCTTGAAATCACATCTTTTCACTCAATATGAAGGAAAGACCTGTGAGCTGACATCAACATGCACTTCCACTCAGTAAATGTGTCAGAGGAGATAAACAGAGGAGAATACGGCCCGTAAGTCACTCCTTAAGGATGCTGAAGTTTGATAACACTGAGTCATTACATCTGAGATTTCACCTTCTCTGTCATCAGGATAGGAATAAAACTTTTTCCACTCATCTTTTCTCTAATATTCCACCTCCACTTATCCTGGAAATAATTGGTCCTCTAGTCCTTTATAAAAAAAACGAAAAAGAAAGATCACAATGTGAGAAGAAGAGGACTGAAATCTCTAACTCAGCTCAACGTTAGGAAAGGATAAAAGTTAACATCTAGATTCTAGGTTGGCAGTAGCAGTGAAAGCAATTATTCTGGGAGCAGTCTAATCAATTTTCTGTTCTAAAAAGGTGACAAATTAGGGGCAAAGGGCTGTTTTCCAATATCAGAATAATTCATTCAGGGTTGGTTTTACTTAGTGAAATAGCCTTTGCCATTTGTTAGGCTTAAAGACAGAAAAACTGCTGGAAAAGGAAATACGAAGAAGTAAACACACACGCGCTGATTCTTTAGAATATTTAGATCGCATTGCAATTTCACACAGTATACACACTTGGTGCTTACGCCCACTTTTAATGTCCTCTTGAAACAGATTTGGTTGTTACCCTTGGAGGTTTAATTTTCATCGATGGCAGGTCCCGCATGTCTACTGACCCTGAAGCCAGATTCCAATTAATTGGATTTGGCCCTTATTTGAAATTAACTGCAGATCAGAAGCAAGAGTTGATCACCAAAGACCCCTCCTCTTTTAGGACAGTGTTAATGTAATCAGCATAATGTCTTTGCTTTATTTAGTATGACTCCATTTAAATTCATGGAGAGAACAAAATACCATTCAAACAGTCAGCTATGGAACTATCGAAGAAAACTTCAGTGCTTGACCCTCTCAAGATGACCCAGTGGTTCTGTGAGCGGTAGGATCATTTTGAAGGCGTAGTTTGAGGTCCACTCGTCCCAAAAGAGTGAAAGGTTTCTGCAAATCAATACCGAGTCGCCAGGACGGACCACCTTTACCCTACGATTAAAAAACATTTCTGTCCTGTTGGGAGTGGTCTTCCAAAAATGAGGATGCCCCTTTCAATAAGGGTCACTGGATAGTTTGATGAGCATGAAAATCATGCAAATTGGATCCTAAAGCTTCACCAAATTCAACCACAGAGAGCACCTACTGGAGATGTATGACACCCCTCTCAAACACCATCATAAAAACAGCAAAATAGGGAGAATATTTCTGAAAAATGATGTTCACTGCTCTTGTTATGTTTCCTTGGGTTTTGCAGATTCAATGCCAGTCACGTTAAAATGTTCTGGCAGAAAGCAGTGGTCGAATGTGACACTTTGGGCTGCATCTTTCACCCATGCAGAGCAGCACACAGCCAGTTCCAGTAATACTGCCATTTTTCAGCGGACACAGTTGACATTCCCATGCCCACTGCTCATGTAGTTTAACTACCAAACGTATTTAAGCCAAAGTGTAGCCCCAGGGGTGGAGGCACAGTGGAGGCACTTTTTGTGTGCTATCTCCTGGATGCAGGAAGCATTCGCACTGTAGACCTTAAAACTGTTTGTTAGACACAGAGAGATGTTTTATTCTCCTGGTCCTTCGTGCGATGCTCAAACATTTTCTGATTTAGTTTAAAAGAGATGGTTATAAAACAAAAGCCCCATGTCTCTTGGTCTTTTGTCTTCCTCGCATCACAGCTTTCATCCTTAAGGACTCGACTATCTACTGATGCCCTAGCTCTACATGCTTCATCTCATGGAGACTCCTGCCTGAGTCCACACAGGTCGACAACTCCAGACCAACACCGACACAAAGCTCTATCAAGTGTATTCACTCGAGCGTGTGTGTGTTAAATACACACTCACAAGCATCTCAGGGGTAGTTAAGTTCATGGAGGTAGTTGCTATGACTCCTTAGAATGACTTTTCTTAGCTTCATGTCTGAGGTTCTGATGAGAGGAGGGCTGATCACTTCTTCAGGGTCATTAGGTAGCGGTCCTTTTCATCTGTGTTTCATTGACAGCTCTGGAGGATATTTTTACCTCATTTACTGCCCACCAGGGAGTGCTCATCCCTTCCTCCAAAGTCAGTCACTGCTTTACTTGGCAAGTCTCGGGTAGACAAACGACAGCTTGTTGTAAAGCCCTGATACTCTTCAGTGGCCTGGTTGTTATCATCTATGTCAGTGCTGCTGGTTGGGTACAAAGCATCCAGACCCCTCCGGTTGTCAGGGACAGATCTACTCATTGTCCCCAGGTCAGAACCAAGCAGGTTGAAGCTGCATTCAACTTCTATGGTCCTCACCTGTGGAGCAAACTTCCTCAGGTGTGCACAAACTGTCAGAGCTGAAAACATTATTGTTTACTGCAGCTTTCCAATAGTGTCAATTTCTTTTATTTCTACTTTGATATTTGCTGTTCTGTCAATTTCAATTGTTTTCATGATTTTAAATTACATTTTAATATTTTATTGATTTGTAAGTTTACGAATGTTTCATCTGCTCCAAGTTTCTCAGGGGAATAAAAAACAAATTGGGGTCTAACTAATAAAATGGGAAGAACAGGTAAAAGGCTGAGGAGCTCCGGGTCAGGGACTAACTGTGCACTGAGGTCTTGGGGATCGGTCAAGTCTCAGAGACTCAGGCTTACGTCCAGTTTTGTTTTTCTGAAAAACAACAGATTTCATAAATAATTTGGTCAAACACGGAACAGATGAAAACAATGATCTGTTTGTCTTATTGATGTTAAATTGTTCCAATCTCTTTTTTTTTTCATTTCTATTATATTTCTTTTTATCTGTAAAGCAGGTTGAATTGCCTTAAAGACCCAGAACTGAGCGCGGGGGGTTAAAACCAATGTCATTTGTATTGAGGCTGGGGTCGAAGTTTGTACACATGAACCACTCGCAGTGAACAAATGATCTGAGTTGGCCGACACTGGGCTGGTAATGTTGTGATAAAGATACTGTGATTCATGAATTGGCTGTAGGCTACAATATACTGCACATGCACTTTTACCAGCTTTTGCTATTTTTTGCTAATTGAAACATGTTGCTCTCAGTGTTTTATAATCGTTCTGCTGCACTCATTATTGCTACAATTGAACCCCCACACAGAGGGATGTGCTCGCTCAATAGCCTACAGGCCATTTTGTGGAACTGCAGGGATACTTAGCCAGCCATTCAGGGTATGAATAGACTAACCTGGTCCCTCACTGGCGAACATTTCTCTTATTTTCCTGCATCTGTGGGAAAGGCTTTCTTCTTACTTATTCTCCCCCTCTCTGCTCCGGCGATAATGCTGTCATATTTCAGTCCAGATGCGAGGAGCAGACAGTTACTATGTTCATCCCATGGGACATGATTTTACACATGGAGGCCCAAACATGCCAACTGAGTTCAATAAACCGACCGCAGTGGTGTATGATTCAGGGAGGTATAACCACTCTGTCTTGCTGCTCACGCTGACCAGGCAACATAGATCCTCAGGGCACAAGTAAACGCTCCCGGCATACAACCTGCATCTGACTGAACTATAGTTCTCATACCTATAGGGTCTGACCACAACCTTTGCTGCGTATCATGATGTTTTCATGGCCATGGAGGAAAAACTACATACAAGTAAATAAGTAATAATTTAGCTACTATAAACATACCCTACATATGAATGTGACACTGTGTGTTTAGGATACTCTTGCATTACTCTTGGCTCAACATGGGAGACTTTACACTGGAGGAGTAAAATATATATATAATATACTTATTTGTCTTTTAAAAAATAGTTCTTATTTGTACTGGTGAAGGTGTGAGAGTCACTGCCCCAGTATTCAAACACAGATGCTTTATTTTTGAGGTGTAGTTGCAGATACTCTGCCTGATGAGGACTGTCTGCACTGATTGAAATTTATTTGCCCTGTTTTTTTATTTAACTCAAAAACTGTAAAGTTGATAATCAATCATTGACACATAAAGTCAATTATATTATTGTCATATTTCTGAGCTTTTCTACAGGTCACCAAACAGAGAGAAAAATAACGCTCCTCATTCCGTATTTCATTCGGCAAATCTGCCTGACATGAGTCAGGCCGTAAGAGATGAGAAAGTGACTCTGCACCCTTTGTGAACTCTGGCAGAGCACATCAAATACAAGGACAAAAAGTTCTAATTTTATCAGAAGCCTTTAGCATAAAACCCACTTTGATTTCTCTTCAACTGATTATAGTTTTATGATTCTTAAGAGGTTGGACCGTATCACTTTGAAGTCAGAGTAATGTTAAGACCCTGTGATGTGGTTAAGGCTTTCCCTTCTTTCCTTCGAGCACCCTTGATGCCCATTACAGCAAATTATCCTGTTAGATTCCTCTCTACCACGGGGGCATCTTTAACACCCAGTGCTAACCTTGTATTCAAGATCTTGAAGTGCACTTTATTGCCGTTGCTTAAGCCTTGCTGTGCATTTCTTTTTCCTTTCCTTGAAATGTTTAATCCTCATTGCACGTATCCATCCTTGGTATGCATATTTACAGTCTTGATATGCATGTTAACATCCTCTTGACCCTCGATGTACAGCATTTTGGAAATTAAAAAGAGTTGTGGGCTGCATAAGACATAGTCTCCATTTGTGATATTAAGGAGGACACACAAATAGCTTTCCCCCACCAGTTTCATCTGCTCCGTCTGGAATTAAGTTTATTTTCAATTATAGCCAATTCTGAAATAAGAGGGGTCAAGTGCTGTTCAGTAATTGCCAAGATAATATATGTACTCTTGAATATGCTGAAAGAAACTTAATTGCATCTATTTTCAGGGCAATTCCAAGAGTTTGAAATGACATGAGTTTGATAACTCTGAGATATTCTCCCGTTTTTCTTAATTGATGCAAGTTATGTGGGTTTCTCCATATGTGACAAGCTAACTTTGACTGTTACCATTTGGCTACAGTTGTGCATAACACAAATAAGCAGGATGGCTGTGGAAAGTGGAAACATATGGCTGTGTTTACTGTGAAAAGAACATATGCTGTTTATTTATTGAGGGGTTGCATATAGATTGTCCTCATGAAGCACAAAAAATTCAGGATGAAAAATTATAACGAGGAAGTTGTAACTTAAAGATCAAATCCACTAAGTAAATCCTCCTCCATGTAAGAGCCAGAAGTTTGTTCTTCACAAGAGTACAGACTACAAACTATCTGACTATGTTATAAGCATGTGGGCTCAATGATACCCCCTGTTCACAGTCCAAAGAGAAGTTTCATAATATTCCACTCTGGAGCCAAGTTTGAAAAGTTTGCATTTTAAGCTGCCCGAACTATCGTTTCTGTTTAGTTTGTAGTTTACAGTCTGACATGGAGTATGACGCCGCATTAACAGCTGATGTTGAAACCGAAACTTTTGCCAATCTTCCCTGCCTCTCTTTTTTTTTTTTTGCCACCTCTCACAGAAAGCCAAATCAGATTAGGAAAACTCTGGCTTTATGATCAGTCATTGAAGTTGAATAGCAGACACTGGTAAGCACACCTACATTCAACAAAATCTTTCCACCTCCAGAGAACAATTCTGTTTTAATCTATGAAACAGTATCCTACTAACCCCCTGGAGCATGGACAAAAAGATGGATTAGACATAAATACAGAAAAGCACGAGTTTATGTGACTGTTATTCATTCAGATTCTATTGGTTTATTCAAATCCTCAAAAATGCTCCAGAAAGACGGATGTTTCTTACCCTCCTACGTGCAGCTCCTCAACGAAACACATCCCCTCATTTTGAGCTCTGGATAAACAACGGCCTTTGACCTGAAGCACACAGTCCTTAGTTTTTTACTCACCATATTTCACATGTTTTAAAAGTTTTGAAATAATTTTTTGGAAATCTTTTGAATTCATAAAATTAATTTTGTTTTACTCATGGACAAACAGGTTTTGTTGCCAGAAGGACCGCTTGTATAACCTTCATTACAAACATTTTAATTACAGAGTCTTTGTCCAATTTTTCTCAAATCCATGATGAAAATGCCGTCAAGGTTAAATTTGTTTTTCCTCAAAAACACATCCCCGTTAATCAATCTTCTTTAAACAGTCCGTGTGCCAGAATAAAGTCATGTTGTCTGCGGTGACTTGCACTTGCTGCTTCTGTCTTCGTTGTGTTTGCTCTGTTTAATTGTCATTCCAGAAAGTGAATCTCTTCCCGGACAACTGCTGATTCCCTGCAGACGGAACTCTTAATGGGTTCTGATGGACAGATGGACTGTCACTGTGAGGGCAGCTCTTGTGTCCTCTCTGACTCTGTGGGATGGGAGTCATTCCTTCTTTCTATCAAATAATGGTGTATTTTTTCTAATTCTGAAAACATTTTCTTACTTTTTATACCTTTAAAAGTTTTAATGAGACAGAACTGTTTTTGAACACAAATAAAGCTGAATTGTGTAGATTTTAGGTATTAGTTTTAGCAGTCTTTTTTTTTTTGTTACACTGTGGATTAACCAGGTCATCTTCAACTTTTATGACGAATAAATAATATTTGCTTTGTTGAAACGACTGAAGAAAATTACTTGGATGTGCATGAATGGTTATTGGGTTATCCAGCAGAATCACTGCTGCTGTTTGGGATCTTTTAAAGATTACTAAGAGCAAAGTCAAAGTCATCTGTCAAAACCATAGACGATATATAGAATGGACGCCATCTGCCTCCTCGCTGGATAAAGCCACTGCGAGAACAGCACCCTCTGGTGACGGGCTGCAGTATAGGTCATAAGTCCCGCCTCCTCCAGCAATCCCTATGGAGCTGTAAACAAACTTTATCACACAGAATATACATTTTTCTCTCCCCTTGTTGTGATGTTGACATGTAGTTACTGTCAGACTGGTTTGTGCTCAAGTCCTCTTTTTTCTGTGCAGCTCCATTTTTAAATGTTATAGGGTTTAAGTTTTCTATGATTGACACTTGATACAGCCTATGGCCGTACGAAGATTGCGGGTACGTTGTTTGAGCCAGGCATAATCCCACCAAATGAGTAAAACACTACTGTGTAAGAGTTGGTTCCAGGAAGTGGGAAAACAATCCTGGAAATACAGAAAGAGTAGAGTAATTCGGCTTCAAATTTTTATAATGACAGATGGTGGAACCAAGTTGTCCATAGTATACACAGTCTATGGCCAAACCTCACCATTTGTATGAAAAGTCAGACTCTTGATGGAAGTGTCTCTGAAAAAAGACTGTAAGACTCTGGTTGTAATTACAGTCATGAGTTGTCAATTACAACCAGGAAAGCTAGTCTTCTGTCCATTAGTCTTTTATCTGAGAGCCGGAAAAGGTTATATGTATCGTTTAGAAACCTAAAAATACCAAAATGAAAATAATAAAATTCTCAGGTGAAGAGTCTAACAGGTCTCCAGTGAAAGATCCATTTGCACAAGGGCAAAGGTAGCAGATTTAAGCTCACAGTGTATGTCCTCCCCAGTGCAGTGAACTCTGAAGACATGTCTCATAGGACAGACCGACTGTATCATGGCTCTGTCACTTCAGCTCCTTGTTCACACAAGTGTCCTGGGATTTACACAGTCCAAGTCCATCCTTAATGAGAGCTGTAATCATGCAACGCACTGAACCAGACAATTCAGCTAACGAAGGCGGCTGGAAGATGAAGAAACCGTCCACTCCTCCGGGGTTTGGTGTTGCAGTCTTAATCACAGAACTCGACAACATGTCCCATGCTTGTCATCCCCGGGCTTTGAATTGGATTTTACTTTGCATTTCTGGTATAGTTTTGTCAAGGCAATTATTTTACTGCCACAATCTGTTCCTTCGTTTTTAACCTATGGGATATAATGAACTCTGCATGCTGGTAATACCCACAGTGTGTCTGTGGTCTATGAATGCAGCACAGATGGTTAAAGAAGGACTTTGAAGCTGCTCTTCCCACATTGTGTTGTACCATTTATTACAATACTGGCTCGCTAGACCATAAGAGTTACTGACGTGTTCCATTTTAACTGTATTACTTGGAAATAATGAATCTTTTAAGTGTCTTAAATCTTTTGAAACTCTGTAATGTTATTGCCAAGCCAGTAAAAACTCGAACCCTAAACAGGTAAGAAGAAAACAAATACAGTTCAGCAAGTTTAAACAAGTTTATCTCTTAATGTTCTTTAAAAAAATGACCCAAATAAGAAATCGCTGAAACAGAGACAGGGAGAAAAAAAACATACATGCACACCAGGGGGGTTTCTTGAATTGTCAGGATTTGAGACCATCTGGGGCTGAGTGGTCCCTGCTGTCCTGCCTGGAACAACGCTGCCTGAATTTCATTAAATTTCACTGCAGTGTTCGACATCTCCAAATCATGTAGTTGTTTTTGTAACGTAGAAGAACATTTCTGTGAAACAAGGCAGACTAAACCCTCCTCCAACTTCTTTTCACTGCTTTAGAGGCCATTAAATAACTGACAACATAAGTTTCGATAATAAAATACATTATTTTAGTCTTTTAAATGCATGCAAACACTAGAGACGACGCTGGATGATGCAGGTTTTCTTTAAGAGAGGGACAGAGGGATGATAGATGTTTTGGAATCAATGGTACACCGAAGTCCAGAATTGGAACTCCAGTCATGGCTTGAGAAAATTAGATGTATTTACTGAAGACTGCCATCGTGTTCTAGTCTTTCAGTACTGAGACATATACCTCACAATCTTGGTGCAGAAATGTAAACTCCATATCACAGAGAGTGTTTTCATTTCTTTTAACAATACACAAAGAAACCTTGAAGGTGTCCAGCTTTCCTCTCTCAATGATTTCTCCCTATTTGGCTGTACGACCAAAGAAACACTCGAAAAATGACGCTGTTTTTCTTTCACCGTATGAAGCTCAGGAGAAAGCGTAGCAGAGTTGCACAATTATTATCACCTTCTGTGGGGCTCTTCTGTGTGATCTTTTCTTCTTCTTCTGCTTTTTTTTTTTTTTTTTTTTTTTCAGCCCAGCTATGAAACCGATGACAGCACAGGCCCCACACTGCGCTGCTCTCTAATCTGCTCAACCTGTAATAGAAAACACAACAGTGGAAATAGCTGATAGTCACAGGGGCGCGGAGAGGAACACTGAAGGTTATGTGTCCTTACTGCTGAAAAAAGAAATAATAAAACAAACAAACTGCTACATCAGTGGCCTTGGTTGTCCCAGCGTAAGGTTTTTCTGTAATAAGAATGAAAATGCTGCTCGGATAACTGCGACAGATTAAAACAGCGTTATAAATAACAGCGCCATATCTTTCCTCCTCTCTTTTATGACAGTCTAATCTTTTTCTTCTTTCTGTTACAGCAGCTGCAGGTTGGTTCCCTGCTTCCAGTCTTCATCTTTCTCTGTCTGTCTCGGCTTCTTGTTTAATTAACTGGAAAAGTCAGCGTGAGGCGTGGAGCTCATGAAATACAGCCCTATCGCTTCGGTATGGAGGTGGTTTGTTTGAATGATGTCCAGATGGCCAGGGCCACCAGTTTTCTCCTCCAGAAGATGTATCGTATATGATATAGAAAGTTCACCCAACTTATACTGTTTATCTTTCATGCTACTTCTCTTTTTGGGGAAAGTGATGGTGTCTGGGAGAACTCATGTATAAAGTGCAGATTTGCAGAACTGCTGCACATCCAACTCTGCAGTTTTCATTTTTCTCTCTTGGCACTGAATTCTCCGGGGCCATACAATCATCTTTTGGACCAAATATTTTGGCTCTAAGGAGAGTAACTTTATCTTAATTAATTACAGTTGTCAGCAGCTAGGTCTACAGTTTACAGTAAATAATGTATTCAGTCAAAGAGAAGCAACAGTTTCTGTTTGTGAGCATGAGGCAGCTTCCCACCGTTATCTGCCTGAGTGGTTCCCAAAATGTAATAAGTGTATGAGGAGTTGGGGTTGCTATCTGCCTCTCGCTTTGTGCCGGTTGTCAGGCTTTTCTCCATTGTGTGGCTTTCTTCTGGCAGCTCAGCTCACTGGACCTTGACAGCGTTTCATTAGACAGGAGGTCCTCAGGGTTCCCGAGGAGAAGAAGCCTTTCTTCTTTCACAGGCCCACTCACTGTTCTGGCCTGTGAAGACATCTGCTAAAATAACCGTTAATGAGATAAGAAAACACGGCTGCCCTCTCTTTGTAGATGGAGCGCTCTTGGCACTGAGAGGAGAATGTAAAAGTCATTTAATATTCATTTTCAATCCCAACGTCAGATGGCTGTATTAACAATAAGCAAATAGTTCTGTTGTCCTTAAAAAACGTCACCTTTCTTCAACCCCCTTCAAAATATTTTTAAGAGATACGTCTGAGAATGCGTTGTTTCTGAAGTCAGGACCAGGTGATGAAGGTGAAGTTTAGGAGACACAAGGACTGGGTGATTATGTGATCATAATTAATGATTATGATAAATTTCAGTTTGATCACGGTGATCAGCTTGTAGATGAAGCCGGGTAAATAACAATCATGACTGAGTGAGAAATAAATCATAAGTCAAAGAGACAATAAACTATAAAGATTCACAGAAGAGGGAAAAAAAGAAAAAGTGAAAAGAAAAGAGAGAGAAAGTAAAAAGGTAAACAACATCAGAATAAAAATCTTAATCTTAAAGATTCATCTTCATTGAATGAAACAAGGTTGGACAGGAAATGATGAAAGGTTAATTCTTAATTAAACAATTACACTGAGGTTTCTTGCAGTTGGTCTGATGTTTGAGGAAAATGGCGCAGAATAAAAAACATGATAACTGTGAGGTAAGAATCTGACAGCCCTAAACCTGCATACAAGATTTCCAACTTTAAAACTGTTAGTGCAGTTTGTACCTTTTTTTTTTAGATGTAAATTTGATTGGCAAAACACTGCCTCTAAATTCATCCTTTCCACCCTCTTCATTGTTCTCCTAATGTTAGCTTTGATCATGAGACAACAATGATCTCGAGTCGCACTTGAAAAATATCTGTTTTAATGATAAGAAGTGTAAATTACAGTGAAGGTCAAACATGAGGACACATTATCACTGCGGTGCTGAAAGTAAACACTTCAAGTTCAGTTGAACACAAAGTGTCAATCAAACTATCAAAACTGAGTGAAATCCAGTTTTTCTGAGTCTCTTTCATTCCTCTGACTTGAAACGATGCAGATTTGATCCCATGCTGACTTCACAGTTTACGGGCAGATTGCAGGGGCTTATGATGCCTTAGCAGCAAAGACAGCACAGTTGAGGGGACACGAGACATTGTCTCATCCTGATCCCTTTGAGCTCGCTCTGCCTCCCTTGCCGAGATCACTGACTCATTTTGTCAGATGATGTTTGAGATTTGGCCTCTGAAGTGGACTGAGGGCTTGGAAACCAAAAACGAAATATATTGGAGGCCACTATTCCCATTCCCAGTCCCGGGACCAAGTTTAGCATGACTGGTTGATGGATTTGTTGTGTAGGACTAGATTTTGATATCCCTCATTAAACACATACATGAGGCACCGTTAAGACTCTGTGGGGCGGTCAGGAGAGAGATGCCATCCTTCTTGGGTGTGTAGCTGCAGTGAATCGTAGCATCACACGTTTACCTCCAGATGCCATCAACTTACTTGATGGCATCTAGTGAGTTCATCTAAGCCCAGGTTGGGTCCTCTCTCTTGATCCACAGCCACTGACTCCCTTTTTCAGCAGAGGTCTTTGACACACTGAGTAGCCCGGATGTTGAGATGGTTATGAACCATCGTATTGAGTATATATAATGAAATGTTTCCATGTTTTTAAACATCTGCCATAGGAAAACAGATTAAAATGAGCATTTATGCTAACTCCAGCATATTTACATTGATGCTTTTGCTGACATGTCAGTTAACGTGAATTGTCCTGATCAAATAAATAAATAATGACCCTCTGAAGCCTAATTCCACCGGGCGTACTTTCACTTACAGCCTTGTTGTTGTACGTTGGCTGCAAGTTCATCATACCTTAGTTTCTTCCACATGTAGGCCTCCTCCACTGCGCTTTCCCAAAGAAACATGAGCTCATAATATAGACAAGCTTGAGCGAGGCTGACCACAGAACAAGGTCTGGTTGAAGGTTCATGGACACGATCTCAGCTGGGAAGCAGAGTTTCTTGTCCAAGTCCTGTGCTCTGCCCAGAGTCTGGTCTCACGGCGGTGAGGCTGGCTTTACTCTGCCCTCCCTGACAAAAGATCTAATTAAATTAAACAAGCAAGGTATTTTGCTTTGCATGCAAAAAAGGTGAACCTAATTTAAACATACCTACTTGATTCAGATGTAAAACAATTGGCAATTAACCGTAGGGTCTTAATAGGAGGTGGGAGAGCTGAGAACAGTAGCGGTTATTCCAGCAGAAAAGAAGAGGGAGGTAGATAGTGAGCAGGACAATGAAAAGGGCTACTGGAAATCATTTTAACTGGTTTGGACATGGTGCTGCACTCAGCAGAAATATTGTACCTCTACAGACATCTATTATGCTGATCAGGTCTTTTCCAAGCCTCACTATTGACTAGAGTGCAGACCATATGCAAAAATGACAATGGGAAACTTTTTCGTCGAGGACATTTACAGCGGACGGCATTTTGATGAAAAGATTCTGAAACTCTGTCAGGATGTATTTTTCAGCGGAACTTTAAGGATAAGACTGACTGACATTTCTCAAACATGGGTATTCTTTTACACAACGTTTTTTAAACAGCACCGGGTCTACAAACACAACACTTATCCACCTTGATTTCTTCAGTGGGAGCAGAGGAAAAGTTTTCTAAAAAAGCAAGCCAGCACAAAGCTTCCTGCTTCTGTTTGTGAAGTGTTGCAAGTCATGAATCAAGGGCATGACAGAAGCAGAGGCAGGCAGATTGAATGGAATCAAATTCTTCTTTGTCAGTAATCCAACAAAGCAAGTGGCAAGGCGGGCAGGAAGTCAAAAAATGTGGGCAGCTAACAGGAATACTGGATACTGAGGAGCTGGTGACGCTGAAGTTTAAGGGTTTTACCAAATCAGTTTATTTAAAAGGATTACCATGACTGGTTGTTGTCTCTTCAAAAACTGTAACAAAGGGATCCAAACTGTCTGTAATAAAACAGAACCTGATAGTCTGATGGGGGAAAAGAACAACTTACGCTGGGCTTCCACCAAACGATTTTTCACAGTCTCAGACTAAAAACTGAAAGTCTAATCTTGGAGTTTTACTGGAGTCGCAGCATGCTCCCATCAGCTCGATCGTTAAGTTTAGGATGGTGACCTGCGCTGTTATATACCGGTCCTCCCTAGTCTTGGGTTTGCGATGATATCAAACGTGTCGCAGTGACGTTACACAACCAGCAGCCAAGAGTTAAGCTCTAACAAAAATGGAAAAGGAAACCTGACAGTCAAATAATTAACTTTGAATTAACTTTGTACTTGTTGGCTCATTAGCAACCGAGCTAACCAGCCCGCTCACTTACAGCTCCCATTGCCCTTTACTCCTCCGTGAAGTAGATGATTCACAATGTTGAGAACTGAGGGCAGAAGGGTAAGCAGCTCAGTGCAAAGAAAATTGTGAAGGTTAATAGAGCAATCCTGACTGCTGATGTTATAATAGCAGTTAGCTTGTCAACTTCAGTTACTGTGCAAGCCTCTGGTGTGACCCGCTCCTGAGCAGAAGCAACAATCGATGATATGGTGGGAGACAGAGACATAAAGGCCCATAAATATGCCTGGGAGCTGATTAGAGGCTTGCAAACAGGTGTTCAAGTCAGTGTGGGAGTCAGGTGTTGATTAAATGTTGGAAATCCTGCGCGCTACTGCGAAGCAGGAGGGAGAAGCTCCTCAGTTTGTTATGAGACAACAGTCTGGTACCAACCAACAAATCTGTGATATAGAGGGTGTAAAAGGATAGAAATGTTTACCAGAAAACAGTCCGCTTTTACTGGAAATTGTTTCATTTAGTTTTGTGTCTCAGCTACAAAGAGGCTCATTTCAGTCAGACTCAAATTGTGGCACACCCTGTTGAAAAAGTTGCATTTTCCTGTCACAGGAAGAGGGTCCTCAGGCTCTCAAATGTGTCATTTGCTTTGAGTTTTTCATTTGTAAATTGTTAAAACGGGACTCTTTTTTTTCTCCCACTCAGTTGACTCCTACCCCTTACACTGGTTTCAGGAATTTTAAAGTTACTATAAAGTTGCCAACCACTCAGTCCTGTCTTGCTGACGGTCTTGTTTGCTTTTATGATAAGAAGGAATTCAGATTTATTTGTTTCCATAAACGCAAGAACAACAACAACAAAAACTCACTAGAGCTTTAAAGACCCACTCCGATGAAAATCATGTTTTTCTTGTTGTCTACATGTTCATATGACATTTTTCATGATTCTAGAGGACATATCATGAAAAAACAAGTGCGAAATTGTCTTTCTGAGTATTTCTGCATTCAAACTGCTGTGAATCTCTCACAGACCCAAACGGCAGGTTCAGGCACAGTGAGATTTCCTATGTCACAAATGCAAGCCCCGCCCCCTGAGCCCCTCTATGCAGGTCAGACTCAGACAAATAGAGAGGATGATTGAAGAAAAGCGTGTGTGTTAGTGGATTGCAACACTCGTAAGAAAGCTAATTATGATATCAACTTTCATCATGTCCCCAAAGACATTAGTGTTCGAGAGCTGAATAGCTCCTATGGTACCTGCTACTTTTACGTCACCGACAATGTTAGGCTGCAAACTAGCGTGAGGAAGAGAGTCCGCCCACGACTCAGAGGCGAATTGTTAATGAGCTACTGGAGCTCTGCAGAAGAAAAGCCCTTGAAAATGACAGGTAATAAGATTTTGACTAAAAACTTCATTATCACAATTCAAAGACCACTGAGAACACTTTTAGTAAAGAAAAAACGATCAGAATGGGACTTTAAATTGTATAGAGAAAATATGAGGTCTTTCAGTCCTATAAAAACTGGGCTGAAAAGAAAAAACCTGTTTGATAAAATATTAGTGAATCCACAGACATTTTCTAAAGAATGGATTTGTTATGAAGACCTTCATAAAACCTTCATGAAATACATCAGCTAAAGTAAGACAATGTGAGGGAGTTCATGTCTCTCTAAATATAAGGAAAGCACAGTGTGATTCTTGTGAGTCTTAGTTGTTTCCCCCCAATCTGCCCCCCGTTGGCTGTGTCCAGTGGGATTATTTGATTCTGATGAGCGGTTAAAATAGCAGCCTCTACAATCAGGGTGTGAATGGGTGAATGTGGTTCATAATGTGAAAGTACTTTGAGTGGTCGGAAGACTAGAGAGAGAGCTATATCATCATCAACATCTTCCATCATAAGCCAGACCACACTTCCTCTCCAAACCAACACGCTAATGGCAGCTAACATAGGCACAGTTTCAATATCTGTTCATACAGTGTGGGGGCTTGGCATCAAAATGGAAAATGCATAGGGAGAAAATTACTGATGTTGCGATGTAAGTCAAGACATTTTGTGCTGGCTGTCTGACAGGGCCTGAAGATAACTGACACAAATTTAACCAGCCAACCTGTCAAATAGGTTAGTGGTTATTAGACAATATAGTTACAATAAGAGCACGATGACAAATGGAGAAACAGAGGAAACAAGTGACCTGTGGACATATCCTACTTGTGTTGTACAAGTAAGGGATGTAAGAAAGAGATGCATACAGAGTCACACCCGTCCCCCCGCCTACAGCCATAATGCATCCCCCCGGTTCAAAGACACTTTAACAACCTGCAACATCAGGAGGTGGTCCCCTGAAATTGGAGATACTCTCACAGACTGTCATGTCTGCCACTGTGAGAACACTAAGGGGATGATACACTGATGATACACTGTCTGATGGATCATCTCAACTTCTGTGTGGACATGGTCTCTTCAGTCCTCTCAAACAGGTAGCCTGTACCTTAGGTGAACCTTCTCCATCCTCTCCAAGGACGGGCCTCACTTAAGTATCCAAACCTCCAGAGACTAAAACAGGGCTGATGCTGTCTCATTAAACAATCACTAATTAGAGTAATCCTAAATTCATCCAAATCCATATCCAAATTCACCTCCACAGTTTAACCTCAATAATCATTGTCTGACTCAAAATCTCACTTTCATCTATCATGATTTATTCCTTTTATCTTATCATCGTTTGTGTTGTAACTTAATTTATCCTGTAATAAAGAGATGATTGATTTTCTAAGTTCTTGTCTGTTAGTGTTCTTCCAGAAGTGGAGCCCCTGAAATGAGATGTGAGGTTGATGCAAAACTGATTTAATATTGACTTAATGTTGAGTTTCAGAATTAAACATTTGTTTTCTTTTATTTAGTCGTTGGTATTTTACTGATATACTTATATACTTAAATAAGGGAAGATAGTTGCAGGTGTGCTCCTTGTGTATAATATCACATTGCTACTTGTATAATTTATTTGAAATCTCTGAAAAATCTAATTAAAATGTAGATTCTTCTAAAATGTAGTCTTAATAAATTTCTAAATGTTGTTTATTGAAGTGGTATTTGAGTCTGTCTGTCTTCCCTTTAGTTTCATAACAGACAGCGTTTAGTCTAATCTGAGTCTTTTTTTTTTCAGTCAAAACTTTTTCAAACAGATTTATGATAACTTTGAAGAAAAATACAGTTGAATGACAAATACCTTCTTGTGTTTGGTTATAAATCTGAAAACATATTTCTAACTTCCTCATGGTATTGACAAAATTTAGGGACAAGTACCTGTTTTGAAAGTCATATTTTAGAAACACAGTTTCCACTGACTCAGAGTCTCTATAATCAGCCTGAAGAAACCATGAGTCAGATTTTAGACGAAGCAGGTGGAAGTGCACGGTGCGGTAGCTTGATTCTGTTAAAGTAGATTATCAGTTAATTTAGCACAGGATGCTAATCACCAACAGGTGTGATGTGAAGTTTTGTAACCTTGTCAAAAAATAATACCATAATCAAAACCAATCGAGACCCAATTACAGAAAGAAATCTGAGTTTACTGAACATGAAATGTTAAAAGTTACTGTGTGTTTGTGTCCCTGTTGGAATCAGGATGGTACGCTCAGTCTTCACAGGTCGTCTCTTTTCCTCGAGCTGAAGGTTATAATAAGGCACCAATTTTTGGTGATGCCAGCTGCCAGCTTGAATATGTAAACAGACTTTATTGCTGACATTCACCGGATGGAAAATCATCCAATGACAACCAGAAAGATGAGTGGAGTCTGTGAGAATTTAGAGCGACACACTTGTTGCAGATAAGTTATGTAACTGTTGACAGCCTGACAGAGCCAGCTATTTTTTCTGGTTCATGAGCAGAGATTTTCATTGATAGTTTGCTGACCAATTGACCTATTGCTAAGCCCCGCCCCCCCTTAGTTACTGTTGCTAACTCGGACATACAACCGGAGCCTTCAAAAGGGACTTCATTATGCCATGGAGGGATGTATCCAGAATGTAAAATTAGATGTGATTGGTGAGAACACAACATCCAAGACCAACACTGTTTGTGTACTGCAGGGTTAGGTTAAATTAATTTACCTTTAATTAATTAAACTAATCTGGAGAGGCACTGAGTGTTGCAGTCACTCAGCTAGTGTGCTAAGTTAGTTAGTTTACCAGAGGCGAAAGCTCTGTTACTGCATCGCTAATGACATAAAAAAATAGTTGTTAAGGTTAGTAAATTTAAAGCTATGTTGACGTAATTTACCGTAGAACAAATGAAGACGTCCTTGTTGATCTTCTGGATGTTAAGTTGGCTGTGTGGTCTGCTACACAATTAAATCCATAGCAGACATTGACTTTGCCCATCCTGTTTGAATATCTTGTGTCGGTATTACACGTACCCCATGCACACCTTTTTACCATGTTTCTTTCTGTTATAGTAAAATAGTGCGCCATAAAACAGATGAAAAATCATGATTTTTAATGCTTCTCTATAGAGCTGAAAACTATAGATATCCAAGTTCCGGTCCCGGTGCAACTGATACGAAGCTGCCATTGGCTCAGCAAAAGGTCAATTAAGTCATCATCATGAAAAAAGGTGCTTTAAAGAAAACTTGCCAATATTTCTGTAACAAAATTATCACTGCAGGTACAGCAGCTGGTTTTCTAATCTCTCTGTTTCCCAGGACTGTTCAATCACAGCAGGATAATACAAGTTACAAAGGTCATAATGATCTACTGCCAGGATTTCAAATTCTCTAACATTCAAAATCACTTCAGGAAAAAAACGCAGATGGAGCTGATGGATAACCCAGGGTCACGCTGTATTTGTCTGCTGTCAAAAAATCATTGCAATTTTTGGAAACAAACTCTTAAAAACAAGACAACAACTATCTCCAGTTATTTGAGGTACACACTATTCCAAACAAATACTTCAGTGGCTGCAAGTAAATGAGACAACTGGGGATGAAGCTTGCCAAGGGCACTGCTGGAGTCACAGCTGTTCAAATGGGAAAGAGTGGGAGATGGCGCAGACACTTATTATGATTCTGCCACACTCCCTCTGATTACACATTGGTGGCCTCCTAATTGTCATCCTCAACAAAGATGAAGTGCTGCGCTATGATAAAAGGGTTGAGTTGGCCAAAACGGGCACAACAAGTGGGATTAGTGTCAGACCTAAGGGGGGGGATTGCTGTGTGTGTGTGTGTGTTTGTGTGGGTATGTCTGCTTTGAATGTTTTTGTGAATCAACTTGTGCACCTGTTTCCTTGAGTCTGAAGGGCATTTTGACCCTGAGGGGCTGTGATTGATCAGGGCACTTTAGCCTGGAGGGCCCTGCTGTGTCCACAGTGGGCCTGCAAGCATCTTCATCACTTTCCTTTAAACCCGGGAATCACTCTGCTGTGATGAACGAGCAGCAGGCAGGGAGGGGGTCTACAGGAACAGGGGTGACAAAGCCCTATGTCACAGCAGCACACAGCTGGACAGGGCCAAAGGAATGGGAGTGTGCTGGGCAAGCAAGGAGGAGGGAGGGTGTCTTATAAATGGCCTCTGCTTTGGGCCAAATACTCAATTAGCTGATCTGACAAAGTGCTCCGTCTCCCCTCTGCCTTTGTTTTTTCTGGCTGGGTACAGTGTTTGTCCTCCACTTGAAGGTGGAGGAGAAGAAGATGAGGGTACAGGTTTGATCGGGACTTCAGGTCAGAGAGCCCCTTTTCAATCTCATCCTTTATTAACATTTGTGATCTGCAATTAAAATTAATGAGATGAGACATCACTTTAAGGAATTCACTTTTTTCTTTTTCTTTTCTTTTTTTTTTTACAGCTGAGGCTACTTCTCAGGGTTTTGGCGATCATCATATTTTCACTCACTGACTTCATTACGAGGAGAAGCAGCTACGGGGAGTTGCTGCTTGTAAAATAGTCAACTATTTGAAATTAATCCCTAAAGTGAAATTCAGGGTTTTATGCCCTGGGTGAAGGCCAAAGGTATCTCTAAATCTTTGGACACAATGTCTTGAGTCCAGAGAGTGCAACAGAGTCTATGGTGCATAACAAATTAAATCGAACAGATTAGGTGATTATGCAGAGTTGTCTCACTTTTATATTTACGGACATAATAATTTATCACTTTACCAAAAGGAAAAAAAAAAGCCGGTAGCTGATATTGTTATTTCCTTGTGAAGATTATCTGAGCTGGTTGTGAGTTCAGTACAGGCTGTGCTGGACTCCAGAGCTGTCTGAACCAACACTGAACTCAATTCTGCAATTTCAATAAATATATTTGATGAATATTCATAAACAAGACTTTTCTTCATGCAAAAAAGATATTTAAGAGTCAAAACTCTTGCAGCATGTATGCTTTGTTTTGATTTGATGGTGAACATTCAAACTTCATGATATTTTCCAACATCATGAATCTTATTTGTCTGTCAAAAAACGAGGATGCAGCCAGTCAAAGGCTGCAGCGAGTGCTCTATAAGTACGCTTCCCTCTGCTGCCACAGTCAGGATGACGTCAGTTTCACATTTTGCACGTTTTTTCTTTGTGCTGTAAACTCTGACAGCTCAGTGTCAAAGTGTCAATTTCTCCTGGTTTGGTAATATGATGGAAAGCGCCTTTAATGGAATGTTTCATACTTTTAATCAACTTTAAATCTGTGCTGCAGAATGCTAAATGTCTGTCCAGTCTGCCTGTAACCACAAGCTCAATTAATGACTGTTGTAAAAGAGCAATACAGCCATTTTCATTCTTGCACTTGCAGACAAGGTCGAGTCAGGGAGACGTGTCCATCATTTATTGCTGTTTTTTTTTTCTGAGTAATGCACTTTCCTCACTTTAGCAGATCTGGAAGGACAGTACTGTAGTTTAACTAAGAGGGAGAGTTCAGACTAGATTATCCAATAAAAAACACAAAGTCAGGACACAGGTAACAGCGTTCAAGCTCCTGTTAGGGTTTATTTATTTTTACTTTTTTGACATTTATGAAACAGACTGACATTCATATTGATGCCTTTTCATGATATACAAACAAAAACAAGAACATCAAGATTCACCATTTTTATAATGTGATTTTATTATGCCTGAAACCTGTGTGAGGGTGTGGGTGTCAATAAGGCACAGCAAATATTTACAATAAGTGATATGTTTGACAGTCATAAGATGCACAATTTGATTTTTTTTGTCAAATGACAGCGCTTGAGCAGTACATGATTTGTCTACAGGGGGCGCCAAAACTGACACAAACTGACAGTTCCTCTCAGGACCTTTAGAAGACTGAAATTATGTTTTACAGACTTAAAAATGGAGCTGCACAGAAAAAAGAGGATTTGAGCCCAAACCAGTCTCACAGTAACTACATGTCAACATCACAAGCAGGGGGGAGAACAATTTATATTCTGGGTAATAAGTTTCTAAAGTTTTTCCACAGCTCCATAGGGATTGCAGGAGGAGGCGGGATTTATGACCTATACTGCAGCCCGTCACCAGAGGGCGCTGTTCGCGGTGACAGATGGCATTCATTCTAGATACAGTCTTTGGTTCTGATTCTGTACTGACTAAACTGGTCTGAAAGCCTTTTTGTTGCCCTTTGCTATTCTGCCTTGTAGGTGTTTGGTACATACAGTTTAACATTACCAACATATCCAGGCAGAGATAATATCCTCAGAATGACATCACTGTTAAAGGAAAGAAGTTTGATAATACACATTTATAATAGAAGACAGCATCAGAAGTCCTTAAGTAGGCATTACCATTTTAAAACAAAAATACTTTCATTTGTTTTTCTTTCAGACTGGCAGCGTCTCTTGTTTTCCTGTCGTCTCTGCTACTAAATATATTCTGGGTTTAAAAAACGAGGTTCAGGTAGGACTAAACTCTAAGACGAATATCAAGTTTTTGAAGCACAAAAGTTCCTCTTCACGAGGCCCAGAGAGACCTGCAGCAGTGTCGGTGTCTGTCATTATTCTGCTCTTTACGCTGTTGTGGGAGGGAGTGTGTGAGGTGAGGTGAGATGGGGTGGGGGGCTTCATTAGACGCTCTCTATCGTCCTGCTGTTCCATTTACAAAGTGTGATCGGTAATTATCCTCTCTCATTACTGCGACCTGGAGAGTCGAGCCCGAGGAGCTCGCTGGGACCCTTCAGATAACACAGTGACACAGGGAGCTGCGGAGAACACCAATACTTAACCACTAACTACACAACACATAACAGCTCTTATCTGGAGGCTCCAGCCAGCTGACAGAGGCTCACTAAAAACATATTGAAGAGTGCTCCCCGGAGCATGGGGGCTGTAAAAATAAGCTCAACTATAAAGCCAAACACACATTTGTGTTGTGTATAGACACTTTTAAGACACCAGCCATATTTTTTGACTTGTTCTGTGCACGACTGAAGATTTGTCACCTTAAGTTGTTGAAGACCAAATTTATCACCGTGGATAAAGAGTAAAGAAGTATTTCAAGCTCCTTGAACTGCAAAAGTTTAATTTTCTAAAAGCTTTTTTTACATCAAAGATTCACTCAAACTGGCACGGGCAAAGTTAAAGCCATTTGTTACTCTGAAGGAACAAGGCAGAAAAATCACTGTGACTACGCCAATGTGAAGTTTCTTCACCTTTGTGTCAACCATAGATAGACACAATGAGAATAAACTGTTTTTTAGAGTCAGGACCACAGTGCTGTCACATCTTAGCTGTTCATGCTTTCACTTCAGGTTAAGTTCAAAACAAAAAACAAACAGCAGCTGCATTTGCTTCTCAACCATCTCGACTGTTTATACTGTAAAAATTTTTTTTTGTGTTTTTGTTTTATTTTTATTTTTTAAATCAAGATAGTGTATCAGTGTCCTCTAAGCCTTTGTGTCTGCCTATCCTGGCAAATATGGAGTCAAATTAGTGCAAAAGTTGTTGTTGTTTCATGACTGTACTTCATGTCATTCTCAAATAGTAAATTATTAGTATTTGAGGCCCTCATGAGTCTCTATTTTGCATTAACTGTACACATATTTGATACACTCTCATTGTGTACAGATTATTGTGCGTGGCTTATTATTTACAGCTGTCTGAAATAAGTGGAAAAAAAAATAATAATTTGACACTCATTTTATGCCAGATAAAGTCATTTGTGTTTTCTTTTTTTTGAATGCTCAAATCACTCCATGACCCCGTGACATTAGCATCTGCATTTGCTAAGAGTTCTTGTCTAATTTATTCAGACTTCCTCTCAAATCATCTGTATTTGCTTTGGCAGTATATTTTAATCACAGTGTTATGTGGGAAAGCTTTTTTTTTTCTTGCATTGATTTGAGTTAAAAGAGGGAGACACACTCACAGAGAGAGAGAGAGAGAGAGAGAGAGAGTTAGTCAGTACGGGGGTGGTACTGTAGCAGCAGTCGGACTCTTTGGTACACAAAGCCCTTTGGCAGCCCCGGCATGGTTTACAGCTGAAAGCTCTGCAAAATGTTTGCTCCTGTTTTGGATCCACACCACAGCCATTATTTAGGCAGCAGGCTTGCCAACACTAACTGCCTAATTAAGCATTCAGTGGTGCTCTCACTCTGACTTTGAGGTCATTTTCACTCTGCCTTACAATAGCATGATTTAATTTTGCAGATTGTACATCACCGGCTCATTGTTATGGATAACAGCTCTTGGAAACTGTTAAAGTGAGCCTCTTTTAATCGCAGATATTAAGCAGTTCACATTATCTGGACTGAACTAAGCTTTTATCTCAATCTAAAAGACACGACCTTGTTTGACCTTTTCTGGCTTTTACACAGCGCAACACTCGCCAGTAAATTTTTGAACTAATGTTAAGATTCTACTGATCACCTACAGAGCTTGTTCTCCACTATCTTTTTGTACTATCCCTGGCATTTTATATCGCCTAAATCACAGCTGGTGATCTTTGGCAGTGACTGTTAGTCTTTCAGAGTCCCGGCTGAATAGAAAGCTAATTGGGCCTTCTCAGTGTGGGCACAGGCGTAACAAGCTTCCCAGGATGTGACTTTATTCTTTTTTGGTCCAAACAGTCACAAAAAAACATATAAATCTGCAATACGCTCTGCAAAACTCTCTTTTAATTCCTGTTTTTTAATAAGTGTACACGTCCTTCTCTGCAGGGTTAGACCTTCTGAGAAACATACATCCTCTTTCCTTTATGTAAGACAGTTTCTGACTGTTTTCAGGTTCATTTTCTCACCAATAGTTTGAGAAAAAAGGCTGAAAAGAGAAAAGCAACAATCCCTGCAGTTGTGTATTATAATTTAAATGTTATTCTCCTTCAATCTCCAATAATCTTCTCTACTAAAACCACACACTGGGTCCATGAAAGATGTTTCACCTTCTTCTTTATCATTTAATCCCTTACAGCCTTTTAAAAGAACAAACTGACACTTTATTATCACTTTCAAGAAATCTGTCAATCCAAAAGGTCATCCAGCGAGAATGGACTGGTACTGTGAGGAGGTGACTGTCCTCCTGAACTCCGGAATAACCAACTCCTGGTATTAATTCTGCTGACTGTTGAGGTATATACACATATACACTCAGAGAGACTGACTTTTTATTCTCCCTTTTTGAAAATCTGACTTCAGTCATTCGTACATCTTAAATCTCCATCTGACATGTCGTCAATTTCTGCCTCAAACCCTCAAAAGCTTCAAAAAATTTTACATATCAGCTCTTCATCAGTGCAGTCCTTCATCCAGAATTGTCAAGGTTTATGCTGGCAGAATATGCAAATCTACACTTAAATGGGAGGCATGTGTTGGTTGCAAGCAAAAAAACACTAAAAACAAAACTCTCAAGAACCACAAATAGTCCTATAAAAAGCAGTCCCAAAAAGCTGAGGTTGTTCACCTGAGAAAGAGGACGGACCTTGACATGGTTACATGGGTTACAGGCCATTCTTTGAGGAGCAAACATTTAAAGACTTGAAGTAATACGTGAATCTTTGTGTTTATGTATGTTTGGATTTAAATCATTTACTGGACTTGGATTGTTAGCGTACTTTCTGGTGCCCCCCCTTTAGACAGAAGTTTGTAGAAATTTCCATCTCAGTTGGTCTTTAATCTTGTTCACTTTCTGCTCTCATGAATATTACTTTAAAAACACAACTGTGCGGCTTTTTATACTCCAATCTGTTGAAAACAGCGATGAGAGCACCGTCTCTCCAGCTGTGTTCACATCTCTGCACCTGTCATGTTCATGACTGTTATTATCATCGCTCAATCGGATCAATTCTACTGTCCCGTTTTAGTTCTCTATCGTTCCACGTGGTTTTTATCTTCTTCTTTTAAAACACTTTGCAACCATGTTTAAAGAAAATGCAGGTTCCATAGACTCTGTAAAGAATGGACAGAGTCTGCCTCCTCGCTGGGTGAAGCTACTCTGAGAACAGCACCCTCTATTGAGAGGCTGCAGTATAGGTCATAAATCCCGCCTCCGCCAGCAATCCCAATGGAGCTGTGGACATATATATATATATCGATATATAGATAGATAGATAGATAGATAGATAGATGGGTGTGTGTGTGTGTGTGTGTGTGTTTCTCTCTCTCTCTCTCTCTCTCTCTCTCTCTGAAACATCTGTAGTGGCTTTACATGATTTACAGCTTCAGAAACTCTTAATCTCAGACCGGCACCTTAATAAACCCTCATTTTAGTGTCTTTTTCATTTTTGCAGTTGTCTCCTTTCTTTTAACATGAAAAAGTAGAATATCGTCTTTGATATATTTTTCTGCCCTTCTTATTTCCAAGCCTTTTCTTTGGGGTGTAACTAAAACTTCTGCTTAATGTTTCACAGCCTTCCTCAGAAAAAAAAAAGTAAAGAAAAGAGAATGAAGATTTCTATTAAATCTCTGGGTTTCAGTTAGGAATTAGCTTGGTACTAATGTAAAAAGCCGAGGACAAATGGATTCAGGGAGGAATTCAGAACTGAAATGGAAAAAATGAGCCACAGCTCAAGACAGTAATAATACATCAAAAAGAGACTTCAACATTTTCATTAAAAATATTATGAAATCAGTTTTAAAGGGAAAATGTCGAACTTCAAAAGAACCCATTGTTCCTGAAAACCGTACAAACTTATGATTCATTTGATTATTGAACCAAATGCATTTCTTTTTCAGAAGTTAAAGTGAATTTAGAGCCTTTACCTGAATTTGCAGCATAAAAATGTGATACTTTAAGAAGTAGGGGAGACTGGGGACAGTTGCGACACTTCACTCTTCTCTCAATTATTCAGAGAGGATTTGGACTAGGCCAACCATTTATTTAAATAGTACATTTACATCTGTCCTCAGTATCCCCATACCATTTAAATATGATTACATTTGACAGATTTTTCACTATGTTCATTCAAAAAAAGAAAAAAGTCAACTTTTGCAACTGATCCCATCCCTTGGATGGTTGTGACATGTCACAAATTCATTCAATTTCAATTTTCAATTTTTTTAATTTTTGTTTCATCTCAGTGAGCATACAAGTCTGAGAATATGTATTATTTTATTGTATTATTATGATAATTTAATACACAAAATGTAATAGTACTTTTTCCTTGATCTAGTATCTAATATTGAGTTTGTTTCTTTCTGCATAAAACATAAGCCTACTATGAGTCAATGTGCAGATGTTAAAGATTGCAATGTTAGTCAATGGATTGTGGAATTTACCAAGATACGAATACAAATCTTGATGCAAATGTAACACTGCATATCATGCAACACTAGCCTGTGGTGCAAACAGTCACGACAGGATGACAAAAATAAACCGCTTGAAAAATTTTACTCTCATACATCAAAAACATGTTTTTTTCCTATAAATCCGGATGATGATGTTAAATGTGTCTCTTCCAACTGAGCATCTGCAATTTCAGTGTCATCAACCAAGCATGTTTCTGATTGGAGGAATAAGCCTTGCTGCAACTGTCCCCAGTCTCCCCTATCTACTGCTACTCTCTTGCCCCTATTTTTGGGATGCAAGTCCATCATTACCAAAGCATTTGAGCTTTTTTGTTGTTGTCATAATGCTCAAGCTCGTAAAGGGAAAGAGGGGAAAAAAGCCTCCTCTGCTATTCTTAGAAACCAGTTTTTACAAGTTTGTGACTTAGTCAAACAAAACATGATAAAGTGAACTGCTGAGGTATTGAGAATTCCCCACAAGTGTGCGCCAAGCATCTGCTAAATTATCATATGTTTTAGGTGCTCTGCATTCTATTGACATTTTTAAATGTCACGGATGAAAAACAACATCACGATTATAATGAGACTGAAACGCAGCGCTTCAAGCAGGAGCGACGTGAGAAAAAAACGGAGAGGAGAGAGTCATGTCATAAATATTAAATACTGATTAACTTGTGTGTTTGAAGTCGTCTATATCATATTGTAAAGGTGTTTTAAAGCTCTTAGTACTTTCAAAACTTGTGTACATTAGTTGGATGAAGCTGTTTTTAATGCGTTTTGGGCCCTGTAATAATGGCACAAAACGAATAGTCTAAAGAGCAGTTAGTTGGAGCATTTTTCAACCATGTGCCAGTTAAGAAAAGTACAAAATGACTAAATGCTAAAATGACTGCATAAAGGGTCTGATGATATTAGTGACATTTTTTGATTGAATTTGCTCAGGGGGGTGAAGGATTTCTTCTTCTCATGAACTTGTAAGAAATAAATCTGTTAAGTATTACCAACAATTTTAAGTACCAACAAAATAGGTCCGAATGATTGATTTCAACATTTATTTCCACCTTTTAGGAGGTATTTTTAGGAGGCACCCAAGGTAGCCAATCCGATTCAAAAGGGACCTGTGTCGTCCCTGGTTACCCTTTGGCCATGCCCCTGGCAGTGTGCAACATTGTAGCTGTGGTGAAAGAAACCGTTTTTGTTTTTCTTTTGTTGTTGTTTTAAATAGGAAAAAAAAAGGGAGTGCATTTTATGATCTGCGAGTCATTACTTTCAAAAATTAAAAAATTTTGGGTTTATTTCTTATTATTTTTGGAATTTGAGGTTCTTTGAAAAACGGTAAACTGAACGCAGTTGTTGTCTGTGCTGTTATTTACTCATGTTGGCCTCACATTGGTCGTTATTCTTGCACATAGAGGTCAGATGGGTCTAATAAATATTTCTATTATCATAACCTTCAATAACAATACTGTGTCAAGAGCCATTTTATGTGATGGAGGAACCTGTGCAGAGGACGTGACTCTGTTTCACGTTCGGTCACACCAGGGGCCTAAATTTTAATCACACTCTCCCCTTCAAGCCATTAAAACGAGAAAGTGACGTTTATTAGACAGCAGAGGAAAATAAACAAGGCCTAATTGGCTCGCACCGAGAGCGCTCTACTCCCCCCTTGGCCCTTTGTCGGAGAATAAACCTGCCAGGCAGTGAGGTACAAAGCTCAAAAGCAGAATGACCTTTGGAGACTCACTGCTTCTTTCAAGTGGACTTGCAACGCCAATAATGCCTTGGGGGAGTGGAGAGTCAGGCTTTTATTTACGAATATGCAGACAATATTGACTTCTAGGATCCATGACGGGTGTGAAATGGGCCAGCTTGTGTAACAAATGAAAATGAGATGGCGCACCTTAACAGCTTTCCCTAATTGCCTGACCTTGCAGCATGTAGCCTTGTATTACAAAATAAGATTTCTGACACCATTATTCTTCCGGAGCTGTCGTCGGGTGAGTGTGTAAAACATCATTTACTGATAGAGAACCCTCTTAAGAATCCAATTTAAGGAGCCTGTGTTCAGGAGTGTGTTACAATCATCTTCACAGTTGTCTTTCATCCTTTTTTTTCACACTATTAAACACCCACCTTTGTTAGAAAAGAAAATAATGCCTGTGAAGAGGTGGTACACAACAAGCCCTCAGGGAACAATACCGCACTACCAGGTATTATAGTATTAGCGCAGTGTTTGCAAACAGCCAGACACAGCAGACAATAATGTGTGACACTTTGATTGCGCAGGAATGAAGTGCTACTATGACACATTAAACCTGCTCTCACCTGTTAGCAGCTCAGATGGTCCAACACTGAAGAGAACAAACGTTGGATTACTATCTAGTAAACGCTTTCTCCGGGGGGATTAACATCTCATTCACAGGGAAAATTCATGGTCGTGAAAGAGAAATAACTCACGTTCAGAAGCTAATCGCATGGGATTTAGGCTAAGTCCCGATTTTTACCCACGAGCGTAGGTAGTTTTGGGTTCAGGAGGAGGGAGATAAAGTAAGTGGTTTGTTATACAACTGAGAAAAGGGGGATGCTTTCTATAAATATTTTAAATACAGTTATTCAAAAGAAAATATCCTAGAAACACTAGAATCCAGTAAGAGTCAGAAATAATACAAGCTATGATTTATTCTTTTAAGTTTGTGAGCAAATGTCGACTGAAATGCAAATTTTCGAACACTGTTTTTAATCTAGAACTTCCTCTCTAAAGTTTAGCATGTTCCAGCTAAATCATTGTGTACAGGCTAGGACGAATAACAAGCCCTTAGAAAGAGAGAAATCACCTGTTCACCTTCCTTAAAACCCCTTAAGTACGGACTCCATGTCTACAGCTGTGGTTGGTAACCATGTGATAACAAGCTCATGTACAGAGAGCAGGTAAATATGTTGATTAGAGTCCTGATGGAGTGGGACAGGGCCTCTTGGGATTATAATCTACATAATCACCTGCTCACTGTACACTGTGTTCTCAGCTTGTCTCTATTCCCTCGCCTAACTGTCAGCTAATAGAGGCCTGGTTAGGTCGACACGGACATTTATGGGAATGAACTTCAGTACATTTAAAGTCCCACTCTGATCTTTTATTTTTTCTACTTCTTAAAGTGTTCTCAGTGGTCTTCAAATTGTGAGTATTAAGTTTTTAGCCAAAATCACATTACCTGTTATTTTGAAGAGCTTTTCTTCATAATTAACTTTCTTACGAACAATGCAAACCACTATTGTACACGCTTGTTCCGCGACCCCCCTCTGTATTTCTCCTCTGAGTGAGGCCTCCACAGCAGGTTAGAACCATATGAACATGTAGACAACAAGGAAAATGTGATTTTATCAGAATGGGTCTTTAATGCAAGTTTAAGATTTAAAATCTGTGTTTTTTTATCTTATTTCAGCCAGTGTTTCCTAAAGTGAGTTCCCTAAGATTGAGTTGCTGTTGCCTCCAAAAAAAGTAAAAGTCCCTCATCAATTTGGGACTGTACTCACAGAGGCAGTGACAGGTCGTGGTGCAGGAAGAATTCATGTCTATTTCATGTCAGGTTGTGTACTGAAGGGAAGGAGATGATAGTAGATGAAGGGAAGGAGTTAAAAGCTAATAAACACATTAAAATGTGCGGTACGCAGATGGCCGAGTGGGTTAACGGTCCCCGCAGCGGTCGGGGGTTCGAGTCTCACCTGAAAACAGATGATAAAGTGAATATTATATAGATGGTATAGGATGTCACAAGACAGAAATTAACTTTCAATGACGACATTCCTGATCATACTTTCACAGTCATGAGTAGAAACGTTCGGCTAAAGCAAAGATAACTCCGTTTAAGAAGCCGTCAGTTTTAGCTGTTACTGTTAACACAGATCCAACTGTACAATTCAAATAGATACTTTCTGAAATACGTTTTCACTTTAGTCCGGCTGAAATCACACAAACTTCTCATAGCTGGACTAACAAACCTGGATAATGTCGTTGGAGCTCAATTTTCTTCTCGATTTAGATGATTCAGTTGGACTGAAACTGGTCTAAGTGTTCTGCTTGTGCTCCAGAATTCACACTCTCTTTGGCCTGGAAGTGGACTTGGTAAATTTGTTGCTAGGAAGTCGGTTCTCGTTGTACGTTTAAAAAGTGACCATGTTTTTATCTTTCACCACTTGAAAATGTACTTGTCGATTGTTGGGTGTAGGATGTAGTAAGTCATCTGATCAGTTGTAAATGGCATTTCGCCCCCTACTGTAGCTGTTGTAGAAATGTTTCTGTCAACAATTTGATTCTTGTGCTGTAGTCCTGTTTAATCTCCTCAGTGATCTGTGAACATACCTTAGCTGTGCTGAGTGATGCTGACTAGCTCGGCCCTTTAGCTGGAAAACTAGCTGGAGAACAAAACCAGTGTGCTGTATGCATAATAATAACCTTAACACAGTAAAACAAGGAAAATACCCCAAATAGACGGTTCCCTTACACTGAGAATAGTGCTTTGGTTCGTGTTTGTTAAATTTAGCCAAATTACATGGTGCAGTTGTCCCTGTCTGCAGCAGTTTTCTTTCTGTTTCTCTGGCTGCTTCAACAAAAAAAGACCTCAGCTGGAGACACATTACCCTATCTTTAAAAGCCGTTTTTAATTCAATTAACACATTTGTGAATCAAGAATTCAGTGTAAAATAACCAACATCCACCCTATGAGCAAAGTCAATGGCTGTGTAACAAGTGGGATAATATAAAGTTGTTATAATAGAGGGACTCCTCCAGGGTGAGACGAGTCTTACTCAACCACTAAAATTTTATTTGGCTGTAAAATCTCACTCACTAACTTTTCTTTCCTGTAGCATTGTGGAGTTCACAACAGTCCCATCAAACCCCGATAAATAAAATGTTTGGGGCGATGTGTATTATTGCACAACAGATGTGTCGGACTGAAGCGAATCTGTGAGCTCATAAAACTGAGCAGACACAGTTTGTACATAGGTTTACAATAGCTTGAAAGTATGATGTTATTCTAACTCAATAATGCAATACTCTGTCAGGATATGTTCTGTTGATTTCAGTTTTTCCCTGGTTAAGTTGAGTGGAGTCTCTCTGTGATTTTTCCCAAGTGTTTCTGTTCCCTAGTGTTCTTTTCTTGTGAGTTTTCAGTTTGTGTTTGACCCTGTTTCCCTCCTGTTCTCTGTGTTTTATTCTTTAGATCAGTTTTCAGTGTTTCCTGTTTTATTTTGTAGTAGTTGATTTCTTGTGTTTCTAGTCTGTTGTTACTTCCTTAGTTTTCCCTCCTTCGTTAATCACTCATGAGTTCCACCTGTGTCTCGTTTGCCTCACCTGTTGCTTGTTTCCCAGTGTGTATATAGTCCCTGTTTTACCCTCTGTCCTTGTTGGTTCATTGTATGTATGTTGATGCCTATGCTTGTGTTCCCTGTTGCTCCCTGTGATTTTGACCCAGTAATTTTTGTGGATTTTGTCTTTGGGATTTTTCTCTTTTGTTGCTTTTTTAAAATTCCATCCATCCATTTTCTACCGCTTATTCCCGTTGCTGAAGTTGCAGGGGGGCTGGAGCCTATCCCAGCATCTTTGGGCGAAGGCAGGGGACGCCCTGGACAAGTCGCCAGTTCATTGCAGGGTTGACATATAGAGATGAACAACCATCCACGCTCACATTCACACCTATGGGCAATTTGGAAGTGGCCAATTAACCTAACCCCACCTAGACATGTTTTTGGGATGTGGAAGTAAACCAGAGAACCTGGAGTAAACCCACGCAGACACAGGGAGAACATGCAAACTCCACACAGAAATACCCTGAGTCGGATTCAAACCCAGGACCTTCTTGCTGTGAGGCGACAGTGCCAACCACTACACCACTGTGCCGCCCGCATTTTCCAATTGGTTCTTTTAATTCAATCATTTTCTTGTTCTGCATTTGGGTCTTTTTCTTTGTTTGTCCCTACATGACATGACACACCTGCAGACTACATATCAGGGGATAAACATGCATCCGCTCATTTTGCATACTGTATTTCTGATAAGCTCTTTACTTTCATTGATTTGAGCGATCATTATCTGATGTCTCCTGCACTTCCCTGACCTCCTCTTCATACGGCGAACGATCTGTGTTACAGAACATCACAACAACGGGCAGTCCAGCAGCATCTGCGGCTTTAAGAAACAGCAATATCATGTCTTATATCCTCCCCCAATGCTTGAAACTAGACATGATGCATAGAGTGGATTGCCACAGTTGACATAAAATTCAGTATATCAAATAAGCTCAGTGCGGCAGCCCAGCAGCGTGTCTCCAGGTAACAGTACTTCAAACGGGTGGAGATGTATCTCACTGATCTCCTGTAAAGCATGAACAGATGAAAGAAAATGATTTGTGTTCAGGTGGGTAAGTAAATGCATCATAACTGCCAAAGAGTCCCGTGGGAATAAAGGGAGGCATCGCTCCCTTCTGGAGGACCGTCACAGCGTCTGTTTGGATGCTGCCTTCTTTTTTTCTTCTTCTTCACCCATAAACAACTGCAAAGACAAACTGTTGAATATGTGTGGCGTTGGTTTTATGACACCAGCGTGCTGCAGGATCCAGGTACAAGTACTGGCATTCAGGAACCTCAACGCTGTTCTGTATTCTCAGTGCAGCTATTAATTAAGGGACACAGGCACATGTGTGTAATGTGATCATATCTATACAGTTATTGATTAATTAGTAGAATTAAATAAGCTTTCCCTATAAAGCCTATACACCATGGAGTTGGATGTAGCACGAACCACGAATCGAGCGGTGACATTTACAGAGGTATTAAAGCTAATTCTGGTTCAATACCATTGTTTGTTTTGGAGGATCAGTATGCCATGGCTTACTCAAACAGAACTGTTAACATAACTGGAAGAATATTACCCTCTGGGATTGGTGGCCACATATATTATAGGGAATTTCATTATGAGCTGCATTATAGCTGAAGTCCTGAAATAGAAGAACCCAGGGTTTAAAGAGAAAAAACTTTTTGCTCGATGTCAGAGAAACTATCTTTTCCTTCACCATGGTTTGAGTTAAGGCTTCATATCAGTTTTCCAAGGATGCCAGTCAACTCCTGACAATGGATACCTCGGTTAAAAAATCATCGGCAGCTTTCGTATTAACCCTCTGATGCATGAATTATGAAAGCCCTGATTAAGATTTTTTTCACAAGTGTTTTTATTATTCTAAGGACATAAAAGAACATGTTAAACTGTTTTTTTCCAAAAATGTTATTTTTTCACAAAACTACAGAAGTGTCCATTCAAGTGGACTACATGCGCCTGAGCACTCAACACAAAACATTATGAACTTACAGTAAAAAGTACAGTACACCTAAATATGCCAAACTATCTCCAACATTGGAAACAAAACTGTAAGTCCCCACAGTACTATAAAGATTCAGGACTGATTTTACCATGCCCTTATACGAGCATGTTGTTTTCAACAACAAAAACTGACATTTTAGTCCCTGCATCTCCAAACATGTCTCTGCTCATCACACCTAGGATGTATGAAAGTTGGCAAAGCATCCAGGGCACAGTGGCACACAGGCTTAATATGAGCACAGGATTTGCTCATATCTGTTTACAGACATGGCATTTGCAATCATCCCTAGACGAAGGCCATCCTCACTAGACCAGTACATTTCTGCCCCGGGATAACGAATGTAGCCCATGATCATGTTGATCCCTAAAAAAGTCTGCATTTCTTCTCCTGTCACTGCCACATTTTCTTTCCCTTTCTGGGGAGCATACAAGTTGGTGTTTTTCACTATATCATCAATGAGATCTGCTGGAAACAGATGTCTGGAGAAGTCTATAGGCTCTCTTCCCTCCACATTGAATTTCCACTCGCCTAGAAAAGTAGGCAAATCTCTATCAAAGAGATTGTCTTGGACTTTCCAGATATTTTTGCGAGCTTGAGAATGGTCAGGTGTCATGTGCCTATTTTCCACAGCTCCCTGATCATGCTGACCTTCCCCTGCATCCTGCCTCTCATCATCCTGGTCCTCATCCACTTGACTATAGGCATCTACCCTTTCTGCACCCTGACTGTCTGTATCTCCATCATCCTCAGCTCCTACATGTCTATTCTTCTCTGACAGCCACTACTGGTCACTGTTACACACTGATTACACTGTATACACTGATTTATAACCAAAACAGCCACAAGTAACAGTGGAGCAATTACATGACTCCTGTTAAAAAAAATACTGGGTGATGCATGATGTCCACTCAGTTGGACACATGGTTAATTGTAATTTTCTACATATTGGACATGAAATTTTCAATTCCAAATGGATAATATCCTTCCTTAGATGTTACAGGATATCATCATATTTTTTTTACAGCTGGGGTTCTTCTACTATAGAAGTATTGACAGGACATGCCAGCTGTAGTCAGCAGGGGTGGCTGTTTCTCGGCCATCTTGGATTCGTAGGAAATTTACTTGCAGTTACACTGATTGCTCACTAAATGTAACTCAATAGAGTAGGGCAGTAGAGAGCACCCTAGAGGCTGATATACACTTCAACCATAAAAACCATTGCATTTAAGAGAAAAAGAGTTTTTGGTAGCTGTCCACTGTAGTGACCACTATGAACCAGAGGGTTAATCTGCGTCTGAACAGATGTAATCACTTCTCTCAAAACTGGAACTCAAATCTCGCTTAAGAGCTGGAGCATCTCTGTAGGTGGGCCCAGGCTCACCCACTTGACAGGCAGAGGTTTCCAAAAGGTGAGGTAAAGGACATCGGTACTGGTCGAAAAATCCTGAAGGGCAACATGTGGAAAAAAGGCTGAACTGTTTGAAACAAAGGAACAAAACAAACTGGCGCAGAAATGAGAGGAGGGTGAGCTTAAATACACACAGGGAGTGGGAATAACAAGACACAGGAGAAGAACACGAGCACAATCAGAGAAACACAGCGGGCAGGAAGTCAATTACCTGAACTAGACAACAAGAGTGAGTATCAAAATAAGACGAGAAACACATGACGAGAAACATGGTGGAAGGAGATAAATCCAGATGAACTAATCCTGAGGTGGAACATTTGAGCATTTGATTCCCACCAACGTTAGCCATACTCCCCACAGTTAAACCAAGGACCCCAATTCAGCCCAATGCCAAGTCATTTCTAATGGTTCTATTCAGTACAATAGCAACAGCTCCAGTGAATTGAAACCCTAGTGAAAGGTTACTACCAGGGAAATGACTTTGACAAATATTTAGGTTTGGCTTTAAAATGTATAAAAGATCATTTAAAAGTCATAATTTACTGATATTAGTAAGTAACCATGATCTAAACAAGCTTATGTCCTCCTTAAGGTGCCCACAAACAGTGACTCATGCACTGAATATCTGATGATTCTGGCTTTTTTTCCCCACATAATCACAAACACCACATTGGGCATTTTCCTTTTTAGATATGTTACCAATTTAAACAATGTGTGAATAACTGACAAACAAGCTTGAAGCATTCCCACATTCATTTGAGCTCCCCAGTCCTGCGAAACAACACCTACTTTTGTGTTTTCATCATAACACAGAAGCATATGCTTCACTGAGCTAATGAGATTAAATTACGCTATATATAACTCCACATGTAGGAGGAGATCACGGGGAGCTCATGCTGAAGGTGGGAAATTTCACACCCATAATCGGGAGGCATTTTGCTTAATGACAATGCTGACATGCAAGGGGGTCTCATTACCCGCCACGACAAATCAGTCTGTAATAATAATCATAATAATAAAAATAATAATTTTCACCGATCGCTTGGTTTAACTGGTTTGGATTTGTTTTCAGAACCTCACAGTGGCATCTGCTCCTGTTGTTTTTTCCCCCCTCTGCTTGCCTTATAAGGACACTGATGACTGCAGGGGACCGCTGTGGATAAATCTTTCTTGTTTCTTTTTTTAGCTTGGCAGCAACAGCAGCAGGAAAACAGTCAGTGTACCCAGAATCTCACAAGAACAGAGGAGTTGAGACATTTCCCTGCATGCAGTGACAAAGATGAGTGGGTCACTTAACCTTAGGCATTGTGCTGCAAACTCGCCTGGCTTTGAAAAGCTCATCTGCAGAGTTCAGCTCCAACGGTAGCATGAGTGCTCAGAGTAATTAATAACATTATGTTCTGTAATTACCTTCTATGTGTCCCCCATGGCCCAGGGGAACAGAACTGCAGCTAATGGGAGTAATACTTCAGGTTTAGAGAGCAGCCACAGTGACCAAGAGTACAAGACTGACCCAATTATGTTCGCACTTGGTGAAGAGAAATCTTCTACCTAAAAATGCAGCACTCTGTGATCCTCTTGGAAATACACCAAAAAAGAGAAAACAGTCAGAAAAGAGGAAAACAGGTGTGTACCAACTGTGTGCCTTCGTGTGTGTGTGTGCATGCATGTGTGTGAGTCAGAGTAATTAAAATTTACTACCGAGGCCTCAGCTGCAGATAAAGTTCCTCTGGAGGAAGATGCTTAACCCATCAGTTCCTCTCCCCAACGCAGTCGTCCACCCCCCTCCATCTTAATAAAAGGGACACAGATAGCTGAGGGAGTTCGGCTTCCCCGAGCCTCATCATTAGTGCTGCAGTTCAGTCGAGCAGCACAGTATGGAGACCAATGCAGCATTACCTTCTTATTTTAATTGAATGGATCATACCATTTGAGAAGCAGAACTTTCTTTGAACTTCTCACAAGAACCATTAACGTCTCTGTTTGGCTTTTTAAACATTTTTCACAAATGTCAAGACACATTCGCTTCCCTTTTGCTAAATATTTGTAATCAGCATTAATCACGATCCATTCATAGCCTCTTATCATCTCTGGGATTGTAACCACACAGTAAAGGTCAAATTAATCAATTCCCCCCACTGTTAAGTGAATTACGCATTTGAACTTTTCACAGAACAATTGCATTAATGAGGACACTTTTTTAAGGCAAGAAATAGAGCACCCAAGAATTTCTAACAGGACTGAAACAACTTGCTCCTCATCCAAGTGAAGATAACCATTGACCAGAGCTGTATTATGGATGTCACGTACAATTAACCCTCAGGAAAAGTGCTTGGCTGGGATCTTTTTGTCAGATTAACGGGAGAGCTGAGGCTCCAGCAGCGATGCGGGCAGGGCAAGGGTGGTCTGTCTTTGCTGAAAATTTAATGTATTTGAACTCTTTGGCTGTTTTCTTTCACTCTAAAGGGCCTTTTTTCACTTCTAATTTGCAAGGATGGAGAAACACCATAACATCCACACAGCGGGTGTAAAAACTGGGACATTGTTTGATGAGAGGCAACGCTGCATATGTTTAAAACTAATCTGAAAATAAACTGAAATGAGATAAATAGCCTTCAGGAAAGATACAGGGAGCCCTCAGTCAGCATGTCACAGCAGATAGGCTGTATAAAAAGTGTTCCCAGCTCCATTCATTAGTGTGCTTATGTTCCATTTGATTTACCGCTAATGGTCCAGCAGAAGAAAGCACATACCTGTATGACATTGGCAGAGATGATAATGATAAAACCTCACTTGATCTTTCCATATTTGTCGGGATGTTTACCGACGGAGTGATAGAGGCGCTGCAGACCACCTGAGCTGAAAAGAGACGGATTGAAATTGATGACGCTCCGAACCATTGAGCCATTTGCTGAAAACAAAACAGAGCCTTGTGCACAGCAAGTAGGATGTTAAGGGCTTTTTCTGCTGCTTTCACGTGCGCCTCTTCTTCCTTTGTGTGTGTGCGCACCGCCCTTGGTGACGGTTTGTTTTATGTGAAGAGTCTAACTGAGGTAATCACTCACAACACTAAATGGAAACCTCAGACAACCTCTTTAAAGGGCAGTTTTAACATATCTCATCCAAACTCAGTCTGCCCTGGTCCAATTTCACTTTGAGTATCGAAAACACGTCTTGAATTACTGAAAACATATGAAACCCAAGTTCCAAAAATGTTGGTATAAATGTCAATAAAATCTGATATTTGTGGTTTGCCAATAACTCAAACCTCATACTTAGTTTGCAATTGTGCATGGACAACATATTGAGTTTTGACATAATGTTTTTGACACTGATTTTTGTATGCGATGCTTTCAACATGTTTCACCACTCTGTGAGAGGCTGCATGGTTAATTTTTCAGCTACTGCAGAATTATACTCCTCTGTATAAACATGTAATGGGAATTTATTATCTACAGTAAAGGTACATAATCACATTAACGTTTTTCAAAAGGTTAATAAATACAATAATGAGAAAACAAGGTTCTTCTGTTTTAAACATAATATTTTTTTTTTTTTTTTAGTTTTGGGCAATTTTAAGTTATATTACTTTGACACATTATGATACAATTCAAGTTTTTTATTATTATTATTATTATTATTTTATTTTTTTAAATTTTTTTTTTTACAAATAATAGCAGTGATACGGCTACCCTTCCAAAATCATTTTGACTTCGTCAAGCAAAATATGATTCATCTTTTTTAGTCCTTAAGAGAATAAAACCTCTTTGGTTTAACTGCTTAGAAATTTGATGCTTTTTATTGCAAAAAAAAAAAGATATTTTTGTTTTGAATTTGAAGAGACAACATTTAAAGACAGAGAATGTTAAAAACACACTTTTAGAAATAGTTGTGAAATTGAAGTTACAAAAACACACATCAGGATCATTTTCAAGCCAAAACAGACTTTATGAAATCTGAGTTCATTATATGTCTTGATTATGTGTTCATTGAAACTGTGGAGATGTGATATGTAGAGTTCAAAGGTTTATATAGTCTAAGAGGAGTTTGAATAGAAAGGTCGGTAACGCTTTCTTTTACGGTACACTTATTACCAGGTAATTATCAGGTAATTACCTAGTAACAACATGAAATTATCTGGTAATTATATGATAACTACTAAGTCAATACTGTCTAGTTTTTCTTTTTTCCTTTTTTCTGTGCAGCTCCATTTTCAAAAGCTATTTGGGGTTCTTATTTTCTATGATTGACACTTGATACAGCCTATGGGCGTACGAGGATTCACTGTTTGAGCCGAGGATTATCACAGCGACTCAGCCGCCGAATGCGTACAATGCTACTGCGCAAGTGGTGGTTCCAGGAAGCAGAGAAAATCCTGGAAATATCAGAGCAATTCAGCTTCAGATTTGTACGATGATGGAAGGTTACCTACCTGGTAGCTAGACAGTATTGACTCAGTAGTTGTTATGTAATTATCAGGTAATTTCATGTTGTTACTAGGTAATTACCTGTTAATTACCTGGTTATAAGTGTATCGTAAAAGAAAGGGTTACCGAAAGTTCATATTCAGTTCATGTTTTAAGAATGAGGCTTGAGATACCCTTCGACGTTCTTCAGCCATGTTTGCAGCCTCTGATTGGTGCCTTGGCTGTACATGTTTTTAGATAAATACCACACGGATGTAGGATGCAGTTTGCAGATGCACTCTGGAGGCAGGTTGTGCATCCTCATCTGTGTGTCCTATTGTGTTTATGGTGCAGCCAGTGTGAATGGAAGGTTGAATAGCAAGTGGTGTGTCTCCAACTTAAGGGTTAATCCTCTGTGAAATAGGAGCATTTGCACACCAGGACATTGGCCGTCTTATTTTCTAAGTTTGTTTGCTCTGCATCAGTCAGTCGTTCAAGGCGAGCTAATAAGAAATAATGAAATCAATACAGCCAGATCAATATGCAGCTGGAGATTGATGAATTATTATAACACTCTGTTAGCTCAGTGCATGGACACTTAGTATGTGTCCACCAAATGAAAAGGCACTGGTGCAGAATAGGACCATTCAAAAGACTTGAATTACACACCCAGTGTGATGAAACATTTCCTAATCACTCGCCGAGCAGCAACACAAAGGCTACATGTGGATCTCTGAAGAATTCAAACTGTTTTTAATAGACGGCCCCATCATAACACCTGCAGGGCAATCACAGAGGCAGCATTATTCACCAGTCATCAGGCACACAGGTAACAGGCTACGCTAACAGATATGTGAATTCTGACACCTAGCAACCTCCTTCACTCCCACACAACACCAAATACAACTCCTGCCACCTACACCACTCTTACCTTGTTGGAACAATGGCTAACAACCACGCTAACCTTTCTGGGAGCCAACACAGTAATTTATGCACACTTGGTCTTTGTGTATACAATATACATTAAAGAGACAGACGTTCCAGTGACATGGCTGCCACAAAGAGATATTCTCCACCTGACATCACAGAAGAACAACCTTGATTTGATGCAGGTGGTTCACAGGTGTATCCATTTCACAACATCAGGCTTGCTTGGCAGCAGCCAGCCTCAAACAATGAGGTTGTTTTGCCTTGGGAGCGAATCAAATCTATGTTAGTCTGATTGGTGTCTGAGATTCTGAGAGTACAAAACACACAGCTAAGATGATTTTGATTGTTTGCTTTGTAAACAGAAGAAAATGATATTTACATCTTACAAAAGAGGTAGACTTTTGAGAATAAGATCTTACACGCCCAAAACAACATTACAACTAAAAAGCAAAGACAGCTGAAATGAAAGACAAGGATGTCGTCCATGCTGATCACTTTTTCTTTACTCAGTTCACTGTCCCAGATGTAGAGCAGTGACAATAGGTAACACCAGTGTAGGGGTGAGGAATTAAGTCATATCACGAGTTTATGAAAATATTGAACGCCCAGTTAAGATGTTTCAAGCTGCATAAAGAAAAACTTTGGTGATCAGATGTTCGAACATGTGAAGAGCTCAAAAGTTTTAAAAAATATCTACATCTCTGACTGTTTTTCATTTTGAAGAAAGTAACTAAATCTCCAGCTTTACTGTACAAAGAGTTATGAATGTAAAAACCACCCCGCTCCCACCCCCGTATATGTGGTGTGTAGACAGAGACATAAACTAATGAGACAAACATGTTTTTGGACCAGGCTTTAAACACAGTTGTTTTTGTCCTTAGGACAGGCCTTTTAAAATATGTGTGTGTGGTTTTCAGGCCTTTATAGCTGACTTCAAGAGGACATCCAAGAAACTGCAGTTTCTACTCCTTCAGGGTTCCTTCCTTCAGTTTGACTTCTCATTCAAGAAGTTGCTGTTTTATCCTGTTTTCTGACAAGAGCATATATATTTGACTTGGACTGCTCAGTAGATTACAGATTATTATCACCATATCCTAAAGTCAGCAATAGTAAACAGATTAAAAAGCATGCATTAAAAAGTACTTTTACAGATGGTTAATTTTGTTGTTTTTAAGCTTAAATTTCAAAGATTTTATCAAATCTTTATTTTCCAATAAATTTATCACCATTTGAACATTATTTTCACCATGCGTAGTATTTTCTTACAACTCCATACTATAGTTAGTTTGAAGGGGAGGAGGAGGAGTAGTCTTCATCTATAATGGTGACTGTGTCTGTGTTTACTTCACCTCATCATGCGTAACCGTGTTCCCGCAGTACAAACATGACATTAGAAAACATGATACAGACAAATGAGGTGAGCAGGAAATAGTACAAAGCAGAGAGGCTCTGCCGTCCACACGCTCCGGGGACATTTTTCAGGCTTATCCCGGCTAAATTTGCACATCAGCTCACCTCGGCTCCTTGCAGAACTTTTTTACTCTGGGGTTTGCAGGAAAATGTCTCGGGGAAAAAAATGCCATTTTTTTTTTGATGCAACCCCCTGAATAAAGTCAGACATTTTTCAGATGTTAAAGAGACTTATCATGCACACTCCAGCAGATCTTATTTGGGAGTAAATAGGATTCTAGGTTTTACAATTACAGAGCACACTGTTCCACTTTTTAAATATGCATGTAAGTTTCAGGGAAAGCACACTCCCACAGGTTCATGTTGAGGTCAGGAACTGCTGTGCAGATTTGCAACAACATTTCTTGCTCTGTTAATAAAGATCAACCCTAAAATCATCTCACACTCTTACACCAAAGAGTAATGAGCCGTTTAAGAAAATTATCAGAGGTAGTATGAATGATACTGACTAAGATCAACAGCTGCTTTTACTATCATGACGATTAATTCACGAATCAAAAAGTCAAATGACAGAAAAATTCACTGTAAAGGATTTGTGATGTGCTGCTGCAGCACTGAGATAGCTTTGTACCATTTCATGCTGGAAGGTTGGCAGATCGTTTCAAAGAAGCGCTCCTTCTTCAGCTTGTTACTGATGTATTCCTGTCCCAACCCATTTGAAGTGTCTGTTCAGAGGCACTAGAGGATGGGCGCAGGTATCCACCTCGTCCCGACTTTTGGCCCCGATTTTGCAAAGTCAGTGTAAGAATAATGAAATCTTATTTGAATTTGCACATCCTGCTAACCCGGTTCTATTTACTCTTGTGGTTTTATCACTGTAATGATAAAGTACGCTTCAGATATAAACTGGCCTCGGCGATTCATTCCTGTCCAAGTTTTTTGTGCTTGGAGTTTGGCAGAGAGGAACAAATTATTTCACCACAGTGTTGTCCCGTACCCGAGTTGCCCTTGTGTTTCCTGGCTCTAACATTTGCTGACTGATAAATGACCCCGGAGGAGCCATCAGACCTGGGAGACACAGGCTGGGCTGAGTTGTGTGAACTTTAATGGCTGAGCTGGAGACATAAAGGAGAAAACATCCTTACAGCGGCGGCCACATTCTCTGATCCTCTTGGTAATGGCTCCCATTCATCCCAACACAACGGTGCATTTTTATACATTACAAAGAAAAGTGAATGGCCAAAGCACACAGAATAATACCGCGCTTTCACATCCGCTGCTTTGAGCTTGAATGTTCCGGGGGAAAATGATGTTTGAGAAAGAAAAATGGGGTTGGCATTATCAATAAGGACCACCCATCACACCTCTGAGGACTGAACAAGAAGCTCTGTGATCATGAACCATCTTTCTCTTCACTGTCAGCATCATTTGTAAGGGTGTGGCTGGGATCATTACTTGTGCTAAGACAGAGTGTTTCATGACCTTGTTGCTGTTTTCCAACAACATCCACCACAGCAAATGTATGCTACTAACCTCCTTCTTTTCAGTTCCTGTTAAGTGTTTAAGCGAAATAATTCTTTGTGGTGATGTGAATTTAATTACATTAACCTTACTTTATAAGGGTTTTGTTGTACTGAATGTTCTCATCCTTGGAGCTAAAGAGATTCAATTTCCACAAACATGAGAAAACCCTGGGAGGTTTAAATACAAAGAGTAAAGGTGTTGTGAAGCAAGGAATGTAATGTTTATTGAATCAAACAATTTCACCAACAAAAAAAAAAGATTAAAGTTTCATGAATTGCATCAGTGTAACCAGGTGTTTTCTCTCTTTTTTCAAGGTTGTACCATGACCGAAAACCTCAAACCAAAGAAGAGAAGCTGGAAAAATGAGAGGGGGGTCTCTGACTTCAAAAAGGGACGGAGGATTTGTGTGAAGGATTCTAATCAAAATAATGTTCTCCTCGCTCCAGGTGCACACAGAAATGGTGAAGTGGAAGTAGATTAGATACATAGATTAGATACAGTAGATTAGTAGGTAGATGGATGGATGTATGGATGGATGGATGGATGGATGGATGAATGAATGAATGCAGCCTCAATGGGACACAAGCCAGTGTTCTACTTGTGCCGGTCCCAAGACCGGGGAAATGCAGAGGGTTGTAATTCGAATAGTTTTGTATGCATTTATAGGGTTTTGAAAAATAATGCCTGCACCGTGAGCGTCATCTCCCTTTCTTTCTGCCCCTTCATTTGCATCATCTATCAATTTTATCAATAACTCACTTTCAGATTATTTTGGGCACCCTTTCTAGGATGTTTAGGATAACCCAAGGTACACATGTGAGAAACGTTATAGTTTTATGAGATTCTTTAGATGACTTTTGAGTCAATTAACAACACTGTAGGCCATTTTCAATTTAGTCAATGACTCACTTCCTGTTTCAGATTATTTTGGGTCCCCCTTCTAGGATGTATTAGGATGACCCTAGGGACATATGTGCCAAATAGTATGCTTCTCTGAGATTCAATAGGCTATTTGAATCAATTGGCAACACTTTAGGCGGCCATTTTGAATTTCGTCATTAATCCACTTCCTGTTTTTGGCCACTATATCTAGGATGTCTCAGGATGACCCAAGGGTCACGTGTGCCAAACTTGATGATTTTTGGACATTCTTTAGGTGTTTTTTGAGTGAACTAAACACCTGTTTAGGCGGCCATTTTGAATTTTGTCAATAACTCATTTCCTGTTTGACATTTTTTTGGGCACCCCTTCTAGGATGTTTTTGGATGACCTAAGGGACATATGTGCCAAATTTCATGCTTTTATCCACCGTGTAACGATTTTTCACCTAACAGACCCTACTAGTCGTCAGTTTGGAGGGAGTAGGAAGAGAGTGCCAGGACTGAGTCATGCTCTCCTTCAGCCATAAAATACTGAAGGAACTTTGTCAAGAAAGTGTGGGCTGGCCCTTGCCATATGGCTATCACCACAAGCCTTGTAGGAGGACATCACAAGAGGGTTACTAAGTCCAGTTAATTCTCTTGTGACTAAGATAAAACTATCTACATTCACTTCCCATCACTTTCCACTGTCACACTTTTTACAGACCTCATTTTTACACAAAGACTTACTTTTCAGTCCGAATAAACTCTGAGAGTGAGGAGAGCTTCGACTATAATTAAAGACTGAGGAATGTGACAGGATTGTGTGCCACTTGACAGGAACACTTACTGCCTGGACAGTGTCACCGACAAGTACACCTACACTCTCTGTTGGAGGGACTCATTAATCCTAACAGTCATGGCAATTTTTCTGTGCCAGAAATACAGAGATTTTTCTCTGCCACATGGGAGGGAGAAGACTTACGTGACTGTCTTTATAGACTTGTTAAAGTTGTCATGCATGAGTCTTTCCATGCTGCATGTCTCATTAACGATGTTGAAATCCCCCCCGTTCTTTACTCGCAAAAAGAAGAAGACAGGGAAAAAAAGATGCTCTGGACACAGAGGTGTAGATGCTGATGGAAAAACAAGGCGCCTTGCCCTGCTGACACCAGACAAACTGACATCAGATGGAGCCTCGTGTTCTGCCTCAGGGGCCTGCTGGGCTGAACAGCTGTCAGTTGAGCGGAGGACAGAGCAAAGGAAGCCCGAGGTCTACAAACAAAGACTTGAACAAATAAGCAAACTGAGGCGCAATACTTTTTCCTCCTTTTCTGTTTTAGCAGAAAAAAGGAATTTAAAATCTGTTCTTTCAAACGTTATCTGGATGCACCAACATGAATATGATGTTTGTGTGTTTTATCCATGTCACCAGCACTATGACAGAACGTCTAATTAAACAAACTGAGACCAATTTCTGCATTACATGTTGTCCACAAACATCCTGCTTCTCTGGCAAAATCCTCAAATCTCCCAAACAGACAAGGAAACTGTTTTTGGGTGCAGGTGAGGTGCAGTAGCAGTAAGTGCACACTGTGCTCAAGGCTAACTGGTTTCTGAGTCTTCTTCTGCTGCAGCTGCTTCCTCTTTATTTTCCCTCTCTTTAATGGCGGATGGCAAACAGCGTAAACAACCATTACCAGCCCTGCCATGAACCACTTGGTTACACTGAGTTGAAAAAAACACCCCCCTTTATCACAGGTTCTGTTGAAGGTACTTCACCATCTTCACTTAAGGGACACCCTTGTCCTCGGCATAAGTTGTGGAAATGCTCCTCCTTAAACAGATACTGGGGACATTTTTATGATGTAGTTTTTCCTGTTTGTTGACAAACTTTTACACCAGATTTTCACCCAGCAGTTTTTTGGGATCCCACCCCATCTTGTAAATTCACAGATTTGCGAGCAAATGCCTTGACATTTGCTTCACTGCTTGCCTGCAGGCTTATCCTCTATAACTGCAAGTCAAATCCAGCTCCATCCTTTTTGCAGTGATGGAGAGAGGTGCTTTCACATTTGCCTCCAGAAAAGCTCAGATACAAAATACAAATTAGGTAAGAAGCACAGAAGCTTCGCTCTGACTTGGACTGATTTCTCAAACTACATCACAGGTTTTGTTCACATGGTGGTGATTTTATTATATTAAACACGGATCTATGTATATAATTGTTTTCCAGCTCTTGAAATAGTGTTGAGGGGACTATGTCTGATTGTTTTTAAAATGAAATATTCACAAATAAAGAAGACACCCTCGAAAATCTATCCAGGTGCCCCCCACCGCACCCAACCCTTATCAGACCGGGTTTACCGAGCTGTGAGAGCGTCAGACTCAGACCACATCCTGAAACTGACCAGACCAAGTTAATGCACGAAAGAGGTTTTATTTCACAGGCTGTAGTAGACTTTGTCTTCTGTCGTCAATAAACAGTATGTTACACCCTGGGACTGAGTAATTTTCGAAACTGTAAAAAAAAATAAAAAACTATGATGGCATGAAGGTCTATAAACTCCCTGGTTATGGCTATTCACACAATCAGGAGAGGTCTGTGAATTTTCTTTGGGGAAGTAATACATTTTGGACATTTAATAGTTTTCTTTCATCCCTCTCCCTATCTCACTTTCCCTTTCAATTGCCTTGAGTTTAGCAATTTCTGTGATATGGAGAAAATGAAATATAGGGTTTTGATATTTCTGCCCATCCTCTCTCCCAGGCTGTGCTGAGAGCAGTTCTGGGTCCATTTCTCAATCTTTATTACTCAAACATGGTTCAAGGCTGAGTTTCTCTTGCAGTGATTTAGCAAGTCTGCATTATTTATCAAATAAACATGAGAAATTCAATTTCTTTAACTCGAGCGGGTATGCATCTAGCATATTTCCAAGTGAGCTAATTACTCACAAGACTAAGAATAATTCAGCACAGCTGTTTTCCAGATAGAGCATGTGTGCTTCCCTCCAGCCTTCAGCAGTGTGCAGTTTTAAACATGTTTTTTTATACTTATGAGTTGGTCCTATTTTGTGATTTATATCCAAATCCAACGTCAACAAGTAGGTCATTTGTCAAAGCCTATCTAAATTACTGAAATGAGTTGTTTTCTGATCTGCTGCCATATGTTAAAGGTAGTGTGAGGCTCAGCCAGCTTAAGCAGAAGGTTTTCTTCACATAATTCCTTGCTCTGGCATTCAGAACACACATTACAATCTGTTCAAACACACAGAGCTGATTTTTTCTCCATAAAGAAGGTGACAGTAGACACCAGCAGAAAAAACTGTACAATATAGGAATATGTAACGGACGGTCCTCATAGTCTCACAGTCTAAGCACAAGTCTGTTTCTACCAAGGTACAACCTGTAGACTTGGGAAATGAAGCCATAGCTTAAGAGTTCTGGTACCCACTTTTAGCTGCCTGCAGAAGCTCTTGAAGCAAACACACATACCCTAACCCTAACCAAATGAATTCTATGTTAAGGCAATGCAAAGATGCAATTAGATGTTGTACCACTCTGGCTGCGCAAATGATGCAAATTGGGCCGGAGCTGAAAATGTCTCAACATGAGTGAATATTCGTGTTACGATAAGCAATCAGCATGAAGGTAATGGACGGTTGTTCACTGGTATCTAAAATGAAGAACAAATTGATCGTGTCTGTGTGTGGGTGCCCCGAATTCTATGATACCTTTTCTTTCAATTACCAAAACTGGAATAAAAAGGAGGAAAGTGAGTGAGGAGGTCAGATTACCTGGTAAATTGTACAAAACCTTTGTCTATCACTTGGTAGGGATTACCATGAAATTAGCATATATGGCTATAAACATGGGAATGAAGCGAGTAGGTACTATTTATTCGCTTGGTGTGAGTGCCCCATAAAAGCTATTGTGGTCGAGCAAAAACAGAACAAAGGCAGCCTGATTCAAGCAATGATTTTGGTTAGCTGACAGGCAGGTGCTCCATCTCCTTAGCTCTTACGAGGCCAACTAAAAAATAGGCTAAATTAGCATTTCCAATATGGCGCCCACCATCAACATGCATTACAACAACACATCAGAGGCCAATGGGCGACATCACAGAGACTACATCTATTTTACATGGTGCAATAAATGATTTCAACTGTCAAGTAAAGGTAAAAATATGACAAGAACAAACAAACATGACATGCAACCACGGTTTCAGATCACTATCATTGCAATAAAATCGAACTACCTCGACTTCTCGACAACAAGCCATTGAAGACATTTTTTGAGCCTGACATACAAGACTCCAGAGCTCCTTTGCTTTAAAAAAATAATCATAATTATAATAAAAACACAACAACTGTGCACTGAGTTAACGTAAGAGTCACTAAAAAACAACAGACTGAAGTTTATGCAGATTTATATGTCTTATCTTCCAGCAATTTCATATTCAGGATCTTTCTGTGCTTCATAGAAAAACGGTTTGGATTCAGGTAATGGCACTGTTTTTGAGTCCTCTGTTTGTTGTGCGCCGGTGCAACGCAGACAAAATAAGAGGAAAAAACAACAAAAAAACAGAAACCCTGCTCTGGCTGTGATTTCCCCTTTGAAATGTTCTTCTGTGTTGAATGTCAGGCTGCCGGCTTTGATTGATTACGTTGCCTTTTACCAGACTGTCCCAGCGCCACATCAGCACCCAGAGGAGAACAGGCTTTGAAATATGACGAGCTGGGTGGTCTGTGACATCCAGGGACTGTCACTGGCTGCTTGGCTCTGTTGTTGTCCTCATCAACATACCCTACTCCTAGCATAATGATGGTTTGCATCTGCTCTTCCCTCCTCTTCCCTGCCTGCTTCCCCCTGCAGACAAACACATGTTTATACAAGGTTCTCCTGCTGAGATCAGACATGCTGAACATTGCGTGGAGGATTCCCCTCAAGACCTCCATCCACCACCCTTGGGCACACTCCTAGGACGCCTCTGAACTTTTCCACTGTGCACCCACTCTCACGCCGAGGAATCACTGATGACTCACTCCCTGGCTGCTCACCTCTTCACTGGAGCCCACCTCAGGAGGCTGTGTTGCTCTAATAGTCACTCAGCAGGCAGTGTCAGGGGGCAAACTCTGTTCCTCCATTTCTATTCCTGAGGCAAATACGTTTGGAGTCAGAAACTTGCTGAAGGTTATGAGGTGGAACCCACAGGAATTTCTCCAACACCTTTCATCTTATTGCCCTTTTGAAGGTTAGCAGTGTTATATTAAATTACATATATATGACAAACTGGTGTTATTGGACAGCCCTGAAACAAGCAATTAATCCTATTGATTGTGCCGCAGCCCATGAATAATTCCACATGTCTGCTAGGAGGGTTGTTGGTTCAATAATTAACAAAAGATAGCACTGAAGGAGTATGAGAAAAAATATATATACACACAATGGTGAGATACACCTTGGGCAGCTAATTATTGGCCTCAGGCAGATAGTTAAGAGTACTCATAGACCCAACAGCACAGCAGAGCAAATCATTATGTGCTGACTGAGCAGGTTCCCTTTGCGAGGACTACAGTTTGATAAGTAGCTAAAACCATATTGTATCTTACCTTGCCTTAAGGTATCCCAAAGGCTCATTATTTTGGTAAATGATTATTAAAATAGTTATGAATCAGGAGGTCTAAACAAACCTTTTTATGCTACATTAAAATGAAAATGCAGCATTTGCATCTTGCACATTAAGAGAGATAACAGCCCACAAGCCGTTCAAAGAGAAATTTTATAGCAGTTAATTAAATTAACTTTATAAAAATGTTTCATAATGGAGGCAAAATAAAACACTGTCCATGAAGGCTTTATATGTGTTTTGGAAAGGCTCCTAAAACGGCTCTTCAGTAATGAAACAGAGAAGGGAGTCAAGAGCTGGTTCCTGATGAGACCAGTTCAGACCAGTTTTGAGCCATTAATTCACTTTTTCACAATAATTAATGGTTATCTTCTCAGTGCTTTTCACTTTGCTTTTGGTGCTTTGCAAAACAACAGCCAGCGCAAACAACAGCCAAGGATTTTGAGGATGTAATCGTAGAGCACAGCAAACAGTAGGAGTCCAAATTGCTACATATAGGAATAAATATTGCACTTATAATATTAGCTCAAAAACAGGATAGTGCAGACTTCCAGTAAAATCCACTCTCTTCTTGAGACAGGCGGCCTGCTAGCTGTAAACTGTGTGGTTTTTCTATTCCACTGACTAGATCTGGTCCTTTAAAACTGAAGGTAATCCACAATGCTTTCTGAGACCGTGTGCCACTTTGATTGCCAGCTAACTATGCTATATCGAGGTTCTCATCCCTGCAGATACAGCCTCTGTCTGGTTAACATGTCAAAACAATCAGCTGACTTGCAAAGGTCCTCAGGAGTCAGAGGTTAGGTGTCTCACTGTGAGACTCACAGTGAGACACTTATGCAAAATGTTTCATCATTGACACAGGAAAACCTGCACAGGTCTATTTTCCCTACGCTTAAAATCCACAGGACTTGATGAGGAGTTTGATCTGCTGGTAGAAGTGACGAAGGCATCTATATCGATAAAAACTCATCAATTCCCAGGAGGAGGTCAATGAAAATATCAAACAGCATGGTATATGAGCTCAGAAATCACGTCCTATAGGTGTAAACCATTTGATCTAATACAGGTTGATATGAAACATGCAGAGCTGCCCCTGGTAGGCTGTCATAGAAACTTCTTGAATAGAAAGCTACTAACTATTTTGAGTTTTGAGCATTTCTGTTTGAAATAGGTTCCTGAGCAGAATCTCTTGATTATGCCAAATCCTCTGTTGTCATTTACTTGCACAATGTCTGAAACCTGTGACGGTGGTAAAATCACAGTCCCACAGCTCAGAAGCAAACCACTGTGATGTGTTTGTGCTGCCAACTTTAATGAGTTTATTAGCACTTCTCCAGCAAAGTGCAGTTTGAAGAACACTTGGTGTTTCATGACTCAGTTATACTGCCAACTACTGGCCTGATGTTCACACTCCCACAGCATTCTCATGTCACCACAGTTTGTTTGAAAAAAAAACACCCACTTTCAATGGGGATGGTTTGGTCACAAATTCAACAAAGGGGCTACCTCAAGCAGGCCATGAAGTCAAGCTTAGCACCAAGTATAACTGTTCATGAAATGCAAACCCTTATCGGTCTATGCATACAACAGGCAACTGTCAAAATGGGTGTTTTATTGAAACTGCTTTGGCCTGCCTTCTCTACCTGCGGCAGGGTGCTTAGTAATCCGCCTCCACACCGGCACTCATGCTGTGTCTGATTTTACTGGTGTCGTGTGTCGTCTCTGATGAGAGCTTGTTCTGGACTCAGGGGGTCTTTGATGCTGCTCTGCCTGCCTTGGCTTTTTATGTATGCATGCAGGGAGGCATATTCTCACCTCCTCAGGCTTTGGCATTCCCCATATGAGCAAAGAAAGGTAGGAAGCTCTTAGAACAGAGCCACCCTAAAATAAAACACTACATGCAAAGTGGTTTATGAGGAAGAAGAGTTTGAAACCCAGTTTTTTTTTCTTACTGCCAGCAAAGGGGAGACTTCACAGGGTTCAAATAAGTCTGATCCCATAAAATCCCTGAAAATGACACCACTTCTCTGTTGATTTATCACCTCGGTAAACATTTTCCTCTGGTCTCACTTCAAGGCTTCATTTTAAGGTCTGATGGCTACAAGTCTTGTCCAATAAATCACAATTTTAATTCAGAAGTTTTGGACCCATTTAGAGAGAGTGAGAAAAAAATCCGACAGGAAAGTAAGATTGACATGTTATCACCATAGCTCTGCCTGCCAAAGCAGAAACAGACACAAACACGTATATCCACTGTGGAAGAGCAGCACGGTTGCACATGGTTCCTGGTAAAAAAAGAGGTGGAGGTTTACTCAGCTGTCAGAAAAGGAGATGAGCGTTGTATGAGTATGAAAAGACCGAAATTCAGTGTGAAGAGGAAAAAAAAAAGTAGGATAACAGATGTGCCACACTAAACTTCTGAGATGGCTTCATGATACTTTTTCCATGATCTAGACCTGGTTTTTGACTAGATGCTATCCACAGAGCTTACACATGAATATTTTAAACGTACTGCGCTCATTTGTTAAGTAAGATTAAACAGTCTGGGCATACTGTTTTGTTTCAATTAAAATCTTGAAAGGCAATTTGAAGTTTGGTGGACAAGTTTGGATGATGCATTTTTTTCGTCCTTATCACAAACTATAGAAAACGACACACTGGAGACACTGCTTTAAATCCTGTCTTTTCTATTCCACTGTTTCTTGTGAATAATTTAATCACCCTTCAATTGAAACTAATGGCCTTTTTATTATGCATGTGTATTTATTAAATTATTAATCTTTTTATTGCCTGCGGCAGCTCTGTCGGTCCTTGAGGGATGCCTCCCACAATCTCACCTGATGCACACAGCTCTGTCTGCCATGCTGAGCGTCAGAGCCCACCGTTTTATTCAAGTCTGCTTCAGCATCAGGCAGCCTCCAGTATCTTACTGCACTGTCCTCCAGAAAGAACTGTGATGGCTTAGGTCATGCATACAGAGTGCTCTTGTAAGCAACTGGGCACATAATGGCTCCTATTTCTTGCTCAGTTATGACTTCTGGGATCAAATATGTCTCTGTAAATGACAATAGGTCCTGTAGTAAAATACATCAGGTTAGAAAAATAACATAAAACCATACAGTATTTATGTACCGCTGTTTCCGCAAGCACAGCCGAGCTCTCAGAGGAAACCAAAGAGGAGCCACAAGTTATTGAAATGGAGCATTTAGTCAGTGTGATGTGGAACAGCAATATATAACATATGCAATGAAAGCAACAGAGGTCAAACAGTCCTGGACCGTTCTGCTGACTCGAATTCTGTAGAAAATATAAAGCAAGTCATAATCCATTTAGACCTGCAACCCTGAGCTTCTTCTTGTATAAAGAGATTTTTCTCCCGGTGTAATTTACAGCACAGACAGCACACGCGCATTGTGCCGACGTCAGCCCGAGATGTAGCGAGGAGAGCGTTTGCTAAGAGGTCAGACTTTGATCCAAAATGATCGACACACAATTTTTGGACGATTGATCAAAGTTTTAGCACACAATCTTTATCTATAGGTTGCAGCTGCACCGTAAATATACAATGAAATATTAATAAAATAATGCCAACCTAATACTGACTGCTAATTACTACCTACTTTCATGTGTGTGAATAATAAAGAGTCATAAGTCAATCAAAACACTTTATATAGACTGGAGAAACAAACACCTGCAAAACAGTTAACATAACCAGTTCTTACTCTGACAGCCTGCAAAAGACAAAAATTTAGTAACTGTACATCTCAATTCACTGTGTGCCTTCAATAGTTTTCCATAGTTTTAACTGTTCCGCTTGTCTTAATGACCGGATCCATTTGACTGAGTGGAAGAGATCCGTGCAGATCAGATCTGCTACCACCAAATCTCATGCCGAACAACGGACTACTACGCTAAAAGCTAACAGAGCTTACAGCAGCACCAGGGCAAGCAGTTCGGTGCTTTAGTGCTTACCTGTAACTACCTGGTCAGTTTGCGTCTGATAGGAGACCTTGACTGATGATTGGGCATGAAAACTTCTTACACATGTACACCGGAGGCACCCGAAGCTGCAGTAACTGTCTAACAGGTAAAGAATGTAAATGATTCCCAGGATCCTTCGCTACTCATGACGTCAACGAATTCTTAGCAACTTTATAAACCATCACAGAGTTGCCTTAAAGGTTATTTTCTGCCAATTTACATTAGTAGCTCACCTGAAAAACATAGCGGGGAGTTGGCGTATTTTCATCTGCGTTAACGCCATGTAATGACAACTGCCTTCTGGTGACTGTCCAAACTGGAAGGCGGGGTCGGCCAGCCTATGCAAAAACGACCTTGCATTTGATGAGCTGGGACATTAGAGCACTTCATCCACTATTTCATCCACCGATGCTTGTCAAACATTATAGACTGAGGCCGACGTCGACATGACATCAGAATCAGAATTTAAAATTCATGTTAAATACCCTAAGGATAAATCCTTAATAGTCTTTTCATGATGTGTAGGATGTATATATACAGTAAGAGGCAGCGCTGACCTGCAGCTCTTTGAGACCAACATGATAAATAGTACATAAGCAAGTGGACCCTTAAGGTGAAGGAGCGGCGCACAGCAGCAAGAGCTCTCAAAAGTAATACAGAAACCCCAACAGCGCACTCGCTTCACATCTCAAACAGCACACACACACACACACACACACACACACACACACACACACACACACACACACACACACACACGACATAATCTCTTGGAAAAAAGGTTTTATGGTGGGTTGCAGATTGGCTGCTCATGGATATTTGCAGATATTTTTGGATGCATCACCTCTTGGCTGTTATTTGAAGGATAAGCGGGTCTTTTATTTTATTTTGTGCCAAACAAAATGGTTTGACGTGAATCTTCTCAGATATTTTAGTATGATAGGTAATCTCAGCGAAGGTGGGTTGCCAATGTTATATAGACAAGTTGAAGATATATCAGAGAGTGGAGCATTGATCTTCATCCAAACAGTATTTTTTGAGGTTGGGGGCCAAGGACTGTTAACAGCTGAACTTAAAATACTTATTCGAGGGGAAACTGTCGAGTGGTGAGCTCTGAGACCCAAAAACCGAGGCAGAGGGTAAAAGTTGGATGTAACTCACTGGATTAGTTGTTAAAGTGAGGTGTAAAACTGAGTGGGAGTTAAGGTGGAGTAGCAGAAGGGAAGATCACATCAGAGTGAGGCCAGCAGACTGAAAATCCAGACTGGTGAGGATCCCAAGACACAGGAAAACCAAATGTTGATCCTGGGACACAAGGACAACCAAGAGGTACTTCGAAGTCCAAATCCACAAGCAAGTCAGAGTTCTAAGATAAACTTGGCCACGGCACAGTGTCACATCGGGGAACTGAACAACCTGGCAATGACTGTTGTGTGGAGCTGGGGTACTTATACTGCAGGAGCTTGGTGAGTAGATGGGTCCCAGGTGTGCAGAGAGATTGACAGCCAGAGTGTGACTGAGTGTCATGCCCACACCTAATCACACAGGAAAACAAACAGGGCACAACACACACAAGACGACAGGAAAATCACAGGCAGAAGGAGGCAGAGCTGAGAGCATCCCTTTAAATGATAACCCCCTATTCTTGATTCTGGGTCGACCCACCAGACCCAAGAGTGTCACAAAGCTCTAATTGTGCCTACAGAAGAGAGGATCAAGGAGAGGGGAGTGAAATCAGGAGCAATGAGCAAGTAAACACAAAAGCAGTTTTTGTACAAGTCATTTAACTGGGTGTGATGCTCTCATTTAAATGTGTCACCCATAGACTGTATATACTATGGACAACTTGGCTCCGCCTTCCGCCATTATACGAATTTGAAGCTGAAATGCTCTTTGTATTTCCGGGATTTTCTTCACTTCCTGGAACCACCACTTGCGCAGTAGCATTGTACACATTCAGCATAAGAGTCGCTGTGATGACGCTCTGCTCAAACAGTATATCCCCCAGGTGAGCCACGCAATCCTCGTACCCCCATAGGCTGTATCAAGTGTCAATCATAGAAAACATGAACCCCCTAATAACTTTTATAAATAGAGCTGCACAGAAAAAAGAGGACTTGAGCACAAACCAGTCTGACAGTAACTACATGTAAACATCGCAACCAGGGCACAGAAAAAATTATATTCTGCGTAATAAATTTTTAAAGTTTGTCCACAGCTCCATTGGGATTGCTGGAGGAGGCGGGATTTATGACCTATACTACAGCCCGTCACCAGAGGGGGCTGCTCTCGCGGTGGCTTTACCCAGTGAGGAGGCAGACGATTATATACTCTATACTATATATTCTATATACAGTCTATGGTGTCAACAACTGAGTGGATGTGATTGTGCATGAAACTTTGATAAAACTTTACAGCATCACAAGAATAAAAAGACACTTATAGTCAAGTTAAAACTTGTTTTTATGATTAATGGGTGAAAAAGATTTGCTGGGTAAATTTCTTACCTGTTATAAATTTTTCACATTTGTCAAGATGTATTGGAGTTAGAAGAACTCCATTTCTGTGAAGGTTTCTTTCAGTCATGATCATAATCATCGCAGTGCATCTTATGTAAGACCATTTTTGCCAACATGTCAGAAACTCAGAAGGTATGTATGAGGAAAGGTCGCTCGATTCCTCTGACAGTTGATTTAGCCCTGATAATTCTGGCGGTGCAGTCACTTACCATCAGTGATAGGGATAGGGAGCAGAGGGTCGAGTGAGGAAGCAGAGTTAGGGAGGAGGTTGAAGGAAACTGACAGCCCAGCCTACGGCAAGGAGGATGTCAAGCTGGGTCAGCAGCCTCACTTGGGGATACATCCTGCTGAATGAAGGCAGCGGAGAGCTCCTGGTGTACACACAGAGAAGGGCGATCAATCTTCTTAAAGATTTGATGCTTCTTTCTCAAACAGGAAACTCAACTGGATAACCACTGGTGCTGGGATATTGGTGGGTGGGATTTGCCAAGTGTTTATCACTCAGACTAAGTTTCAGGGTCAGGCTGAGTCTGAGAGGAATACTTAAACTCTAGAAGACGGAGGGAAAATAAATAGAGAACCTGACTGGGAAACTGATCAGCCTTGGGTGTAGTTCAGGAAGGGGTTCTTGACCAGGCTTGGGGAAAAGATACGGGTTGTGGCACAATCTGGAAAAGCAGATCAGGATTATGTTACCAATTCTAACAGGGAAGAAAAAACTGTACAGAAAATGGATGATTTATGGGGCCCTAATTCTTGGAATTAGGCCAGTGGCTATGACAAATGCAGGAAAGCAAAAATGGTTCAGTGCCTTTTTGGAAAGCTGCAGGTCCTGCGTTGGAGGATTTTACTCATCATAAACATACAACTTGACCTGCTTGTTAGTTTGTTCCTCACTCCACTTAAAATAGACCCTGCAGACAGAGCGCACTCATCCTTCCTGCTCATGTATGACAACTGGAGGTATTATATCATAACAAAGGTGACTCTATTCATACACCAGCAGCAATGAGCACTGCACACAGTTTGAGAGAATTGTATGTTGAGAACAGACCAGGGGATTCTCTCCTTTTCTGGATTCCATATTTTAAAAAATGAATAAATAAATAAAGTTTGATTTGTTGGTTTCCACTTCATAGCAGTCCACCTTTATTAAGTCGCTCGAACAGGTCAGGAGCATGTTCACCTATTGTTCCCTCTCTGCATGACAGAGTTTTAACCTGGACGTAGCAACAAACTGCTCACAAGTAAAGTTTTCTGGATGCCTCTGGGTTCTCTCTCAAACAATCAAAAACAGTGGAAAAGACAAACGCAGTCGAAAATACGTTGATGGTGAAATTTATTCATTGCCGGCTTCCTTAGGTGCAGTGCAAAAATTATTTACAAAACAGTGCAAAAATGGTCAAAATACTTTTTACGAAAAATATACAAGGCAAAAAAAAGAGAAAATGCCAACAGGGTAAGAGTCCTACAATAACTCAACTCAATCAGCAACACAGCAGCAATTCAACAAATTCAGTTCAGCATTTACCTTCCTTGCAACCAACTCCACACTCCAAGAGAGGCCCAGGCATTCTTCTTTTGAACCCCCCTAGTCCCTCCCCTGGGCCCATCCATAAACCCCCCTATAGGGGTTTAAGATACCATTAGCAAAATACAACACAAACGACAAATCAGACATTTCAACATGGACAAAAAGGCCCTAATAGCCCTCCATACAGCTGTGACCTTACTCATTGAAAACACATTAAATCAGATCAAAATACCACAAATGAACTATAACGGTTTGGTCCAGTGGTCACATGACCCCCAAAAGCGCGCCACCTTTCACGATTTACTTACCAAGAAGTGGCCCGGTTCGACGTGGAAGATGGCAGCAGGTAAGTGGGTTTGTGTGTGTGGCGTGTAGTTGTTGCACCTTCAAACACCTACAGCGAGGAGAAAGGAGTCAAGGTAAAAAGGAAAACAGTTGTTTTTTTCTTGGAGGGAAACTGTTTAACAGTTTGACTGAGCTTGGCTCTGCGAGGAATGAGCTCCTCCTGGCCCCGTGCCAGTCGGGGAGTGACTCGGCTCTAACAGCGCTCCATCACACTGGATGTGACTTTGAGCCCATGCAGTGATTTCCACTGCAGAGTCATGTCTGTTTAATACAGTTCAGTCGGAGGCCTCCAGTTTTTCTGAAATTCTCTGAATCTTTTTTATGATTTTGTGTCATGTAGTATTCCTTAAATTTCCTGGAATCGTGACAAGACTTCCTCACCCAGTCTCTCACAGAGTGGTGTACCTCTGCCCATGTTTACTTCCCTTGAATTTCCCCATTTGTGCCTGATTATTTTATCTACCTGCTCAAAAATTATCTGACCAGTTCTGTCAGGTGTTTTGTTTTAGTGTCACACAACTCTTTTATTGTTTTGTCATCACTGTACCGAGAATTTTGAAATGCATTGCTGGTATCAGATTTAAGATAAGTCCATAATTGTCAAAAAAACACAAGTATTCCTCAGTTTCAACTTTGTGTTTTTTATCTTTGCCCCCTTTTTTTCTGGTCAACAAAGCCTTTTAAGGATTTGCAGGATAACTTTATCATAACAGCATCCCATCGCCTATTAAACCGGGGATGTTTTTGACAACCTCCACATACTAATTTACCAGTTGAATCAACTGGTAAACTGGTTCTGAAGGGTAGCATGTTGTGGTAGTTATGTTTTTGAATCTTTCTTCTCACTCCCTGCCTGTGGCAGCTGGATATAACGTGTGTTGATAATTAATCAAGACAAGTGCTGGCATGGCGACAAGAGTGTGTTTTGTTCGGGCTGCAGTGTGTACTGACCCATTGCCTAATAAGGTCCCTTGAGGTAAAACTACATCAGAGTGTTTAGGGCCTTCAATCTGAAATCACTTGTCTGCACTTTCCTCTGGGAGGAAGCACAAAAAGTTAAGACTCACAAGGCTATGATTTCGTGCACATACTTTATTTATTTTATCTAATCTTTCTGTCAGTCTCTCTTCCAGGCTGGCTGTATATCCCTCTGTGTCATGGTATCTGACAAAGTGTCACCAAGAGATAGAGGACAAAGTGATGATGAGAACAGAGCGGCTCTCAGTGTACTGGCTCTATTTTTAAAATGGCATTTGAGATTCAAATGAAATAAAGTCTGACTTAAATATCTCATTCTTGTATGAGCCAACCTCTGTGAACTCAATATCAGAGGAGAACCATGACTGGTATTATTGTGGAGGCGCATGCAACTTCAAAAAATTAATTATCATATTATCAGAAAACTTTATGGAGTTAACAGGAAGGAGCAGACTCCCACCACTTTTCAGCTCTTAGTTTGTGAGCCTTTTATTTCATTGAGACAGAGCAACACAAATGTAATCAAAATACTTTTAGATTACTAACACCCACAAAAGAAAGTATAACATTAATAAGAATGATAACAACTTAGAATCTTGCTCTACATTTAATTTTAGACTTGGTTTGAAACAAAAGCAGTCATAAAGGTATTCAAGGGTTAAAAAAGTAATTTGAGATGTTAAACTGCATTCAAACAGCAAAAATAAAGGTAAATGCATGTTTGCAAAGACTCAGAGATGAACAATTAATGATGAATATATTACTGGATTAAATGAATCTACCACTCAGCGCAGCAACAACAAGGGTTTAGAATAATGACGACCGTAGGCCGGATAAATATAATCCAGCAAATTAACTTCTTAAAAAGGATTGGAAATAAGTGGATCAAAATTTTTAACTCAATCAGAAAATTACCCAACAGCATTGTTCAGGAGAGAAAGGATATATTACCAGCTGCAGGAGATATTTGGATTTGACATCCTCATTTTAACACAAAACATCCCAATTTGTTCTCCAGGAATCTTCTTAATGCCATTATACACTAATACTGAGGCAACTCACAAGAACATACTCTGGTTAAGTTGAGCTGAGCACAGTGAAGGAGTCTCTGGAGAAAGATAAAGCTGAGCTGCATCAGGCTACATGGACTTTTTGTTCTCTGGCAGGACTGGACGTGTCCAACATAGCAAACTGGTTCCAACCAACATCTTTGTTGATGTAAGTTCAAAGGTTTTCATAGCATGAAACAGCTTCAGATCAACATCTGGATTGGTATAATTAGGATTATTCTACGGCAGCGTTTTTCAGGGTTGAGGTAAGGTCACTTTTACGCACCATGATGTGCAGGAGATGCAGAGACAGCAGGAGTTTCTCCCAGTTCTGACTCTTTTCATATCAGAACACAGTCATGTCCTCAGACTGATGTCGGCTTTCAAAGAATCCTCAGTACTAAATTTGGATGTGTAAACACACGAGTTTGAGCAGACTTGCCTCTGAAGATTTTTGGTTCAGAAGTCATGTGGATGTCACTGTTCTGGTGGAGGATGCAGGCAGGAAGGATAAGTTTCAGTTCTGATGACACTTTCAGAGTTTGGGGATCCAACAGGGTTTTTTTTCTCTCTCTCTCTCTCTTTGCCTTTTTTTCTTTTCTCTCCTTTTTTTCTGAAGTTTGTATCACCCAGCTTGGTCTGATGTGAAAAATATGCCCTCTTTTAGAAAAAAAAAAGAAGACGGTTATACTTAAATTTAAATTTTAAGTTAATTTGGTGATATAAACTATACAGAGCATAACACAACCTGGATTCAGACTGAGATACTATCTGTTTAGACCCTAATTTGATAATAAATGTTGATTACTTACAATGTTGAGTTTTATTCTGTCCAAGGCAGCCACTTGGAACCTTTGTAAAACATCACGTGTGATAGCAATGAGCCAGTCAGATCTTTGAATGTCGTCAGGGTAGTGGGTAATACCAGGATGCACACCAGGGGGAGCCATCTGAGGACTGACAATCTGGGAGAAAAAAACAGTGAGTCAGGGCCTCTGAAAAGAGAAGATTTCACAGTGAAAACAGAGCTGATATCAAGAATGAGCTGTTCCTATTATTCCCACAGGCTGTTCATACCGGTGTGCCTCTGCTTTGATATTATAGCAAATATTGAAAAAAGCAATTTCAAGCGTCACTACAAGTCAAAGCACAAATCTTTTGACCAATCATACCCACCAGTCAAACCTGAACTAAGAAGACTGAAAATAAAAAGAGCAAGAGCTCAATGTTTTCAATCCAATAGAATCCTGACAGAATAATTTGCTGCCCGACAGTCTGCCAACTGTAACTCAGGTGATAATTCAGCTCCTGCTTCTCATTGTTTACCATATTCAGTTCCTGCTTCTCTTTTCGCGGTATTCTTAGATCCCGTTCTCGCGAGATCCTATTCTCGCGAGATCGATACCTGGCCCACTCGGCCAATCAGAACGTAGTACGCAATGACGTCGTGCCGACATGTGACGCAGCGGCGCCAATCACGTTTGTTTATCATACCGCGGTAATTCAGTGTGAGAGGAAGCAGTGGGGAAGCAGGAGACACATGAGCAACAGGTCGGTTTTTATCCATTTTCGCTGGTTCTTCACTAAAACAAACGGACAACTTTATGTAACAAACTTTATTGAACTCATAGCAGCCCGCTACTAGTCTGTGGTGATTTGAGGAGGGCTGTAGATGTGAAGATTGAACTGTGAACTGGTGAGCAGAATTGTTTGTCTTGATAGCTTAGCCACCTCCATTCAGATGAATGGATGGTGTTAGCTGGATGATGCCAATGCTTAACTCTAAAATGTGATTGCTAATATGTAACATTGATTCCTGAATTTAATGTATTGAATGAATTGAGTATTTGATGCTGTAAATTTTATTTATTTGGACTAATGACAAGTGCTATACTTATTGTGGATTATGATGATTATGTTGAGATTGAATTGAACTGCAGTACTTTGATTGAAAAGACATGTGTATACACTGAAATTCGAGCAATGTATATTGATTGTGACATTGTGATTTACTTGAACCCTGGCTTTACAGGCCAGGTTCTCAGATTTTAGATGGCGAGCTAAAAGGAAGTGACCTACAGACCCAGGAAGCCCACATCTCTCCTGCCAGGCTGGTAGGGGCTCCTTGTAGCCGCAACACGCTCACCTTACTGTACAGCCCATCAATCCGGACACACACACACTCCACCCAACATTTACCCTTTTCCTCCAATCCTCTGGACTCACACCTTTCCACCCAGACGTGGGTTTTTGTGTTGCGAGGAACTGTTGGTGGCCAAGTGCCCATTACTTATTTGGTCATCGTGTTGTTTGACTAACTGGTTGAACTGATTTACATTGTCTGACTTCACTGATTTATTGCACTGTACTTCTATTATCATTTCCATGTTATGTATGTCCTTGTATGTCACTCTAAATAATTGCACTGTGGTTATCATCTGCTTGCTTTAATATATGGTACCATTTCAAAAGCAACTCTCAGTCTCGTGTCCACTCCTTCCCTGAGCGTTCTCTACTTCTTCTGGTCAAAAGCCCAATATTATACATCAAACTATCTTTACATCCACTAAATTGTGTCAGCACAAGTGCTTTAAATCATATACATTTTTTGGCCGCATTAAAGTCTTGTCCACCAATTCCTACTGGATGTTTTTGTGAGGCTAATTACATGCCGAAATTCGGACAGCAGGAATCGCAAGGACTCACAAGAAGCCGCAAATTCACATGCAATCTCGCGATAACGAGTTGTCTCTGTAAGGGCAGCCACATAACCATATAAGCAGTAGATTGTGTTTTTCCAGAGGAGGAAATCCACTCCATCCAGACCAGGACAAAACAAACCACCGAAATCAGGGACTCCTTCAATGTAGCATGCATTAGCATCAATGTTTGAGTGTGTGGAGCTGTTTCTTTGTCCCAGACGAGGGAGAGAGTATTCAACAGTGGTTTATCATGTCTCTACTGAGGATGAAATTATTCATCATTAATCTACATGGTTGATATAAAATTCTCATTATGGGAAGCCTTCACAACATAACGCAACTAAGCATGGCAAATGGATGCTGAACAACCCCCCAGTTCATTTGTTTTCGACTTTTTCTGGGATGTTCAAATGGATTTAAAAAAAGAAAAAAAAATCACAGCAATTGAAAAGACCACTTTAGTTTGTAGGACAAACAAAGAACCTTCACGTTTTCACCAGGCCTTACAAACTACACAAACTACATTGTGTGATGTGAAGAAGTCATTGAGTCACTGAAGGACTCTTTTGGAGAGTGATGAAAGCAAGTGGACCTCACCTCCATCACACAACAAAGACTGACACGGTTAGAGGAGGTCAGGGGCTGTAAGAGAGAGAATAGGAGTTGGCTGTGATGGTGGTGATGACAAGGTCAACAAGTTCGACTTGTGTCATCTTCCAGCTCTGCCTATGTGTTTACCTGATGAAAGACCAGCACTGCTGTCATTTATCCAACACTGTAGGGACTTTGAGTTTTGCATTAGCTTGACACACATCTCATGGTGCTCCATGGATGATGTATTTTAGGTTTTATCACTAGATCACAACTCACCTTGGTGGATGGGTTTGGAGGGCAGTAGATGTAATTGTCCCTAGAAACAATTGGACAGAGCAATATGGTGATGAAGCGTATACTGAGAGTAAATGTACAGAGACAGGGACAGAAGAAAGACACATGTCTCTATCAGTGCAGTTTTTCTTTTAATGAAAATGTATCTTCCAGTATGTTTTGTTATGTTCATGTTTGTGGGTTTAACAGATCTTCCAGTGGTATAAGGTGCTGTTTTGGCTGTTAACAAACAGGCTGAAGTGGTGCTCTCCTCTCTGTGACTTCAACCAGTGAGGAAGTAGACGGCGTCCATTCAAAATACAGTCTATGGTTCAGACCATACACTGTATATACTATGGACAACTTGCTTCCGCCTACTGCCTGTATACGGATTTGAAGCCAAAAAGCTCTCTGTATTTCCGGGATTTTTCTTCATTTCCTGAAACCAGCGCTGCGCAGTAGCTATGCTTGCATTCGGCTGCGCAGTCTCCGAGAGTCACTGTGATGACGCTCGGCTCTATGGTTCGGACCCATCTGCCAACAGTGAATATGAGCTGGCTGATTGGTCCAATAACAACATGCTAGGTTCTTTTTTGACCCACTAAGTCAAACTATAAAATGTAGAGGACAGGGAAGGGTAATGGTAGCTCAAAAGAAAGTCCTGGTACATCTTGGGGTTAAATTTATGAGTGGGGGATTGTGTTTTTTCCCACTGAGAACTAGATAGCAGACTGAGACATGCCAAGAGATTCAAACCCTGATGATGACATTTCAGTTTCAATTCCTTAAGGTTAATAAAAGCGTCCGTTGTTTGTCTTCTAAAATGCACTCCTCCCTTGTTATGGTCTTAGCTGTGATATACATGCATTTCATCAGTTTCCCATCATCTTAGGATAAAACACTGATCTTTTCTTGGGTGCATACCATGCCTGTAAATAAAACATAAAGCTGTTGCTTTTGCCTTCAAACAAAAGTTGAAAAGATTCGTCACATTTTCAGATGAATTATTCCCTCTTCTGTGCTTGTGTGATCTGCAATCATGTGTGTAACACTTGCAATGATCTGTAATGAACTGGTGGATGTGTCTGGGACCGATTTTTAATAGAGATCTTAGAAGCTGTTTCTCGAGCTCTTCATTGTCAACCTGCTCAAAGGCAGTGAGAGAAAGCTGGACTCGCTGGTTACTATTTATGAGAAGATGCTCCTCTGAGACGCCGTTCCACCGAGCCATCTGCTTTCTTCTCAGATAAATAGTAACCTTTCAATAGAAACAGCACATTTGAGTTGCTCCCGGGAAGGTTTTTGGAAATGTAGATTGGAGGGGAGTAATTTTGCGGCTGACCTTTTCGATATTTTGAAACTGAGCAACAAATTATGGTTATTTACTCTCTTAAGAGTCGGATGTAATTTATTCAATTATGCAGCCTGCCACTAAAAGCTAAACAAGACTATGAGTCAAAGGTTTTTTACAGGCTCTGTGAGGCTGCGTGTTGGTACAGTGGTCCTTTGGGATATGCTAAAATACACAAGTGCATAATGTAAGGGGTTACATACAGTGATTGGCTGGTTTTGTGTGATAGAGGGGGGGACCTCGCGTCATGGTCAAGATTGTAAAACCACCGGCTCACCATACATTATCAGGTTATTTAACACCACCAGGAGATAACATACTGGTTTAGGTATTAAAGTTAAGCATGCTCTGACTCGTTTAGTAAAAATAAAAAGCACAGCCAAGCTAGATGAAAATGAAATTAATTATGCCATTAATCCTAAACCAAAGTATTGTAACATTAAGAGAGGCTGATAAACAATTCAACGTTTCTATCCACAGAGGGCTGGCATGGATGAAGAGTAACAGGCTGACCAGATAAGTGGATTCATTACCGTTAATAATTAGTAATGTTGTTGGACTTAATCAGTGACCTCAGATGCCCAATGCCAGGATTTATAAATCATAATCCTCTATGTCTGGAATTATGTGTCACAGTGCTGTAGGAATCCATTTTTATTTCCCCTCCTTTAGCAGAGAATAAATCAATGAATACACTCATACCTTTTGCGTGGAAGGGCATTGGTTGCTGCCTCATAAATCTGTCATAACTTTGCATTATTTCCCCACCCCACGGCAGGGTAAGCTCAGGATAAGGAATGAGATCCTTCATCCAAATATTCTTCACCCCTGTGCCTGTGGTTCTTTGATGTGTGAGGAACAGTTGTTTACAGAGCTAATTGTACCAAACCGCAAACCCACACAGCAGACTTTGACTTCATTTCAGCTGTCTTTCTTCTCAGTCACATGATTGACTCTGTCATGGCTTTTTCATGTCCCAAAATAGGTCTTGAAGATCTCAATGGGAAAACACTGGCATGGAAATTAGAGGAACAGATGGAATGATTCATGCATAATTTTGATTGCTAATGTGGATGACACTGGTTGATTTTGAAACAAAACTTTCAAGGACAAAGATGGTTCATTGTTCAGTAGATTTAAGTGGAAAAAGTGAACAAGAACAAATGGTTTTCTTGGGATACAGATGGCAATTAGGGTAAAGTGTGTTTAAGTAAATTAAAATGATGTGAGACGGTCCAGTATTCATAAGTATACATAAATTCTGCACTCATTACACTGAAACTGAAACGTTATTAAGCATTTTCTCTATTAATTTTGATAATTATGGCCTACAGCTCAAAAAGTAAAAGTACTAGTTTGAAAATATTAGTTTTAGTAGATCACAGCAGCAGGAAAAAAACCCACAGTAAAAAAAAATCACTTTATACATTTTAAAATAAGCTTCTTCCAGATTAAAATCCTAGCAGTGATACATGTGGACTTGTTAGAGGAGAGATTAAGGCATCCTGTCATACCTCAGTCATTCTTCTGTTTTAAGATAACTTTAAGATAGAGCCAGAATTAGCAAACATGGTCGTTTGGGGCAACATGTCACATATTTAAAAGGGATTAAAATTAATGTTGAGAGTCTGTTTATCAGCAGTTGTCATAATGAAATATTGACTTTATTTTTACAGAATAAAGAGTGGTTTAAAGGAAAAGAGAAGTGAAAAGACATGGTCAGGATTTTTAAAGGAAAAACAGAACGTGGCAGTGCAGTGCCTGATGTGATGCTGAGGGCAGTCAGGCAGGTGACCCTAGCTAATCAATCAATCTGGAGTACAATAAAAAATTTTAATATCAACCACCATACCTTGCCTCGGTACTGCAAAAACATTCACCCCAGCCAAAATACAGAGCCAGTTCTCCAAACTCCAGAGCATGTTGATGTGTTGGTGGAAGTACAGTGTGAAGTTTCTTTAGACTGAGATGTGTGTGTCCTTGCACCTGACTACAGTGCCAAATCATCCGCCAAAAAGGAGCCACAATCAATAAGTGTGTATGAATCAATGAACTTTTTAGAAATTAGACATTCTTGCATTTAAATCGTTTTTGTCCATCTTTGAAACCCTAGTTCCTCAAGAATATTTCCCGGTTTCATGACCTTCAAACTGACGTCTTCCTGTGGTCTTGCTGTGTTTTTTGTGTGGTTGAATTCAACAATAGTACCTTACTTCAACTGCTCAAACAGAGGAGTGGAACAACGACAAACTAATTTCCTGACCTTCGAAATTCAGGATATATTGGACATGGCAGTGGGAAAGTTTTCAGGCAGTTATTAAAACAACAATGTTCCTCAGGAGAATATGGGCAAGGAGAGGCTATCCACAGCACAGATTAGATTGTGCCCCTCTGAGCTTATACGGCAGATGAAGCGCAGACACAAATCTT